CGGGGGTCTGCGGTGGGGATTTGTGGTGGTGAGGCGTAGAGCATGTGGGTCAGATTATATCCAAGGCGGAGCAGATGGTATGGCTTGATCATGCTTACCGGGTTACATTATTGAGGATGTATATGTGTTATACAGCTTATATAGAGATGACTAAATTGTTGGCCGAATTAGGGGATGTGGCTGGTGTGGCTGATCGGGTGCGTCGCAAGACTCTGGTCCACCCCACTGGAATGCGACACGACGAATCTTAGTTCACGTCTCTAAGCCAGTCAGGTTAAAGGGGTAGTATGAGAAATAACCTTTGGATGACCGCCGGGGAAGAAACGTGCAAGGGTTTATGGAGATGCAATCTTCTTTGCTGGGTAGTTTTAGGGGCTGTTATCCGGCGTCCGATCGTGACTATGGCTCGTTGTGGAAACTGTGGCAGATTAATATAGTACTTCCGTATAGCTGAGCCTCAGGTGGGGGTTGGCGATGCTGTTAATTTCGATAGAACGTATTAGTGATTTTTTCGTCTACATCCCCGAGGTTCTTCGAGAATATCCTTATTTTCACCTGGACCTTGAACATGTGGCTTACATTTTGGAACTGCAGCCTGGTATCCAAGATTTTGGCCGTCTCAGTGTGGCTTACGTTTTATAAATTCCTATACCGGGACAGCGGCCTTAGTCAACATGTGGAGAGGAAAAATGCTACTAGAACTGCAGGGACGGTTACAAACGTCTAAATTTATGTTATGTGACTAATGCGGGATAAATATCCCCGATGTTTATACTGCTCAAACACTATATTCTGTAAAGAATAAGAGGATTTTAATCAGATGGCTCAGAATACATCTATGATATCCTCCAGAGTTTTATTATTATTATTATTATTATTATTATTATTATTATTATTATTATTATTATTATTATTATTATTATTATTATTATTATTATTGATTAATCTCTAAGTCATTTTTAGCTATTTCTATATTTTTTCAACCACAGTTATTTAACTGAACGTCCCATCTAGGCATTTTTTTGATACGGATCAGACCGCGGGGTTCCTTAGTCGGCAACCTTCATTGCGAAGCTTGAGCAAATAACAGCCATCGCTTAAGACTAAAGTATTTTTCGTCGACGTACAAGAGAAAAGTTCAGTAGTTCCTCCTGTCGCCCTTTAGTTCAACGTAATCTTCGATTGATGGACGTATCTGTTCCAGAAACGCTTCAACCCATTTGGCTTCTTTGGAACGGGGGCAAGAATAGGCTCTTCTTCCTCGATAGGCTCGACGACATCACCATCACCGGCTTGGGGCACCTCGATAGGTTGGATTTTGAACTCACCGTCATGAGCGGGAACCAAGACAGGCTGCGGGTCTTCGCGCGAGCTGTCGGATTGAACTGGAGCAGCCTGAGGCAAGGTTTTCCCACTAGTGGACGAGAGATCAAGGCGATTCAAAATGCTTCTCTGTAGGGTGTTAATTTTATCCATTGGATGAATGCAAAATGCTTGTGTGAACGCAATTGAAATGAAATATAAAATTATCCATTCTAGGTAACACTTGCGATCTGTCTTCTGATGAACTGAATTGGCATTGTGTGAAATGTAGTGATTTTATAATATAGCCAAGGAGAGGGATTGGGTGAATATTGGGTGGATTTATATATCTGTGAGATTGCAGTTCTTTGCTCAATCCTCGATATCCATACCAGAGTAAGCTACACGAACCACAAAGCGTGGAATGCGGCTACACGCAGCACAATCAAGGAATGGGATTGTAAGCTGACCAGCGGAGGTTTATGTAGAAATGCTTCTGAATTTTCAAACCAAAGGATCAGAGATAATCAGAAATGGTAATCGGCTTCAACTAATAAAACTGTTTGGGATTTTTGATATTCCGGTCGCTCAAATCCATGTATTGAGAGATTTGAGGTGATCTTTTGTGGTCCTTACCGTCCAGCTATTTAAACCACATGACATAAATCATACCCATAGACCTCTACCCCTCTGAGATTGGTCTCCAAAAAAATTTTCTCCAAGAAAATATTTAGAGATATTTATACCTAGAATCCTGCTATATAAGCTCAAACTTTCTGGTTATTACTAAGCAGGCAACTCTATGCCGGATGTGGAGAACCGACAGGAGGCGATGTGAGCACGGGGTGGCGTACAGGAAGAATCACCCAGCGAACAAGCCTTTAGTTTCGCATTGCTTCTATATCTGGCGTGAATTTGTATACCCGGTCTATGTCCTTGCGATCAATCTCTTCAGGATTTTTCACTCGGCCGATTTTCACAACTTCCATACGTAGAGGTTTCCTTCAACTTTCACATCAGAAACCGCACACTTTCTTCAGACCATACTCTATTTCCGTATTGATGTCAGACCAGAAGCAAAAGTCATACCAAAAGTCTGGACTCCAGGACCTCTACTTCGGCCAAGAGTGCCTCAACCGGTTATCGTTCTTGAGAGAAGACTACGACTTTTTGAAGCTCGCGGGGACCCACCCTAGCGCCAAGCTCCTTGTGATGGTGGGGAACAACGCAGTCTCCTTTGGCGAGAACAGCCACCACGAAGAGCACCTCACGTTTGCCCAGAACAAAACCACTGTTGCTTATATGAAGCAATGGTTGGCGGACCTGGAAGGACTCAGCGCAGAGTCTAGAGCTGCCGGGAAACCCATTGTGGTTTTCTTAGGCATCAAGGACCTGTCTGTCGGGTTTGAGCCCGAGAGCTACTCTGGACCCGAGGCGTATATCACCTACAAGGAGAGATACACCGGTATTCCGTACTTTGCGTTCAACTTTCCGAGAAGGGGCGGATTGGAGGCCTTTGTTGAAAAGGTGCGGGCTGAAACCGGTACACTCCCCGAGTACAAGGTTCTTTCGGGCTTCCAGGACGTGTTCAAGTTGTCTAATTTCAACGCCTCCATTATGTCACACGCGCGGATGTACGTCGACTGGATCCACAAGAACCAGTTCTGCGGTGGGTGCGGGAGCCGTGTTGTTCCAATTTTCGGTGGCTCCAAGTTGAGATGTCTCAACAATGAAACCGAGACCGTTGGGGACAAAGAAACCCCAGTTTGCCCGGTGAAGCAGGTCCTGGTCAGCAATCTTTCCTTCCCACGCACCGACTGCGTAGTCATCACCGCTCCAGTGACGGCAGACCATTCGAAGATTCTCTTGGGGACCAGCAAGCGATGGAAGGGCGACCCCGACTTTGACCGCATGTGGTCCTGTATCGCTGGCTTTGTGGAGCCCCTGGAGACCATTGAGGTGGCCACCAAAAGAGAGTGCTGGGAAGAAACTGGCGTGGTTTCCTCGTCGGTGCATATCATGAAGACGCAGCCATGGCCGTTCCCGGTCAACTTGATGATTGGCTGTATTACTGTTGTGGAGGAAAATGGGGTCAACGAGATGATCCACTTGGGCCACGATGCCGAATTGTTGGATGCCAAGTGGTTCGAGGTGTCTGAAATCAAGAAGATGATTGAAAGCAAGGGGAAGTACAATCCGTTCGGGATACTCTTGCCAAAGTCACAGAGCATCGCCTTCCAGTTGATCAAAATGGTTGCCTTCAACGAGGTAAACTTGACTAGTAAGATTTAAAATACAGGCTGGATTAGCACTTGTGTAGAGCCCTGTTGCGGGGAAAGACGGTCAGAGATTTAATCCGTCTGAAGGTGTGTAATGATTCGTTTGGGGCTAGTTTTCTACATCTGCATAGTCGTAGATACCGTGAACTGTAAGCTGGGAGTTTTTAATATAAGGGAACGTTCTACTTGGCATGGAAGCAGGAAGAAATTAAACTGAAATGCTATTGCCACGAAAATATTGTGAAAATAGCGTTAATAGGCTGACAGGTGTTATTCAACCAGGGCAAGCAATGGGTTATAGGCCATATATTCCTTGGATCAGGGATAGATTTTCCTATATGAAAGTTTCTGGTTAGACTGGTAATGGCTTTTTAACTTATAATCATCCCTGGGAAGTCATACGTTCCCTGGGTCAGTAAACCCAATAGCCATTTCTAGTACGCTATGAATAGCTAGTCCTATACGCACCTCCCACGTGCTGACCCCTTCTTTCTCCCATTCTCACATTCCAGTTGCCAACGTCACTTCATGGCAATACTGGTAGCATTTGTACAATCCCGTCGCATGACTGGCAGCGGCCAAAACCACCATAACGTGGAAGATCTGGTGCGAATGGCCAAAATAGTCAAACTTCCCCGGAGCCTGTCTCTCCGGCCATCGCAACGCATACAACACGGCCCCACTGATATACAATACGGCTTCTCCCAACACCCAGGTGAGCAGGCTCCGCTTCCAAGTATTTTCCAAGCCAAACTTGATAATCCCCACAAATATTGGAAATATACTGGTAAGACCAAACATAATGAACATTGCCGCACGGGTGGGTCTCCACTCAGGCCGACGAAACCGGCTATCCACGCTCATCACGAAGCAGCCCAAGCTGAAGGCGCCAATCATCGTAAAAAAGGATGCGTGGTACGCTACGGGTAAGTCGATGAAGGAGTAGTAGATGATGCTGGTCATGGAGGTGGAGGTAAGCCCTATGATCCCCACGTAATCTAGCTTGTTGAAGCGCACCGACACAGCGGGAGAATGGCATTTTATGCAGTGGTACGTAGCGGAAAGCGTCAAGCACGAAATTAATCCGCACATAAACAAGGACAACACAAACTTGTCTGTGTGTGTAGTAGTGGGGTACACCGGGAAGAGGCGGTCAAAGTAGCAGAAGGATGTGCATAATGCAGCAGAGGCAGCAAGACCGGGGAACAAGTGCGAGTGGATGTTACCGGATTCGTTGTGGATATAGAAGAGAGACTCAAAGCAGCGATGAAGACTATTGGTTTGTTTCACGTAGCCATCGAGGATGTAATGGTTGTCCTGTTGCCATTTGGGGATCTCGTTGTGGGTGTACAATCTCCGTCTAATGGGGGAAGCGTTTTTCTGCTGATCTGAAGCGGTCGGGACGCTGCGGTTCTTTAAAGTGGACATTATACTTGGGTTTGTATCATCATGAGTCAAAAGTGGCTGGGCTAATTGAGTTTAAGTAGTGAGCTGGGAAACAGTTCACAACTGACATGCGACGTCCCATGCATATTTGTTGGGGTTGGAACTTTGTCATGCATGAGATGCTGTGTCTGACACGTGATCTATTTGATGGGCCATAGATGGTAAATCTCTACCATCCTTAAGGAGCTGTCTAGAGGTTTGAAATACTATAAATACAGCACATAAATACATGGTGGTTTGATATTGTGTTTAACAGCATCTTGATGTGTATAACCTGTCATGTTGAGGACTCGCATTAAGTGGGTTTGGTTCGCGACTTCCACCAGGCGCTTAAAGCACGGATTTAAGGGACCAGAATACCCATAAAATTGAATCCCTGCGTACGAGACATTTTTGACCGGTAAAGTGAGTTATACCAGGGAAGTCATACTGTGTATACTCTACCCGCGCTTCACAATAGCTTACCGTCCAGATCGCTGCTCATTGACCGGTTTTTGTTGCCTTATCAAGACCTTTCGACGGAGATTTCTCATACTACCCTTTTCCTGCCATTACCACGCAATTTTTAAGGTATTTATTCAGACCGTAGAGCCATATGTTTGAGAATATCACATCTGGTATTATCACATGCTCGGTTCGTGGCAGTACTGATCACGTTTAAGCAAGCCAGTTCAACAGCATACGTCTCAGGACAAACCACCCGCGAAGGATTCGACGTGAGCGACCAGAATAATCAAAATTACGGGGGGCCTTGCTCATAGCTCTTGCGGTGTGCCACCAGTAATGCACATAGCACCCTTGATTATGTGATCCAGTTTCTGTTTTAGGCATAACACCCGCAAAACCTCTGGCGCTTTATAGGAATAACACTTAAGCATAATAGAGATGGTGCTTATAGTTCTCCATCTCGACTTGTCGGATTCAGGTTCAAACACATGTGATAAAAGCCAGTCCAGGCCTGTCGAAATTAACAAAAAATAGCACTGGAGTCCGTAAAAGACGGATAAATAGGCAATAGGTCACCGAGAGGTTTACAAAACAAAACAGATAGGCCATTTAGTGATGGAGCTGTAGACCAGGGAATACACTTGGAAGAGGCCCAAGAACATGGGCAAAATAAAATAGCGACACAAAATATCTACACGTGTTATTAAACGCCCTGATTCAGCCATCTAGGACAATGCTTCCATAACTGCCACAGGGTTTGGGGGGTTTTGGACCTCGGCTGCTGATTTCCCGTGGTGCTGTCTTAAGTCAGACCTTAAACCTCGGTTTGTAAGAAAGTGTTTCGGCAATAATAGACTAGGACGTACATACAAAAAATATAGAAGTTACAGAGAATTCCAGGCAGGGATATGTGAACAGACTTGAAAGGGCTTAGCCACCTGCATGCCATCGGTTTCCAGTTGCACGCATGCGGCAGGGACGTGCATAAGAGCGTTGTCGAAATAGCCTGTACAAACGCGAAATAAGTGGGACCGAAATAAAAGGTGCCTACAGTACTTTTCATGCGGGTTTCTTGCCTCTCAACTTCAGGAGAGCAAAGATGCGTTGTTGCCAGTACCAAATATAAGCGTACTCTTAAGTTCCCTCCACATAATTAGATACAGTAAACTGTTTCCTTTAGCAAACCTTATCAACCGGCATCGACAGATTTTCACTGCAGAGCTATGGCATAGAAGCAAGTCTGGATGCGTAATTGAATTTGAGCCTGGGGTACACAAGCTAAGAGATTCGATGGAGGTGTGATTTGTGCTCTACCAAAAAATAAAAAATACCCAACCTTGGAAATAGGAGACGGCAGTCAAAGTTCAAAATTTTGATAGTGCGCCGAGAAATTGTTTATCGGACATAACGCGCATTCGAAACCATTGGCGTGCATTGGACTGGCGCGGTCTTAATTCGGATTTAATAAAACCCAGAAGTATATAAACAAGACGAAAGGGCGGTTATTTTCTGAAATTCTTCAGCACTAGTAATATTCACAAACAGCTAAAAATCATGTTATTAAGATCTATCTTCCTTGCCGTATTACCTTCCATCGCCGCAGTGCAGGGCAATGCCCTTGCTAACGCGTTGCCCCAACCATTGGCCTTGGCCTACGCAAAGGCGGTAGCTGCTGAGGCTGGCTACGGTGGTTATGCCGCTAGCGGAAACGACCCTGCGTCTTACTCCTGCCACGAGTCCTGTGGGTACTCCATCTTGGCTGCGAGAAAGTGCTCTACCAATGAAACCGACGAGGATTCGGGCCCATACGACGCGGAATGTTTGTGTACCCAGGGTAGCCAGTTCCAGCGTCTTATGTCACTGTGTATGGAGTGCGGTTGGTGTCTCTATAATGACTACTGGCCGTTCTTGACGCCTGTTCTTATCGAGTGCGCTCTCGCCCCTACTCCTACTGGCACCACTTGCTCTCCAAGTAGTTACTCGCTTTATATCACCGCCTCTTACGAAGTTGCTGCTGTCGCTTCAAATTCTCCCGTTACCGCTTCCCTCTCTAGTCACAATTCTTCTTCGTATGCCACCTCCGGTTCGGGGATATCCATCGCTTCTTCCACCAGAACGTCCAATAGATCCACCACCCGCACCTCCTCTCGCTCTTCTAGAATCGGTTCTACCGTCAGCTCTACTTCACAAACGTCTGGAGCTGCCTCCACTGCCTCCTCCACCTCTTCGGTAGCCGGGGCTAACGCGCTCGCCATCGCCTCCTCGGTTGGTGGTCTTGCGTTAGCGGTTGTTGCCTTGATGGTTTAGCTCAGTTGATATCGTCAAACCTTAAACTATCCCTTGTCGCTTTCGGGGGATTTTTCTCTCCCAGTGATATCTAATTAATACTATATGAGAAAAGGGACCAGGAGGCCGATTATCGAGCCATGCATTGCCGTAGTACCAGTTTATGATAACTTATGAATATTATCGGAACTAGCTGAAAAGGATAAACTCTGAGTAAACGATGACGTTAGCCGCATCTGGTTCTGCCAAAATGCATGAATGCATATTCTGTTTGCGCAGCTGTTGCATTACGTGTATGTGGTAAGCGGAGGATTACACAAGGGAAAGAGCCCTTTAAGATAATTTTTACGCGCTACTGAATAACCAAATATCACTGGTATTTAATAAACTTTCACCCTAACCTGAAGATCAAAGAGTATGCAACTGGTGCGGAAATCTCAGCTGCTGTCGGCCTTAAGCAAATATTTAGAGACCGGTGGGTATCATAAAGGGAGAGAGCGCAGATTTCTGTGCCGAAATTTGATGACACTTAGCTAATTGTTTCCTTAATAACCCCTGCGTTTGGAATACAACAGAATAAATAATCGAGGTTGGCATAATACTGTCTTGGGGTGTATAAAAAGGCTGTGAAAGTTCCATTCTTTCACCTCTGTTCAGGTCCAACCTAAAGCAACGCTATGCAATTGTCTTTTATTTTCTTTACGCTTTTATTTTCAATAGCGGTGTGTAATGCTGCTGTTTCCTCGGGCCTTAAGCCGGTTCAAAGTGACGATGGTATCGAACACAAATGCTACTTAGCGTGTCAAAGCGCCCTTGATGCTGCCAGAGCATGTACTCAATCCCACAGTGCCTATTTCAGAAAAGACTGTTTGTGTGGCACCACAGCGACATTCCCAGGCTTGTATGAAACTTGTTTGGATTGTGATGAGTGTATATACAACCGCTTTCGGCCTCAGCTTGAGGCAGCGGCATCTCGCTGCGGGCTTCCTACTGGGACCCCCTTGAGCTCCATGATTATTTCTGCAACCCTGTGTCCTCCTGAGGAATCTTCCATTGGATAATACTGTGAATGTGGATCTCAAAAACGATTTACAGGGGTTCTAGTGCCTATTTTTTTTTGTTGATATTTCTGGGCTGGATCTATGTATTAGTAACATACGGCTTAAGGTGAAAATCCATCGGTTGTAGACCTCGAAGGCTGTATGGCCAATGATCTATGCTAAGGAATAGGAGATATATCGACGGAATGTTAAGGGACTAAATTCACCATGTTGGCCACATACCAGGAGCCCACCCTTGAATCCACAATTGAGAACGGACATCTTTAGTTTTTGCACATGTGACTTAAATTAATTTGATATGTTGAACTTACTGTCTGCATCCGCATCGCCCCTCAGTACACACGCTAGCTGGTTTATCTTGAGTTTTCCGCATTCGTAAAACCTGTGAAAATATCTTTGGAGCGGTAGAAGTGAGCCTTTGCCAAAACTCGCAAATACGTAGATACCAGGACCATGTGATTAACATATACTGAAAGTCCGTGAGCTAGACTCGAAGTTAGGTTCAAATACAACCCTAATTGAGATTGCCATCCAGGTTCGTAGCCAGTAACGTTCCTACTAACCCCATAGTATATACCATTCTCCTCCAATATCTACCCAGCCGAGTTAGTACTAGTCTGGGGCAGGTACCCGGCCATACTCCCTGGAGACACGACGCATGGGACGCGCCGTTTACCAGAAAAATCTGCACGCACCAATCACGCTGGGTCTATCCCAGATCTTAATTGTACGATACAATATACCTCTTCAACAGCTTATTCTGAGTCTCTGGTGAGTGCTGTCCATCTCCAGTTCTTAATTCGGATCAACCCATAGAATATCTCTTGCATGCAACCAAGCAATCGACTGTATTGACCTTGACGCGTGGGAAAAACACGCTGTGGCCGCGCTGCGTGCGGCGGTTGGCGAAAAAGAAACGTCCACAACAGTACGCGTACATCGTAGCGTCGGGGGCCCAGGATTTTTCGTTTTCGCTTTCCTCCGCTTCACTTCTGTGTACTCTCTTTTGCTCATTGCGCTTTTTGATACACGCCGACGCTGAACGTTTACCAACTGCTCTTACCACTGCTGACAGGTCCACTTGCTTCAACCTTGCTGATTACGCGTCGCTATCCAGACTTCGAGAGCTTCCGCCAGTGGCTAACCAATATTTCAGACACACTTTTGTCAGCTACCCATTTCGATCCGCATCAATCAAGGATCGCCGCTATCAATTTATCAAGAATAGCGCAATCTTTCGCTTAGCACCCCATCCGAAAAGCACCCGATTCGAAAATTCCCGAATAACACGCAGCCCTATAGTAACTGGCCATGGTCTCATACAAACGAACCAAGATCGTGTACGTGCCCGCGCCAACGCTCCCAGCGGATTTAGACACGGAGGTATGGCACATTCCACAGACCAAGGAGTGGTTCCTCACGTATGAGGAGTACCTCGAGCGGATGGATTTCTATAACCGCCGCAAGTTTGTGTGCGAAATCACGGGGAACTCGTGCCTCAGCTATTTCGAGGCATACGCGTCGGAAAAGTCCGAGATCAAGGGCGTGGAGGAGAATTTCCCAGATGTGTTGAAGGAGCCAATTCTCCGCCACATCCAATTCAGCACCACGCCGCGTATCGACCTCTTGGTCGACGAGACGTACCAGCGCTTCAAGAGCGACTTTTACCCGGGCGAAGAAGTGATGGTGCGCCTCAATGGCGCACGCCACAAGGGCACGGTGCGCGAGAAGGCGCGCTTCAACGCGATTCAGCTCGCGGACGGCACAACGCGTCCTGCGTACTGTCAGTACCGTGTCGCGCGCGCGAGCGACCAGCTGGAGATCACTGCAAACGAGTCACACCTCGTGCGCGACCGTCGCCTCTTCACCAAATTCTACCTTAAGTCGTTTATCAAGCTCACTGTCGGGCGCGTCAACAAGCCCGGCGCGCCGTGGGTCGCGCGAGACGCGTACGCCAAAAAGTACCTTCTTCCGACAGAGTACCCGCCGCACCTCGCGCACTTTAAGGACTTCCAGAAGAAGCTTAAGGGGCCGTCTGCCAGCAAGGCCGAGGTCCTCGCGGCGCTGCGTCTTGGAGCGGTGCTGATCTTGCCCAAGATTGAACCCTCCGTGCACAACATGCTCGGAAACACAAAGACCGAGCCGGCCGCCACCAAGAGACTGATTCGCGACGATTTGGAGGAGCCGTACACGTCGCTCAAGCCGTTGCCTCAACGCTTGGACCTCGGGGCGGTCCCGAACTCGTTGACGAACCCGGTCAACGATGCGGTGGAGGCGTGGACGTTTTTGAACATCTACCGCACGCCCTTGGTATTGGACACGTTCACATTTGATGATTTCATTACGGCGATGAAATGGAGCCAGGATGACTTGGATAACGAGGGTGCGTGTGAGTTGTTAAACGAGATCTTCTGCGCTGCCATCAAGGGGGTGGTGAGTGAGAATGGAGAGGTTTACGGGGTGGTTGAATCGTTCCTTGAGGAGGAAGCGGAGCCTCCGACGGAGACCAAAGCTAAATCAAAGGCAAATGGTGTCAAGAAGGAAGTTGGGACAATATCTGAGGCCAAACCTGAAACCAATCCTTCAGATGCCGTGGATGTGCCACTGGACAGCGACCTCTCCGACATCGAGTCTGACGACGATGACCACAACGCATACGCCATCCTTAACTACCGCAACGTCTCTTGGGAGGACCGGGTGGCGCGCACGCAGTTCCGCGACGGTAGCTGGCAGATCATCCTCCTCGGGATCCTCTCACAGTTGGAACACACCAAGCACAAGAAGGTTATTGCGCGCATGTACAAGCTTCTCGTGCCTCTGGGTACGAATCCGACACCGGGCACCGTGCTCACCAATTTCTACACCCACTTCACGCTCGACTTCCGTGTCAAGGCCCTCAATATCCTCTGTGAGTTACTCATCGGCAGCCCCGTCATCCGCGCGCACATCGACTTCTGTTTGGAAGAGTCCACGCGGCTTAGACGCGACCGTCTCGAGGCCATGCGCGAGCACAAGGCGGCCTGGGACGAGGCCTATGCCGCGAATGTGAAGATGAAGACGCTCGCCGGGAACGCCGGGAACGGTGCGGCGAACGCGACGCCGGTGCCGCGCGAGGACGATGCACGCAGAAAGTCGAAGAAGAAGAACACGGCCGTGCCGCAGGAGCCTACGGATGCGGAGGCTGCTTTCGCACAGGCCAACGCCGAGTACCGTGCGTTGCTCCAAGAGCGGGTGGAGGCCGTCACGCGCGCAGCCACGAAGCGTGCGTTGCGTAAGAACCTCGAGCGCGAGTTGAACGAGATCGACTGCCAGCGCATCCAGTATATCGGGCGTGACCGCTTGTTCAACCGCTATTGGTGGTTCGAGAGCAACGGTTTGCCGATGCTTGGGGGCGGGATCAAGAACGAGGATGAGGAGAACGAGGACGACGACGATAATGAGGACGATGACGAGGTCTTGGATGAGACCTATCTCATGGGCCGGCTCTGGGTCCAGGGTCCGAGCGACACCGACCGGGTGGCATTTATCAAGATGGAAGCGGGGTTGGTCAAGAGTTGGAGAGGCTCCTACCCAGACGAGGGCCTTGACGACAACCAATCTGCTGGCGAGGGGCCCACGTCTGAGGACGATCCTGTGGGTGAGCTTAAGACTGAGGCGGGTGTGGATCCAGTCTTGCCGCCTAACGGAGGCTTGCCCCCATCTTTTGTTTCCGCCACCAAGGAGGTCTTTTCCATCGATTTCGACGGCACCAAGGCCACTAAAGACGGCCGTCCTTTGATTGACGAGTTTGGGGCTGCGGGGTTCGCGTTGCTGCCGATTGAGCGCAAAATCATCGAGGAGAAGCCGGACCCGTTGTTCAGCTCGGACGAGTGGCGCTTTTACGACAAGCCGGAGGAGATCGCGGCGTTGGTCACGTGGTTGAACCCGTGGGGTCGCCGTGAGCACGCGTTGCGCAGCGAGCTCACAGCCATTCGTGACCGCATCGAGACCAGCATGGTGGCGCGCCGCAAGGCGCTCGGGTTGGACGCGGCGCGCGAAGAGGAGGCGCGGTTGCAGCGTGAGTTGGCAGCGATCGAGATGTCTGAGTCGGAGGTGGAGGAGGTGTCGAGCGGGAGCGACGAAGACTCCGACGTGGAGATCGCCAGTGAGCCGGAGGACACCGTGAGACGCACGCGCGGCGTGAACGCGCGCGTACAGAAGGGGCTTGAGGCGCGTATCGCGCGCTACGAAGAGGTGGCTGCAAAGGAAAAGAAGCGTGCTGCAAAGCCGAGCGACAGGATCAAGGAGAGAGAGACAAAAAGACGGAAGATTGCCGACCATGCCGCGAAGAAACAGCAGCGGCAGGAGCTCGTAGCGGCGTTAGAGCGAGTGGGTAGCGGTCGCGAGAAGTTGCGCGTGCTCGAGTGGGTGAATTCGAGTGCCAGGGAGACTTTGGGGAGCTCGCATTATGAGTCGAGGAGAAAGGGAAAGAAGTAGCGCGGGGCCAAGCATTTTCCCTCAATTGTATTATTATAATTCTGCATCCTAAAACATATCTTCTCTATCCCTTCGTGTTTTATTTTTTCGTTTAATCATAATATATAGCTGTACTGTATAAGCTATACGTACGCCCTCTTACTAGACCGTTAACTTCAGTTCCCCTCTATCGTTTTCACTATCCAGGCTTTTTTTCTTTTCTTCATATATACACGTTATCGACATATCTACTCGTCTAATGAGAGGGAACTTCTCATGCTTGGGAGAACCTTGCCGGACACAGGCTCAAATTGGCTCCTGGCAAACTCCTTCAATTTGGCCTCTTCCGCCTGTGACAACGGCTTGACAATCTCGTTGGGCGCGACAAAGGTGAACTTCCCGAAGCCGAACTCGCGGTCGGACATCTTGGAAAGCACGTAGAGCTGCATTCTGACGTACGATACCATCGCCTCCAAGTGGACAATGTCCACATCCTCTCTCCCGTTGAACAAATTCCTCCACAAGGCTGTGGCCAAGGTGGCATCGTTGGTCGCAAACCCCTCATCGTAGGCCAACACAAGCCCTCTGGTCTGGTGGTAGAAGTCCTTCATGTAGTTCCCGATGATCCTCCCGGAAGAGATGTTCATCTCCTCAGCGAGACGCAACTCCATGTCTTTGAAAAAACGGTCGACAAACTTCTGCTGGTAGTTGTGGCCGTACTTGTAGGGCATGGCACGCATTCTCACCGTGAGGATCCAGTAGTGCAACGCGGTGATCTGGAACCACTGTGCAAACGTGCGTGGAAGCCCCAAAGTGCTGTAGTAGAAGGAGGCGGTTTCCGAAAGCTCTTCGTTGGGGTATTGCAAACCCTGTTGCTTTGCTTGGCCGTAGTAGATAGAGGCGGCCACTGGACCCGCACGGACGCGGTCCATGTCGAGACGGAAGAGGCCAATGAACATCTCACCGAAGGACTCCTTCCAGCCTGAAAGCTTTGTTTCATTGCTTTCGTACGGAGAATCCGAAAGCAATGGGCGCTTGTGCTTAGGGATGGGGTTCTTCTCGTTGGAGCCGGGAGCGGTCACAATAGGCGAATGCTTGGCAATGTCTGTTGGAGGTTCCAAATTGCGCGCAAGCTGTGCGGTGGAGAAAAACTTCGCAGGGCCAAAGGCTCTGCGGGTAGCCAAGGATCTGATAGATAACATGATAGGGTGGGATGTGATGGGTTTGATGGGTAAGGTACGTGTCTGTGGATTGATATAACACAGAGGGCTCGTAACTTTGTTTTTCATACTTTTTTATTTTTTTTTTTTTTTTTTCAAAAACAGACAGGGATACACGCCGCATGGGGTGAGGCAGACAAGCCGGAAGGGCAGACCTGTGACATAATAGTGAGTAGAATAATTGAGGTATATCATAATTTGAGCTTTACTCCCATTGATGCAAAATATGTTCTGAAAGCGTTATTAAGTGATAACGCTTAGCATTTTTCGGCAGTACTATAGCTAAGGGAACCTCTGAAAATTTTAATCGTTCTGAAATAATATACAATACAAGCAAACGCTTTCGCGAGCTCCCCCTAGATTCAATGAAATTCTTCAGTTCCAGGACCAAGAGGCATTTATGCTTCCGGTGGTGTTTCACCCTCAATAGAAACCTCTTCGATCTTTGATGCTTGAGCCTCTGCTTGAGCTTCTCTCGCCTTCTTATTCTTCAACTTCTCCTCCGTTCGGTTCCATTTCACGTCGTCTGGTCTGAACCCGCCTTCCTTACTCCCATAATACGCCCACTCTGGAGTCTCGGCCACGTAGTCCATGTCATTAAAGCTCTTGCCGCTCTTGAGCAACTCAAAGAACCGCTTATAATCAATGTGTGTGAACCACTTGCCGCCAATCTTGAACTTGGTGTCAGCCACCAAAATACAGCACGAATGAGCATGCTCCGCGGAGATCTCGTACGGCAAGCCACGTGCCTGTAAGTTGGCGGTCAAGGCCTCGACAAAGTTTTTGCACTCCTCGTAGAACGGGATGTTTTGCATCGTCAACGGATTCCCGTTACCAGCAGAAGAGCCACAGAAGGTGGCACCTTTAATTTCAATCTGCGACGGACGGCCTCTCTCCACCAACTCCGCGTACTCATTAATATCCTCCATGTTGAAGTCCTTGACTAAGGTCAAGCGGAACACGGTGCGCTGGTCCGCTTGAGTAGTGCGCAAGATGTCAAGACACTTGTTTAAGCGCTCCCAGAAGTCCCTATTCAACGGCCTGTCAACCTTTTTCAAGCTGTCCTTGGTAGGAGCATCGATGGAGACATACAATTGGGTGACCTTACTCATGGCCGCAAGCTGCTCCGGATGTTGGGCGTTACACACCAAGAAGGAACTAATGTCTTCGTTGTGTAACAACTCCACAAAGTCGTTGATGTATGGATAGAAGATTGGCTCGCCTACAAGCGACAATGCACAATGCCTGATCTGGAACGCCTCGGCGAATCGGTCGGCCTGTACCCCGGGAACCCCACGCATCTGCTTGATCTTCGAGTAGTGCCCCGCCTTTGCGCCGTCAAACACAACCTGGGCCGAATCGAGCTCCCAGCGCCACTTGTCGCGCGCTACGGGGTTTGTCCCGTGGCGCCAGCAAAACACGCACTTGTTTGAGCACGCTAACGATGGCGTCGTTTCCATGCACAAATGGGACTGAATCCCGTAGAACGCGTATTTGTAGCATGACCCACGGCCTCTGAGCGCGGATTTGGTCCAGCGGCACAACTTGACCCCGGAGTGTGACCCCACAATGGTATACCCCTGTTTGGTCAAGGTTTTGTAGGTTGGCGAGTCTTTGGCCACCATTTCCTTCTTTTCAAGCGCTTGGCCTCTGTCCCTGGATGTCGTAAACGCCTTACTGCTATCGCCAACATTAGTGTTAACACTGTCGTTGTCACTGGCCATGTAGTTGCCCATGTCTTCCACGTCCACTAGGGTGTCCGCGTCTTCTCCCACGTTGTCGTAGTCGTACTCCTCGTCGCTGGCGTCGTCGCCATCCACATACACAAGCTCCTCGTCCTGAACGGTATCAGCCAAAAGCCTGTTCCATTCCTCGAATCCGCTGTCGCCCTTGTATTTCATGCACACCTGGCCGAGCGGAAAGATCCGTCTGGCCCCGAGCTTGGCGAGGTACTTATCGGCAATCTTGGCCTGGTAGCAGAACTTCTCGGGGTACGACTCCGCATCGCCTAGCCCCAAGACGGCAAACCCGGCGAGCTTCGCAAGCGGGTAAGAATCGATGCGGAAGTCCTGGATGGTGTCGAGAAGCGTCTCCAAGAAGTAGTCGATCGGTGAGTCCATTTCGTATGACGGAAGGATCAACACGTAAACGGTACCAGCGGAGTTAGCCTCAGCCTTCGGGGTGTTCTGGAAGTATTCGTCCAAATCATCCACGTCGTCGTCCAAGCTCATGAGGCGACGCTGGATACCGAGCTCCGCCAACCTCACTCCCAAGTCCTTTGCCGCACGCAAGGACGATCCGGTAAGCGAGGAATAGAAAATGATGTAGTTCGATTGCATCAAGTTGGACTTTGTCATCACGGTCTTTTCCGCCGGTTTGGCAGTTTTAACCGGAGCCGTGGCCTTGAAGACCTTCGGCGCGCGCTTAGCCTTTTTCAACGGCACCGGGGCGAGTGCCACACCCGCAACAGCTGCCACAAGCGCTTCGTTCACCGCGGCCGGCGTTTTTGGCTGGAACGCAGAGGTAAAGTCCATCGCGAGATCGTCGATAAGCTGTCCGCTGCGATACTGCAACGCCTTTACCTTGCACACGCAGTTGTCGCCATCGGTCACTGGCGACTTGCAATTTCCGCAGGAGACCTTTGGGATGACCGGTTCTGGGGGGATGCATTGGCCCTTACAGCTTGGATCGGGCTTGACCGACAGGTGATCTGTCTGGGCGGTCTGAATTTGGTCTTGCGATGCAAGGAAGTACAATGTGGCCGCCAAAAGCGCAACCGTCCATCTTCCTCCGGAGAAAAGATACACCACTAACGCAATAGTCACGTAAACAGAAGTCGCAGCCATGGTGTGTTTAGTAAGAAGGCTTTTTGTGGATAAATATTTTTCATCTTGCAGAATAAAAATGCGAAAAAGAGATGCATTAATAGTGCACGTGACACATACCATGATGATGCCATTGGTTAGCAGACTGGATAACTTTAAAGCGCAGGTTAAGCGTTGGAATAGCATAAATGAAGGGAATAATATGCTACGATGACTATAGCTTGGCCGCTGCAACAAGCTCCGTGGCATCGGTGAGTCACAATATCTGATGGCTGTAGAGTATCAAACTTTGAAATAGGAAAGGACAGCTCGGGAAAATGGAATTAATTTAAAACTAGGGAAATTCGAATCTCGTATAGAGGGCATACCACTGTTGCTTGAAATAAAAAATACACATTATCGGTTTAAAAAGGTTAAATTAGAATTGAGTTGAAGCTGATGGTTGTCTAGTGAGTACCTGGTCGTACAAACCATGCTCGCGTGCTGATACTATCAATATAGATTCTGGGGTTGTCAAAAATAGCTAGTCATTCCAGTGTAAGCATACGAGGGATCTTGTTCGACGCTGAAGACGGATTGTATAGTGAAGAGACATATTACAGAGGGCCACACTTAGTTTAAGAGCAGACCTCTTCGAAGGAATGATATATTATATTCGCGTAGTATATAAATCCAACAATAATACACCCGTGACTGTTAAGATCTATGCATCTTAGGTGTTATCAGAATATCAGTGCCTTCACGGAATAGCCTCTTAGTGCTCCGACGGAATAGTCTCATGGTGTTCCGCCGGAGTCACCCTATGGCACTCCGAAGATTCAAGCTTTGCGCCTTGTTGTTTAGCCGATCTATGGGTCTGGTGTCCTTTGCAGGACATGCAGATCACTTTTCTTTTTTACACCTCCTTTTACTAATAAACTAGACCCGTACATCCCGCTCTGTAATGCGACCCCGCTTCTCGCGGCGCTTCAGAAAACGTGCGTCGCCACACAGTAAGATTTCCATCGAGTCTCAACTTCAGCCATTCGTCATCCACAGCCCCCTCTTCCCCACACCATGCCCCGAGAACTTTGCACTATCCCTACTTTTATCCCATTGTAAAACCCGTCCCAATGATATTTAAACTCGGTTATACCGCTCAGTTTATAAACCTTTTTCGCCGATCTTCGTTTACCCCAAACTTTACCCGCGCCGCCATGTCTTCCACGCCTAGGGTCATTGGCCACAGAGGCTTCAGACTGATGTTTCCGGAAAACACGCTATTAGCATTCAACGAAGCCATCAAGAGCGGCTCCACGCTCATCGAGACCGATGTCCAGATGTCGAAGGACGGCGTGATTGTCATATCCCACGACCACCAGACCAACAGAAGCTTTGGCGAGCCATTGATCATCCAGGATGTCAACTACGCCGAGTCTTTACTGGCGCTCAAGACAGTGGCAGAACCGCGCGAGTCGATTCTCACCTTTGCCAGATTGTTGCAATGGGCCATCAAGAAGCATGAGGACAACGTGCCTGTCAAGTTCATGTTGGATATCAAGCCGGTCAACAACCCCAAGATCGTCTCTGTGATTCTTGAGAACCTCGCAAAGACCGGCAAGTCGTTGGACTATTGGCACGACAAGATCATTTTCGGCTTCTGGACCGAGCCGTACCTCCGCTATGCCCACGAACACCACGCCGAAGACTTGGCTCTGTTTGAGAAGTTGATCATCTCTGTCTCCCCTGCGATTGTCGCTGACTTGCTCGAGGTAGTGGATACGCTTCCTATGGTTGGCAGAACCAAGTTCAAAATTGATTCCGTCTCATTGTTGTTCATAAGCACCTGTGGCCCGCAATTTCCTGGCTACTTCCGCGAGTACAAGAGACGTGGTATCAACTTGTACACCTGGACGGTCAACGCCGCCGAAGATGCCTCTTGGTCGTGCAGGTTGGGTGTTTCTGGCATAATCACCGATAACGTGGACGCCATCAGAGACGCGGTCCAAAGCGGAAAAATGCGGGAGCCGGTACAGGACAACGTCTTGGAGCCGTACCTCTTTCCATCATTACTCACAAGCCAGGGAGTTCGGAAATACGGCAGATTCTGTACCTTCAAGGTGTTTGAGAGCATCAAGTACTATAATCTTTCCGGTGTCGGTGTGGGACCGTACAATATTGGGGCCGCCATTCATGGGGTTTCGCGTGCTTTTGGTGTGATTTAAAAGTTTTTATTTAGTTTACGTTTTTACTTTAGATTATATTTCTACAATGTCTGGCATTGCTACGTTTTTACCTTTCCATTGGTGACAAACGGGAAAGGCTTTGGAGTGAACTAGAGAGGTCCGGTAGCTTGTGGAGAACAAAGCGGATGTGGTGTGTAAATTTGAAGAGTTGAGAGGGAAGATGCTACGGGTATCGGCTTCTATGGTTACCGTAGTAGACATTGTTCTATGGTACGGATCTTCCAATAGTGTGAGCTCATTCATAGATGGTGTACCCACACTTTTTAAAGTCCCGACTGAACACTTCCATGTATACGCGACAAGGTGATGCACTAGCCTAGATCGACCAATGTATGTGGTATTGGTCGACTGTGGAGAATTAATTTTATCTCTACTACACCACACTCCTAATTACTGTGAGATTGGTATACAACTTTTCCTTGTTTCTGGTGTTTATCGGCACTCAGCAAGGAGCACTATGAAAGAAAAAAGTTTCTGTGCTTTAAATAGGCTATATATTCAATCTCACTATGCCAAGGTTCCGGCACCTGTTGAGGTTCTAGTCAGAGGATTACAATCAGTCATTGACTCACAGGTTACTATCACGATCTTCCACAAGAGTAAAGATATTTTAACCTATATATACCCTATCAGAGGGAAACAATTAGTAATACAACATAAGAGCCAGACGCTTATTGGTATTTATCTTTTAAGAATTAGCGGTACCAAACTTGCCTTACTTAAGAACAAGTAAATTATTTGAAATATTAATCACTATTTATTGTTTATGCAAAGAGGTCAACTTCGCGTTCAGGTCATTCTCCTGATTTTCAATCGCTTGCGTAGAACCCTTCTCGCACTCTTTCTTAGATTTCCAGGCACGTGCATCTAAACCCATTCTCTCTCACATTATAATTGGGAGTGTGGCGTAGTTGGTAGCGCGTCCGCTTTGCATGCGGAAGGTCTCTGGTTCGATCCCTGACTCTTCCATTATATTTTTGGTCTTTCCGCTTATTTTCTCTCAACTCTTATTAAACCAATTTTTTGGCCAACTTGATTTGCTCTCTCTAACGCTTAATAACCTTCAAATAGACGGCGAGGGTCACGCTCATAAAATACGGGGTTTAGAGTTTAGGTTTACAACGTCGCAAATGTCGTTATTTGTGCCACAGAAACTTTCCGGCGTCAAATTGCCTCTTGTACTTAACACCCGGGTATGTCTCTCCGATAAATTTATCTCGGTTATTTATCGGCCCTTAGTGCTATATTCGGTCCGGAACAGTTCAAGCGGTTTAATATGGTATCATGGGCCACCCTCACAAACAAATCAGGCTTCAAAGCTAGTCTCCAATTAATGAGTCCCATAGTTTACGTCAAGGGGGTCACCTCCCTTGAAAGGTCCCTCTCCAATGATTCGGTCTTGAGGGGTACGGTCATATTGAGCGTCACCAGGCCATTAAAGGTGTGGGACGTTCGTATCGGGTTTGAGGGGTACCAGGCGAAAGTTAAAGGCGATAACCAGAAGCTGCAACTTGAAGAGGTGACATTCAGAGGTGAGGAATGTTTGTGGAAGTTGGGCAGTGCACAGGGGTTTGATCCAGTTGTTGATTGCTGGGAAAGTATTTCATCCCTCAGAGAGGAGAATAACTGCGAATATCTCTCGCCTGGAAGTTACAGCTACCCGTTTCAGTTTGTCGTTCCTTCGGATACCCCAGAGACCCTTCTTACGGAGTATGGTGGTTATAGCTACAAAGCTGTCGCTCAGATAACGTATTTTGAAAAGTCCTTGAAGCGACATAAGACAATCAGCCAGCTGGTGGTGATTGTACGAACCCTCCAAGAAAACTCGTTGTTGGTCAACCAAGCGATTGTTTCGACTGGCGACTGGCGAGGCCTACTTCTGTACAGTGTCTCAGTGAGCAACAAATGCATTAAACAAAACTCCAGCGTCGGCGTTTCCATAAAGTTAGATGCAATCGTACCCGGCGGTTATAACGTATTCTCTGTGGTCATCTCATTGCACCAAACAATCAGATGTTCGGTTCACGGCATGCAAGACGAACTGGGCAAAGAGCAAGGGAGAAACTTTTACTCCAACACGACGTCGGTTAGATTGCGGAATCATTACTTGTCAAGGAACGATTTCCAGCCCGACGGTTCGGTGGATTTGCACTGGGAGTTGCCGATCAAGAAAATTATCGTGGATAATCAGACCTCAACCCCCCAGCCGCTATTTCCATACACCTTCCACAAAGCGCACGACACCATCAAGATCACACATGTGCTCAAGACCGCGGTGGTCCTCCAGCAGGTCAACGAGATCGACCCCGAGAGTGGTGCCAAGTTAAGGCCAATAGATCTTAACAGGGGGCTTGTAAAGGAGTGCTTTCCCGAATATCGATCTGGAAAAGTCCCAAGGCAGATAGTACCATATCGTAGTGTCACCTCGATGACACCGTCTGCCTCCACCCTGGCTGTCAACCAAAAGGTTGAGCTTACGTTGAGCGCACCGGTGGTTCTCCTTAGCAGTGATAGCTACGATTTGGTTCCACCCCCGTATGACGATGCATCGTATGACACGGTCTCGAGTAGCAGCTCATGGTTTAAGAGTATGCGCGAATCCGAGGCTATGCCTCCGAGCTACCTTGTTTAGCACGGCGTTTGGCCCTGGAAAATACCCCTTTGCTAAGATTAATAGTTTCTCCCATTGTAATTCTAATCGTAGATATAGTGTTAGAATTCTATAAGGGCAAAGAGCCTGGCCGTAGTCGGTACATCTGTTTGGAGCTGGGTATGTCGGCCCCGGTAAACTTGGTGAGACATCAGAAGTGTCTGTAACATGAGACATATGCGAATATTCGGTTACTCCAAGTCGCTCCCGTGAGACTCTTTGCCCCGATAGAACATGACAAGGGTTATCTGCTAGATCATAGGGCTTGTAGGTATTTGAAAGGTGAGACTTTTGGTGTCACCAATTACCTAGAATTAGTACCCTTCGTGTTCACGCATCGAGGTGCTTAACATTACTGTTTACAACTTGTAGCTGTGAATTAATATTTATGGTATTGGCAAGCGATACTTTTTGTACACACAAAAACTCTGTTCGTAAATCTCAAATATCGTTTACACAGGTGGGTACAGCGGAGGGTACAGAAATTGGTTGCTTTGTTGTGAGGTCTGTGGTGCATAACCCTGTGTCTGCCCTTGAGGCTGTTCCTGAGGTTGTGCCTGTTCTTGATACTGCGAGTACCACGGAGGCTGGGCTTGCGGAGCGGTGGGTAAGTAGTTCTCGGTAGCGGGATACGGCGACCTCCCAAACTGGGGCTGGGGGTAGAAGTGCTGTTGCTGTTGTTGTTGTTGCTGCTGTCTCGCCTTCTCCTGCTCCTCTGCCTGCCTTTTTGTAAATTCGCGTTCGCTCTTCAACAACATCTGGTTGACGCTCACCAACTCCTGCTTCTGGTTCTCATACTTGGACAACCTTTCCGCCACAAACGGCTGCGATTTGACTAGCTTGGCATACATCTCGTCGATCCGGGCTGAGTTCTGGGTTCCACCCGCAGTGGTGGCATGTGTCAACATGTGGATGAGCTCGTCCACCTCCAGCATCATCCTCCCATTTTGCAACACATCGTCCTCCTCGCGCAACTCGCGCTGTTCCTGCTCCGGCGTCGCTTTGTAGATGGGTACCACGTAGTTTAGCGGGAAAATACCCTGTTTTCCGTTCAACGTGCCCTGCCACCAATCCTTGTAGATTGGCTTTAAGACGTGGATCACGTCACCCTTGTCAAACGATAGTTCATCTGGCTCATTGGAGGCTAGGGAGTAGAGGGCTTTGACCTTGGTAATCTTCGGGGGCGTCTGCTGCTGTGGAGCTTGTGGAAGGTTTTTATCTAAACCGGATGCCGGATGCTGGCCCTCAAAGCTGTTTTGACGGTGCTGAGCCTTCGGTGACTCGAATTCTTGGAGAGATAACTGCAACACCCGGTTCAATTCCTCCTCCTCCCGACGCTGGTCCTCTGACAACTTGCTTTTCAGCGGCTTAGCCGGGGCACTGAATATCGAATCAGATTCCCCATCGGCATACGCCAACCCGGGATACTTTTGGAACAACTTCTTGTGGAACTTGACCAACGGCTTGTGGAGCGACGGGTCGTTCCTGATGCTCGCCGACTCTGTCATCTTCCCCACAACATCCACCACCTTGGTTTTGACGCTGTTGTGCACCTTGGGGTTTTTCATCAACTTTGCCTTCAACACCTTGTCCAAGAAGTCCTCCGAGCTGATTTGCTGGTTGAATCGCGAGCCACAGTTCTCCGAGCATGCGAGAATGAGGTTGAGCGTCCGCATGAGAACGTTGCCGTTGGGAGGAGAGAGCGATAATCGCTGGGTGAGGAGCTCCACCGCGCGCGCCGCGTTCTTCTCCGGCGAGCTGTTGATTTCATCAACCACTTCGAAGCTAAGCGACCAATCGTCGCTGGTAAGCGAGGCATCTGTCGCATTGTTAATGAGCTTCGGTAATTCGGACATCACTTGCGGTATTGCTGTTTGGTCCAATGAGACACCGTGGTGGTTAGGTAATGGATTTCAGGGGCAAAGGGTCTTTATCGTTTTGATGGCGTCGATTAGGCTGTGCCAGAAAAAGTCCGGCATGCATGTGGCGCTTAGCTCTGTTTTCTCCAGTCCTAGCGTATCCTTGATATTCATTATTATACAACCCCCCTTTTACAGGCAAGCCTTGTCTAAGTAAACAAAAAGCCTCCAGGACCGTCTGGTGCTACTTAGCATGAGACGGAGATGGGAAAGGTGTACAACTCCTTTGTCGGTACTGCCCTACGCACTAAGCTCCACCGTTCATGATTACTTAGATCCACCGCACACTTTCTATAAAAATTGAAACAATTCCCCGGTAAGGATAAAACTAGCTTCTCAGACTGCTCAAATCACCTCGCGGGAGGTGTGGTTCCCCGGGTATGATTGACCTCCTTATCATTGATGGTAGTATCCTGTATATAATCACTCAGCAACTCCGGGATAATCCTGCAATTCGAGTATTAGATAGCTGTGCAATCTATCCCGCCACCTTCAACCCCCGTCACTAACGCACCATGTCTCAGTTATTTGAATGGGCGTTTGGTAAGCGGTTAACCCCGCAGGAACAACTCCGCAAGAACCAGCGGTCGTTGGATAAGGCGCAACGCGAACTCCAGCGCGAAATTACAAAGCTCCAGCAGCAGGGCAAGGGTTTGCAAACGGCGATCAAGAAATCCGTCAAGCTGGGCGAGCCGGGCACGGCAAAAATCCAGGCCAAGGACCTCATCCGTACCAATCGTCAGGTGACCAAGTTCATGCAGTTGAAGACGCAGTTGCAGACTATTTCGTTGCGGATCCAGGCCACCAGATCCACCACCGCCATGTCGCTGTCCTTAACGGAGGCTACGCGGCTTCTAAACGGAATTAACCGAACCACCAACTTTCCCCAGCTCTCCAAGATCATCCAGGAGTTTCAGAAGGAGAATGAAATGATGGACTATAAGAACGAGATGATGGACGACATCATGGATGACGCCATTGGTGATGAAATGGAAGATGAGGACGAAGAGGCGGACGAGTTGGTGAATAAAATTATCGATGAGTTGGACGTTGACATGAATACCAAATTGAATGCGACTCCGAACGACATTAAGGTAGCAGTTGCTGAAGAGGCGGGGCCCCAGATGCAAGCTGTAGGGGGAGATCCTGCGGATGACGATCTACAGGCGCGGTTGGATAGTCTCAAGAGGGGATGAGCCCTGGGGGGGCAGGAATTCTTATCATATCTGGAAGTTAGTAAGCTGGATGTTTATCTTTACAAGGAATCTCTCTGTTTACGTTATTTTAATGGCTCCACGATGTAGAAAAGACGGGAGGACAAATCAGAGATATATTATGGCTGCTGGGGCATTTAACCGGTCCAACTTGGGGGCCTGGTTATATAACGTAGGTCATTTTTAGTTGCCTTATAGATGAACAAGTGGGATCCTTCAGTATGACAACCATTGGTTATCACTGCCCATGAATAGTTTTATTTTCTCCAGTCATAAGCCCTTGTTTTTCCCTCAGAGGCTAGCGCTTTCTGATCCGCACATGGTAGTGCGCATGCAAGTTTTCGCTGAAGAAACGGTTTAGTCTTTAGTGCTATACGAATTTTTCACAAGCCGGTCAGAGAAGTGTATAAATCGGGATTCTTTGCCAGCACGCCCTTCCAAAATGCTTTATGAACTAGTCGCCTTAACCCGTATCTCTTCCCCTCTCCACTTGAACCAAGAGGCGAAACAGGTTGCCAACACCATCGGGAAGTTGATTATCGAGAACAGAGGTGTGGTGCGAAAGGTGTACAGCTTGGGTGCCAAGCCGTTGCCTAGAATCGTCAAGAAAGAAAACGAAAAGCACTTCCAGTCGTACAACTTTATGATGTTGTTTGACGCCTCCTCCAGTGCGTCTTCCGAAGTGGCCAGGGCCATGAAGGCCGATCCGAGAGTCATCAGGGGGAACATCATCAAGGTCCAGAAGGAAAACGACTTCTTCACCAACCAGTTCTCCATCGACAGAGTCGCGGACCCATCCAAGAGATACACCTAACCCCTTGCTTCTTCTGCTGGTCTGGCCAGCAACAGCTTTTGAAGCCTCACCATCTGAGTACGGCCCTCATGGCCGGTCCCATAAGCCGATAGTGCCCCTCGTCTCGTATATAGCTTCGCTTGCTTTTCTCCCTGTATAGTTTATGATAAATCTGAAAGTAGACGTGTAGCGGGATAAATTGGCCTTTGGAAGTTTGTAAACTATACCCAGTAGAAAGTAGGGGATCTAAGCGGTTTGTGGCAATTTTATCAAAAGCCCAGGTCTAAGGGTGTTTACAATGGAAATGCTTCTGCCACAACTACAACGTTTCTACTTCATAGGTTATGAAACTAGTGAACATTAGATTACGTAAGAGTAGCTTATAAACATATAGAGAAATGTAGACAAGCGGATTAAAAATTAATGGCATGGAGCCGGGAGAACGTCACTTGTATGTGGTGCGTATTTTTGCTTTCATTTGGCACAAAGACCAGGAGGTTGGAAGGTAGTACATTATTGGGTATGCCAAGAAAGCAGGAGAATTATGAAGGGGTAGGAGAGTTTATCTCTTGGAAGGAGCACCGGCTCTGGAGCTACTGGCTCTTTCGGAATCAAACATTTCGTCTAAAGACGTATTCGAGGACGAAGAGGCCATTCTGGAGTCGTCCTCCTCATCAAAGACGGAAGGGGTTTCAGGGCGAGACACCAGGGCCTCGTCGTCAACAATTGGTAATAAATGGGCAGACCTCACAGACGAAGAGGCAACCTTGGAGATAGCAGCAGGAGCCGTGAGGACTACGGAGGAAGAGTTATTGCGGGAAATAATGTGGGAGCCCATTTCGAACACAGGGGCTTCAAACAAGGTAGGGTTGCTGGAGGACGCCTCCATGGATTGCATCTCAACGTCTTCGCGGCCGTAGCCAAGGTAAGCCAATGGGTCAACCTCCTTGTAGTTGATCCACTCCACAGTGGCGTATGACCAACGGCAGAATTTGGTGGCGTCGACAACCGGTAAGTTGGTGTATCTGGTGTAGTGGAACACCAAGAAGGACAAACACACACCGGCCATCAAGTCAATGAAGTAGTGGTGGGTCAAGTACATTGTACTCCACCACAACAAACCGATGTACCCCCACCAGATAGGCGCCAAGCGCGGAAACAACCAGGTCATGAACAAAGCATCCATGGAGGCACACCCCGAGTGTAAGGATGGGAAAGCGCCAAATACCAATGGAGAGTTCTTGAAGGTGGTGGTGTACATGTCAACGCCGAACAAGGCATCGACTCTGGACAATCCACCAGCTGAACCGTCCATGGAGTAGTTGGCTGGCTCTAAACCGTGCAAGTTCTTGTACCAAGGAGGAGCAGCCGGGAAGAGTATTTGGATGAAAACACCCACCAAGTTCATGTAGCCAAAGGCAAAGCCGTACGATCTAAGCGAGGTTGGAGGACCAAACAAGAAAATTAACCCAGCCACCACAAACGGAGTGGTAAAGTGCAAGAAGCCGTACGGCAACCAAGCCAAGACATCCAAGAAAGACAACGTGAACGAAGCCAACACATCACTCAAATTATCGCCGTACAAAATGGTTTCCATGGCTGGAAGGAATTTGACGCTGATGCGAGGTCTCCATTCAGCTGGGATCTTGGACGACGAGAAATAGAACGCCAACCAGGCAAATATAGGTAACGCGGAGATGAAAAACTGGCTGGTGAAGGGGATAACACAGGCGGTGAAGAGGGCGGCAGACATGAGGAAACGAAAGATGACTGGGATAGGCAAGATAAAGAAGACCCAGGCAAAGACAATGAGAAGAAAGCCGTAGTGGATCTTTTCGCCGATTGTGAACTTGTAGTTTTTGAACTTGATGATTGACAACTTAGGGTCGAACTGGAGGTTCAAGTCGGCAATTGTGAGCGAGGGGGAGGGCTTTTCCAGGAGGAAGAAACGGTCGAAGAGGTCGACGGTCTTCTGGAGGGCTCTGGGTAACGTCATGTTATAGGAGGCAAAGTATTATAAGGGGGTTAGGTATGCAATTGTAATCGGGTAAGGTGGAATGACGGGTGGGCAGGGGCGAGTTTAGCGGGTGGTAGTCTCGGCGGCTAATGAAGTTTTGCTCGGCGGTTACGTTTCGTCTTGCTCAGCGGCTAATTGGGATACACGTGTTTTGGGACAGAAAAAAAGCGGATGAATGAAGAATGGAGATAACGCTGGAGCGGAACGTTGCGGATCGTTTATGTGCAACGGGTTTGGGGTTTTCCCTAGCTCTGATTTCTTTTTATTTTCGTACTGTTCTTGCCGTAATTTCTTTTTTGGTCGCGCACGAGGTTTTTGCCGGCTTGCGCGGACTGCGGTTTGCTATTCTGCTCATTTGTTTTTGACGCGGCCAAAAGCGGGAATTGTCCCGGCCGGGTCAATTATATCGTGGGCCCCACACGACACCATACAGTCGGCTTGCCTCGGCAACCGGGAGGAGGCTTCCGAAAGCAGGGCCCTTTGACTAAGCAGTGAAGAGGTTACGGATATTTTAGTCGCAAGGCTCGAGGTATCTGGCGTATGGTGCTAGTAGCTTGGTTCATTTTAATTTCCGGGTGGGATGTTTGCCTCCACTGGCCTAATACTAGAATCGAGTAGCTGAAAAATACTAGCTCCGTTGAATATATAGCTAAGGGTGAACTGGCCTTCCAGTGTGGCTGGCAGGGCCCTTCAGGCTTCCAACATCGTTTGGTTGCCTCGAAGTAGCATTCGGTAACGCTGCACCCGTATCTTCTTGAAAAGGGTTGATTTTTCAGACTTATTCTGGGGCTTCTCCGCAGGGTCTGGCTAAATGTTTTAAAGCTGCATATGCAACAATGGGCCATGCGTTGTAAGCCTCGTATGCTTAATATTCGGGTCGTCGCAACCAAAGGAATACTGCAAGCTGAGTCACATCGTCCAGGCATGGAGATTACTGAACAGCTCGAGGTACAGGTCTGGTGAAGCTCCACTAGCTCTGCCTGGAAAATTATACATTCAATCTTACCTTGTCAGCTTCGCAAGCCTGAAATTTATTTATACTTAAAACCTTGTGATACTACCTCGCCATGTCTTCAAACGCTTTGGCACCGGCACGGGTGACTCGGACCTTGCCTGCAGTCGGATTGGCGGCGGTGCGGACTCCTGGTTGGTGGTCCACCGACATTATCGGGGCCGATTCGTAGGAGATTTGCGTCGCTATAGGCACCGGGGCAGTATTCACGTTTCCCACGATGTTGGAGGCGGTGAAGCTCTCGATCTCTTCCAGGGCGACATTGTGCGAACCATTTGTGGGGGCGCTGACCGATTCCGCCGCTCTGCCGATAATCCGCCCCCAGTTTCGCTTGCTCCGGATTTGAGATGGCTGAGCTGATTTTTGAAGGGTGCTTTGGGCGGCTACTTCCACGGGCGGTGAGTCGGGGGGGATTATCAGTTGAAGTTGCTGAATATGCTGGCTTTGCTGGATTTTCGGAATTGATTCAATCTCTTTCATTCCTTCGCTGTCTGTATTTTCTATGATTCGCTGGTTTCCTTGAATTTCCTCAAACCCATGAATCTCCTCATCTTCAAGTCCTTGGATCTCCTCATTTTCCTCACGCCCTTGGATTTCTTCATTTTCTAATACTTGAATTTCTTCATTTTCATCCTCACCTCCATCTTGGATCCTCTGAATCTGACTTATTCCCTCGTCCTGTTCCATCTCGCTCCCTCTTGTCTCCGTTACTGATGCCTCTCTAAGGGATTCCGAGTCCGACTCCTGACTTTCCCCCGGCGGCGACGCAGACACAATCTTATTGGACAAGATTTTCATATACTCCATCAAATTCCTTGGCTGTTTGTAATGCTCAGGAGCGAAAATACACCAGTTCAGATTCATCAACGGAGGAAGTTTGCCCGTTTCCACCAAATCCCAGAGGTAGGCCACCGACACGATCGGAATCTTCCAGCGCTTCGCGGCGGTGATCTTGTTGCGGATCGAGTTTTTGCTGCTGTTGCCAAACACCTCGCCACACTCCACCACCTCGGGAAACCGTGTGTACTGGTAGAGCTCAGGCGACTGCTGACGCAACGTGGTGATGATAGAGATGTTGATGATGAGCAAGTCGCGCGACTCGGTGAGTGCCTCACAGAACTCGCAGCCTGCGATTCGCACGAGTCGTTCAATGTGCAAGAGTTCGATTCCTGAAAAGCCGCTGATGCACACTCGGTACGCCTTGGGACCGGCAGGCGTCTGGATATGTTTCAACGGCCGTCCCCACTTGTCCAAGCGCAACGCGCCGTAATGCAAGCTCCGTTCGATGAACCACTCAGTAACGAGCTCGATAGGGTGCTGCCCCAGAAGCTTGCCTTGATTGAGCAAGCCCTTGATGTCGTGCGGGAGCTTTCGGTAGTTGAGGCTGGTCGGGATAAGGAGGTAGTCGATCGTTGGCGGTTCTCTGTCATATTCGCTCGCGAGCGGGTTGAACGAGCGCTGGGGGAGGAGGTCTGAAAGCGACACAACCGTCCCATCGTGAGACCGGATTACTTTTGAGAGGGTTTGCTCCTGGTGCGGTTCAAACCCATAGACGGAGAACGCGGCGTTTGTGAAAATGTTTGGGGGATCGCTGGGACCTGGACTCACATCAAGGTCCGCGTCATGGTCCGCATTATGGTCCACATCCATACTCGCATCGCGACGCACCTTACGTGGGCTCTCAAGGCGAGACACTGGAACGTCCCACGCCGAGGTGTTCGCTGGTTTCGGCACACTCGCCCTTACCGCCGTATCCATGATCGACCCCCAGATATTCGGCGCGGCCGTCTTAAACCGTTTGTTGATCGCTGGCATCGCATTCTCCCCGCGATCAATCTCCGCGCGGCGTTTTGGCGCGTTCGACGTCTGGAGCGCAAGCTCCGCCCAAACTTTACATGCGTCTTTCCCGATATCCTCCGGGGCCACCTTGGAGACGTCATATGTGTCCATAGCGAGCATGGCCCCTCTTTTAAGCGAGTCCGCCACCCAGGACGGGTCTAATACCGGGATCTTCCACTCCACCGCCTTTTCGTACCGCTTGCCCTCGCGGGAGCTCGTCACAACGCACGAGTTACCCATGGTGAGCGAGTCGGTGACTTTCGCACCATGGCGCGCGAGCTGCGCGAGTATCGCGGGCTTATCCTCATCCACGCGCGACACACAGATCACGAGTCGCTCGAAGACGCCGAGCAAGAGGTTTTGCAAGTCGAGCGCCTCCGTGTCCGCGTCCGCGCCGCCCATCCACGCCTCGTAAACCTGGGTAATTGCCGCGGGACTGATAAAGTTCATGTCCGCACGCTCGCGCACGGAAAAGCGGTATTTATCGGTGGCGCGATCGCCGACGATGAGGTAGTTGACGTCGCTCATGAGGTGGCTGCAGTGCACACCACCCATAGATTTGATCTTATTGGCAAGCAAGGTCTGGAGGTTAGTATCAAGCTGGGAGGGGAGTAAGATTGCGAGCACATACTCGTAGGTCACTGGGCACCGAGGTGCAACAGAATTTGAGACCATGAAACGGTTTTGTAGACATATTGCTCGGTTGGTTGGGTAACGTTGAGTGGCAGAGCAGTACAGAGTGTTATAGGGTGCTTCCCCGGCCGAAAAACTTCTGTAGAGATGCAGGAGAAAGACGCGTCGCGACGCGTCGCACGTATTTACGCATGTCATACTTCTGCCGAGCGTAAAGAGGTGGAATTTAAAGGTGTAGCATTCGGAGTGGACCAGCTCTGTCGCTCCAACCGTGGCGGAACTTTGGAGAGTAGATGGTGCTAGTTGTGGGGTAAAAGGAAGAATCCATCTTTGGATGTAAACCCATCACAAATCCCAGGCTCTTGGAACATTCTGCAGGTGGCTAATCGCTACATGGGTGTGTTCTGTGGTATGTGCCAAAAACCTATCCCACTTTATGCTCTCTTTTTAACGTGTATTACCGGCAAGCGTTTTAGCTCGAGGAGTTTCCTTAATCTCAGATCTAACACTGTTCTTAAGCCTTCGAAAATCACGTGCAGCTGCTTCTATGGTTGTTCACCGACAATGTGACATAGGCTCTTTCAAAGGCGTAGTCAGATTACAGGGATATTGCATACAAAATATTTATTGGAAAACTGGGGTGCGATGTAATGTTAAACTGGACACCAAGCTGGTATAAACTTTATTGAGATGGGAATAGGCTTGCGTAGATGGGAGACCTCTCAGAGGAAGAAGGAATTATCCAGTGGTATAAGGATTCTTGCGGGTCGGTTTTGGTCGAAGCAAAGCGTTCCAAAATTACATTCACCTTAAGATTGCACTAAATCTATCGGTCAACTCATTAAAGGCGCAACCACCCAAAGGTACACCTGCCTTTGGGGAGAGCTCCACGGCCTCGCGGCCACCGTAGATGAAACTTCGTTGCAATATCCACCACAAACGCTTCACAATGTGGAGTCTCCCTGAGAAACGTGTTGCTTCAAAAAGCATCTCTAGACAACTCATGAAGTGCTTTGCATAATGGTACACTTCTGAAACTTCCAAACATACATCTTTGGTAAACAGATGTCTTGGATACTGCACAGGACATCCACGCCTGATGTCCCTCAAAACATTTCCCCCCCCCCCCCCTTTGGTTACCGTTTATTTTGGCTTTTGCACCCGCTGCGGCCCCTTCACATACACCCACTGCTGCTCCGGCGGCTTGTCCACGTCCAAAATTCCCACCCTTCCATGGATACTCCCCATACCATTGACCACCCCGCGCGGCAAGATCGCGCTCGCAAACATCTCGCGCATCCGCACAAACCGCGTCTTCATCCGGATTGGCGTGATCGTGTGACGCTCCAACGGATACGCAAGATTCTTGCCCAACCCCTCCAACACCTGGTGGGTCTCCTCATCCGGGTCTAGCGGCTCAAGCGATGCGGTCTCCATGTCGTCGCGTGCAGCCTGGGCCGCGGCCACTCCCGCAGCCATGCGTGCCTGATTTTTACGCTGGTACGCCAGCAACAACTGATCGTACGGCGCGGAGCGGCCGAGCACGGCGCGCTTTGCGCCCATCGAATGGGTTTTGCAGGTTAAAGAGCGCGCGCAGAATCCACCGTTCGGTAGTGGCACGCCGCACTGCTTCTCCACGTCGACGGGCCCTTTAACCTTCGGTGCGGCTTTTGGCTTCTCCTTTCGCGGTTTCTTGGGCTGCGGCGTGGCGGACGGATCCTTTACCTTTTTTGGCTTTTTGGGTTTTTTGGCTTTCGCGTCCGCGTCGGCGCTGGGCGTCGGCGCGTCGGACGCGAGCGCGGCGAGTGGGATGTCGTTATCCAGATCATCCAACTCAACCACCTTCCGCTTTTTGGGCGAGCTCTTTTTCTCCTTCTTCAAGAGGCAGTCGGTAATGTGCTTTGCGATATGGCTCGCGAGGATCGGGCGGTTGCAGTGGTTGCAGACGCGATAGTTCAACGGCGCCGCCAATGGATTCGTGCCAAGCTCATCCTGTGGCTCGCCGGCGTCTAAAAGGATCCCAAACTCCTTCCATGAGCCTTTGGGCTTTTCCTGATGGGTCTTGATATCTGAGAGGTTGAGCTCCTCGTCGTAGTCGGGTCCCAACGTCTGTAATATCTCGTCCGGCACGAGTGACTGGATTTCCTTGCGTTTATACCCCGGTGGAACGCTCTTAGACATGATGGTTCTGTGTGGGGGCGCGATGGTGGAGATGTTATCGCTGTTCGTTTACTACTTTACGCTACGTTTCTCGTCGACGAGAAAATTTCGCGTTGCGTTTTCGCGAACGGGCCTGACTCGAATTTCCAAAAAGCCCAGGAAGGGTAAATGTAGCCCGTTGGGGATATAACTATCAGGTATGCTCATCTCTTTAAATACCTCTAGATTTGATTGGATCTCTATAAATTGGTAAAGGGTATTTAGCACCAGGTGGTCATACACGATTCGTGGAACCTTGTGACAAATAGGTCACGTGCAGTGTAGTTTAGCTCTGTTACTACGCTTGGGTCTAATGGAAGTTTCTTGGTTTTTCAGTAATACAATCCAACACCTCACTTAGCATTATGAGTCTCCTCTTACAAGACGAAAGACGAGCTACGGAAATTGCAAAACAAAATTAACTATATTCACTTTTGCTCACCCGTCCCTACAACTGCAAAAACATAATTATATATTAAGGAAGCAGATACGAATTCTATAATGCGTTCCTGATAAATAGCGTCACACGCGGAAAATAGAGTACAGTACCGGAAGTAAATCAAAAAAAAAAATAGTGAAACCCTGAAACAAAAAAAAAACGAAATGAACTGATGCTAGAATGTATCGCTTATTCCGATTCATCATCGGTGTCAGGTGGCTTTGGCGTACCCTTTGGCGTGTTCAACCAGTTAATGTGTCTCAAACGTCTTCTCTCCTCCTGCAACTTCTTTTCGTTTCTGGTCATCTTCTTCTTTCTCTGTCTGACCTTGATATTGGCAGGGGAGTCATTATCATCCGCTCTGGCCTTGGACTCTGGCTTGGCAGCAGCCGACTCACCACCATCCTCAAATCTGGCAGTGTCGATCTGCAAAGTCCCCTTCTGGACAACCTCACCGTTCTCCACAATCCACTGTTCTGGGCACAAGGCACCAACAAACTCGTTGTTGTGGGAAATCATCACGACACCACCGTTCCAGTCTCTGATGGCAACCGCCAACCCCCCGAGGGAATCACGATCCAAGTAGTTGGTAGGCTCGTCCAAGACCAACAAATGTGGGTTGTTCCACATGGCACCGGCGATGACAACCTTGACCAACTGCCCACCAGACAAGGAGCCCATTGGGGTGTGGTCGGCAATGTCACCGTCAAGACCAACGTCCTCGAAGTGCTTTCTGATCACCTTTGGCGTCAACTCTCTGTACCCCAATCCCTCTCTGGAGGCCTCGTGATCATCAAACTTCTGAACCAACTTTGCGAAACCCTCATCCACCAAGGTTTCTCTTGGCAACCACGAGTTGTAGCGTGGAATCCAGTTCTTCCACTTGATTTCATACTGGAACGACTTCTTCAACTTTTGTCTCCCGACAATTGCCTCAATAGCGCGTGGGCCTCTGCTGTCGTTCAAATCGAGCTGCTTGGCCATCATCTCAGCATCGCCAGCGGAGATCTTTCTGGACTCCTTCATCAAGACCTCACGATCGTCACCGAACTTGTATCTCCACTGGAGGTACTGGTTGGCGGTCTTTTCCTTGTGGGTCTCGACGTGGGCCAACGCGTGCTGTGCGATGTACCCGATTCTCAAGTTAGGGTGCTTTTCAACATGCCCCTCGTTTGGCATCAACTCACCGGTCAACAACTTGATGAGGGTGGACTTTCCCGCACCGTTTGGCCCGAGAACGGCGACTCTGGAGGACAAGGAGAGCGAGCACGAAACGTGGCTCAACGATGGCTTGACGGTCCCCGGGTAGGCAAACGTCACATCCGTCATTCTGGCGACGGCTCTAGTGGAGGATTTGACACCGGTGAGAATACCGGCTGGGGGGAAGGCCATCTTGACGTTGGAGTCGGTCAAAGTGTAGTAAGACTTACCCTCTGGCTTGGCCTTGACGAACTCAGACAAGTTACCCTTGTAGTAGGCAAGCTTCTTGTTTTCGTAGTGGATAATGTCGGTACACACGGTGTCGAGGAAGCCGGAGTCATGCGAAACGATGAGGGAAGTGATGTCCGTGTGTTCTACCAAGTAGTCCTGCAACCACTTGACGTTGGTAACGTCCAAGTGGTTAGTAGGCTCATCCAACAATAAGACATCGGCGTTAAGCAACATGGCTCTGGCCAACTCCAACTTCATCTTCCACCCACCCGAGAGCGCCCCCACATTCTGGGCCAATCTCTCCTCTGGGAAACCGACGGTGAGGAGCGCGGCTGTGATCTCCTCCCTGGTGACGCTCTGAAGGTTCTCGTCGGACGCGATGAACGCAACCAAGTCCATGTCACCCTCCTCACCCTGCAACTTGTGCTCGACGAAACACGTGCGCAACTCAGACTTGTCTGGGAAGCCTTCGAGCTTCCCGGTAGCGATGGATCTCATGAGGGTGGACTTACCGGCACCGTTACGCCCACACAACCCGTATCTGTGACCCTTCAACAAACGCAAATTGGTCTTGTTAAGCAACATTCTGGAGCCGTAGGCAAGGGAAAAGTCGGAGTTGACAATCTCGATACCGTCGTCGGCGTTAGGGTTGACGGCATCTGGAACGAAAAGCTCACGGAGCTTGAAGATGACGGACTCCACGTACGCCGGAGCGTCATCGCCGAGTCTGGAGGGCGCGGCCATGTCCAAGAACTCTCTCAATCTGACCCAGTCGTTGACGTTAGCGTCGTGATGAATGATTGCCGAAAGGTAGTTGTACACAAGCTCATCGTCCTTGAAGGATTCGTGGACGTATGCAGAAGCCTGTTCCTGGGAGATTCTCCCGTGGAACTTACCGTCGGAGTGCTCGGCCTCGGCGTCTTCCAAAACCTGCAACGCCTTGGCCCCCAACTCTCTGACCTCTGGAAGAGAGGCGGAGTTGACAACCTTGCGGATGCCTGGCAATAAAACCGGGATGTATCTCTCGATTTCACGCTTGTTGTTGACCAAACGGGTCAAGTTTTCGGTCACGGTCACGGTCTGTCTCAACTGGTCCTGGGAGGAGGAAGACATCTTGAGCGACTTGTCTAAAATCGGCACCAAAAGCGCCAAGGCTGGCTCGGTGACTTCGGCAACAAACGTGACGGAGGAGAAGGCCTTGATACAGGCTGGGATCTTGGTAGGGTCGGCCAAGGTCTCCACTATAACGTCGTATCTGGTCTGCAAATCCAAGTTGTCGAGCACCTTTACGTAAGAGGAAAGGGTCTTGAGACCGGCAGCGGCGAGTTCTGGCTTAAAGTCGGTGGAAACGTCGGTTAAGATCGGGATCCCGTCGGCAAACGTAATTTCAATCAAGTCCGCCGGAGTGTTGGCGATGATCTTGTCACAGAGCTTTAACGCAGCCAACTTGGTGTTCCACTTGGCGGAAGACCCGAGATAGGTGAGTAAGGCTGGGAAGACAACTGAAGAGTTGGCTTCGGTAGGGAAAAGGCCCATAATCGCGTCGATCGCCGCCTGCGCCGCGCGTTTGACAGCCGTCTCCTTGTCGGCGAGGAGGTCGAACGCGAGAGGCAAGAACGCCACGAGGTGCGCTTCGGCTGGGGTGGCCCCGGAAAACTGGCGTGCAAGAGCGGAAATGATCAACGCCGCGGCTTCGCGGATCAAAGCCGGGTTCTTGGCCTTGGATAAGGTTTTAATCACCTGTGCAAGGTCCCACTCTTCCACAAACGTCACACCGTACTCGGCAATGAGCGCCACAATGGCGTCAATCTCGACTCTGACCTCCGAAATGGAACCAGCCTGGTGGATTGCCTCGATGTGCGGTGTGAGTGGCGAGAGTGCGAGCTTGCCCAACGCAGTGTTAAGCGAAGCCAAAGAGGTGGACGATGAGTTGGACGACAACATTGGCGTAGAGGTACCGCTGTTGGTCCGAGAAGTCACGTTCGAAGGAATTGGGGATGCGACGCTCTTGACAAACTTATTTCCAAGTGGCTGTCTCTGCGCCTTCTGCTGAGAGATAAAGTCATTGAACGACACGCCACCGGCGGTGTTCTTGGCGAACTTCTGGTTGCCATCACCTGGGATGAAGGAACCAGCGTTCGGGTTGAATTTGCTCATTGTTGGTTATGAAGAAAAGAAAAAAAATAGTGGTGGGGGCGGAGGAGAAGTATTTTTCTACAGCGCATCGATAGTGAAAAAAAAAAAAAAAAAAAAAAAATGGAAAAAAAAGAAAGAAAAAGAGGTTCTGCGGCGAGGGCGACGGAAGAGAGGTAAAAGAGCGAAGCTGTTTGCACTGGAAGATTTTGTAGATAGTGGACAAACCATAGTATTTGAGATAAATGGAAATGAATTGATGTTTGGTTGTATTCACATGTGGTGAATCCAATACAACGTAGGTGATATTCCTCTTATCCGGTATTGTAAACTTTTATGTATCGGAAATCATAGTGCATAAACACAAATCCGTATATAAACGTACACGTTATTTTGCTTATTATATGACTATAGACTATTTGTGCTCCCAACCTTAGATTATACTGATCTCGTACCCCTAACCTTTACTTTGTAATTAGCACAACTTCAGTAAACTCACGATTAACCACTCTCTGTGAGTTGGTGTATTGCTCACCCCGTTAATGGTAACCAAAATGCCAGGATTATTGTCCGAGTTAAATAAATAGATGTTTAAAGCTGGTAAATTATCCGTCAAACCTGTTGAAATTGCGCATAAAATATACTCCCCACGTGTACTGCATTGGACTATTACATAATTCGGAAAATAAATTGAATATGCCATGTAACAAAATTATTCAGAACTTGACTCTTGGAATAACACCTATTCTTCCTAGTTTGCGAATGTGTTTTAGTTAACAAACACGCTTTATCTTTATATTAGTGCATGTTTGAACCACAGTTAATCCAACCCGGTAGACACCGGTTGGGAAAGCCAATCAGGCCAAGATGAACCCTTGACATATCAGATGGAAGTTCGGCCGAGTAGTCTAAGGTGTCTGACTCAAGATTAGACCTCGTAAAGGGCAAGCGGTCATTATCCTGTGTGCTCCTTCTCCACTCATACTACGCTTTTAACCACTTTTCTTTTACTAGTCATTACTCACGCTAGGAAATAGTGCGTATATTGAAAGGAAAGACCAGGACAGAACCAGGGAAAATTAATCAAAACCACCCCAAATAGTAGAAAAGACGGACCCGTCACGTCTATTTGGAGTTGATACACTGGCACAAGATCTTGAACAAGGTGGTGACGAGATCGTTCGAACCGTTGTTATTTTGTTGTTGGTTGTAGTTATTGTTATGCGCAGCGTGAGACTGAGCATTGCCATACTGTGGCTGCTGTTGCGAGTGATAAGCAGCTTGTGGCATGTTCGGCGCACCTGGATCCAACTCAATGACAAGGACACCGGCATTCTTGTGATCAATATAGTGCTTCAAGTTAGACTGCTCGCACAACTCCTCTACCGCTGGCTTAATCTTCGCCACTCCGTTTGCAGAGTGCAAGCCCTTACCCACGATAACCCTCAACTGCGACTGGTTGTGCTGGGAGGCCCAGTCGATGCGCTTTCTCAAGATGTAGACGGCCTCCTTCACATAAAGACCGTGCAAGTCAATTTCGTTGGAGGAGGAGTCTGCGTTGTTTTCACGGAACACATACTCCGCGGCTTGGCCGTTGAAGTCGTCGGCAATTTCAAGCTGCTTCTTGGCTTCTTCGGATAACTGGTGCGCTCTGGCCTTGTCTCCCAGCTTGTAGGCCTGTTGAGATTGCTGCGAGAGGTTGCTCCGTTTCTGGTACGCCTGGTCTGCTTGCTTACGAAGGTTATGATACTGGCTATCGGTGGAATGGTTGTAGTCGCGTTCCTGGCCGCCATCTAAGAGCGTTAGTTTCGTTCAACTGCGTTCTAAGACATTGTTTAGTCCCCTGTGCGTGACTTTTCGTTGTTATAACGTACCTAACCTGACACCACGATCCATTTGACCAGCGCTCATTGTGAAGGGTTGCGTTAGAACTTAGTGAGGGAAGTATAAACACGAAAGAGATAAATTTTCTAGCCTGAAATCTCGATGGTACTTTACCTATCCGGGAGGCTCAGCCGCAGTTTCACCCAATCGAGTAATCTCAGACACCAGCTGGAGAACGAAAACAAATGCAGAGAATTCCTGGGCGAAAAACTTTTAAAGGAACCTTTATAAACAGGGCATACAAATGTTTAGAGAAAAAAAGAGGAAAACTGTTAAAATTACATAGAAAAATGAAATGAAGTGACCCGGTTTATTAGTAAAGTACATAGAAAAAGGTCACCTCAAGTTAAGAGAACCATAACCAGAAAAAAAACATTGAAACGTGATACAAAACTAAGAGACTTAGTTCATGGCCTTGACCAAAACGTTAATGAATTCCTCAGAGTTACCGGTAGAACCACCCTGGATGAAGTGCTGGAACTTTCTCTTTGGGAAACCACCGTTAGGGTTGGACAACTTGAATGGCCACAAGAAGTTGTTGACCTGCTTGAAGTTTGGACCAACAGTGTAGATCTCGTGGATCAAGTCCTCAACGGACTGAACACCGAACTTACCCAAAGAGGCTTCGATGATGGCGTTGTCAGTCAAAGGAATTCTCTGCTTGTTGACCTTACCGTACCCTCTCTTGTAAACCAACTTTCTGACGGTGGCCAAAGATGGGTAACCGTAAGCAACGTATGGCTCGATCAATCTCAACAACTCAATGGTGGCCTTGGTGACTCTGACAAAGACGGCGGCGTTGATCTGCAAAAGTCTCAACAACTGCATGACCTTTCTTGGCTTTGGTGGAATCTTGTTGATACCCTTGATTCTGACAACGAGAACGAGCTTCTCCTGGGCGTCAACGTAGTAGGAACCGGCAGCCTTGGCCTCACGCTTGGCAGCAATGATGGCACGGTCAGACTCGGTGTATTCCTTCTGGTAAGCAGCGGCACGGTCGAAGATGGCCTTGCGCTTTTCCTGGGAAGCCTATTGAATTGTTAGTAACGAGTCTCCAAGCTTGGTTACGCAGCGCCACGTCAATCCTTTTCTCTTCTTTTTGAAGTATGTCAGCCCCGAAAGATGGTTAACTGAACGACAACAGAGCGTTAGCTAGTCGATAATAAATTGGTAATTTAGGTTTTTCATCAGAATAAAGCAAAAAAAAGTGGATGAAATGGTGGAAGGTGAGTGACGGTTGCATAACCAGGAACGGAAAATATACATACGGCCTTGCGGGCAACCTTGGCGGCGGCGCGGGCCTCAGCGGCCTTGGCGTCGGTCTTGGTCTTCTTGATCAAAGATTCTGGCTTTTGGATTTGTCTATATATGTTAGTATGAGAAACTTATTCGAACTGAACGGCCAAATTCATTCGAATGAAATGCAATAAGTGTGTACAAAGAGACCGCAGGTGCTCCTACCATGGTGGCTAGGAAAAGGAGTAGGGGCAACTGACGGTTTCCGTGGTATACATTTAACCAAGTGTTGCTGACTGGGTCAGGAAAAGATGGCAAGACCCCGTCCTGAGACGAGAATAGAGGTTGCACAAGGCTCGACAAGAGCAGCTTGTGATCTCTATGTAAACAGAAAAGACAACGAGGAAGGGCAAACTCCAGGAGAATACTTCGACTTGTGGTGATTTCAAGACCCCAGGCATTGCCCGAGAGAGACAGTAGACGCCAAAGCGCACTGGTTGTGTGTCCATGGGTGTAGCTTTTCAACACACTCATGGACACCACACCATATTCCATAGAACATTCTGATGGATTTAGTTTCGTCAAAGGAACATGCACTACTTACTGAGCAGACATTGTTAGAGTGATGAGGGGACTACGATATGTTACCGAGGAAGAGAAAAACGCTGTTTAATATATAGTTCTTGCAGGCCTGTCAGTGGAAAGTCTCGGTAGGTGCGAAGGTGGAAAATTTTCGGCAGTCCTGACCGAAAGAGGAAAGACAGAACCAGGGGTGAGAGTTTTGCAAAAGGTCGTGTGCCATGTATGGGGATTTCAAAAAAGAGGACTTTTTCGTCCTTTTTTTCACCAGTGTCCGTGACTTGTGAAGGGCTGTATATCACGTGAGGAGAAGTAGGGCTGGAAAAGCCCTCAGCTTATCTGTGACATTGGACCCTATCTCCCCTCTCCAAATAAGTTGCATGTGTGACATTCCTGCAAAATGCAGGTTCGTAAATGTAGTTTCAGTGCTAATAATATATTATGCTATATCTGTATAACTTTGGACCTAAGGCTTAACTACCACGGTAGGTAGAGTAGCTGTGGTTGGACAACAATAACGGCACATGGTAGTGGTTATCTGGGGGGCTTTCAACAACAAAGGATATCTCGACAAACGGGAAGAAAGTTCTGCCGGATTGTTCGGATTCTCCAGCTCTCTTGAAGTACGAGCCTGTCAAGAACTTGATCTTGTAGACACCCGGGTGTAATTCACTCCATGACTGGCCCTGGATGCCCAAGGCCAGGTTATCCGCCTTGGGATCAAACACCCACTGGGCAATTCTTCCATCACCATTGGTTTTTCCCACCGCAAGAGGCTCTGGGGCTGTGGTTAAGTTGTTCAATTCGTCCTGGCTCTGCGAAGCGGACAAGTAGTACAAGGAACACGTCACATCCGCAGCCGGCTTACCGCGGGTGGTGTCTAGAATATGGCAGGTGATTGGTGGGCGGGACATTGCTCTAAATGGGTTATACCCTTTGAGAATCGCGTAGCTGTGAATGTGGGGATGGGCTCATATATTTATATATGCATGCATGTTGGGGGGTAAATTTCCCCTGTCTCGCATATCGCCGAGGCATGCGGCAACCCGGTCTAGATAAGCTCAAGTATGGTACGTGTGTGGTTAAAGAGCCAGATATAACACACAATGACAAACATACAAGATGTATAAGTTTGTCGCTGTGATTGTCAGGCCATAAAATTTGTAAGGCAAAGGTTATGCCACAACATACACATTAATATTAGACGTAGTCCCTGCTAAACAAGCGTAGTGGCTACAATTATTACGGTTTCACTATATTCGACAAAGTCTTATGCAGCCATTTTATTACATATCCGATAGAGGGGAAATCTATAGACTCACATCAAGGGTTTCTTCCGGTTGAAAGATCCACGCCCGCCTACCATATGGTCGCCAGAAGTCCCACGTGAGCAAGTAGGCATACTCCAACGCCAAATCCCCTAACAACCAGCCAATCACCCCATACACCACCTCCGGCGCCATATCCACCTCCTGTTTCTCCCGCAATGATCGGTACGCCCTGGTGTATTCAACACAGTCAAGCTTACGCTCGCAGAGCTCGCCGCTGCTAATCAGAAGCAAGGTCATCTTCAACTGATCGACATACTCTATCATAGGACCGGCGTAGCAGTTATAGGAGCTGCTGCACTTGAGGAGACCACCCACTTGGAACTCGTGTCTAATGTCATGGAAGATTCTGGCCAGGAGCCGGTCGAAGGTGACGGTGGTCTCAGGAGGGTGTAGTCTGTTGTTTTGCATCTGCCAGATGGTAAAGTTTCGCAACTTTGCGGCAACAGATCTATCGTGGTAGAGCTGTTTCAAGGGAAACTTGTAGGAGTGTTTTCTGATAATCCATTTGATGACCGCGAGCTTGAGTTTTACTTCCGTAACCGGAGCCACGAGGGGTATCTGCTCAAAAACGAAAGACGTGCGGGGGAACAAAGCAACCATAACCTCATCCTCTAAGTTAGCCAGTAATTCAGAAGCTTTGATAATGTCAGGGTTTCTCCGTTTGATGTTTCGGTGGTGGACGTAGAGGCTGTCCTCAGGAGAACCCTGAACCGTTTCTGTAGATTCAATCAGGTCCCGTCTGGCTTGTTTTCCGACACAGTCTTTCTGCATGAGCGGCACAACGGGATGGTTGCTCACCGCGGTGGTTTGTGGCGGCTCATAAACCCATGGTTTTACAAGATACCGCTGTCTGAAGGCGTGTTTCTCTCTGATCAAGCGCATTTCCACGTCCAAGTCCGTTCTACCCCCAATAACCTTCACAGAAACAGGCTGAAACTCTATTCTCCGATTAAACGTGGCAACACTGCCCTCGAGCTCGATCATGGTGCCCCGTGACGTTTTCCAATTGTCAAACGGGAGGCCCGCTGGGAGCCACAAGCGCTTGGTGATCTTGCATGTAAGATACAGCAGACACGACGAATCGTCCAACAAAACGTAAATAAAGCACTCCTGCTTCTCAGTCTCGCGGATGGTCTCGCCCACGATCCGCCCCGAGACTCTGACCCTCAGAAGCGGGTGGTTGTTGACCATGACGTAGTTGGCCCGAGCCTGCGAATGGAGACCCAAAAAACCGTAGATACCGATTATATCCGCGGAGTGGACAATGTCGCGGATGAAGAGTGGCGCATACACGTTGAGCTTTGCCACTGGGTTCTCGTCAAAAAGGAACACTGCGTAGTATGTCCTGGTGGGGGTTCTGAGCTGGATGTGGTCCTCTCCAGGCGCAAGATCACGGGGCAGTGGATGGTTCATTCATTCGGAACCTTCGAATGACGTATGATGAGGGGCTAGAGCACAGATGTGAAGTGAAAAGGAGGGCAAATTGAAATAAAGCGCAAAAGTAAACAGATGGCGTCGTGGCGAGGCTATGTACAGGATACATTGACAGCTGAGCCATGAGGTGTGTATACAGCAGTTTTGAGGGGGTATTACCGGTTAAAAGACCTATGTTGTGATTAGGATTTGACTGAAGGCTGGACAAAAGAGAGGAATGGTTCTATGGGTAAGTTCTGAGACATTCCCGTAGGTTGACCAGTGTTGATCACGTGAGGTAAATCCCGAGATATCGTTGTCTTGTCTCGCATGCAGAACATGTCTAAACTTTAGCTTTACCCGTTAATCTTCAGGTTGCATAGATGGTAAGCCCTGGGTATGTAAGAAATTAATATTAAAGAGATTTATTTTGGCTATTTCCCTTATCGACCGTATTTTTTTTTTTTTTTTACATTTTAGTGGCTATCGGAAGCTGTCACGTAAAGTGTTCAAAATGTAAGTTGCATTTCCAGTCCACCACTCTGCATCTGAATAGAATGCGGTGACGGACAAGAACCGAGTTATCGGCCGGGGAAACTGGTACTCAGGGTGAATTTTATAGAATTCCCATGGGCTACCAGAATAATTATTACCGACTGAACCCTTCGAAAGCTTAATATATTAAGTTATTGCCCCTGTAGACAGCCCTGATACGATAATAATAAAGGGACGTCAAGTCGGTACTGCAGTAGGACTATTTTAAGCAGCAGTTTCTTGTCTATTTCGATCTAGTTAATTTTTTGGCAGTCATTCAGATTAATCACCTGGTGACATTTATTTCCTTGATTTTTTGGCATTCAGATTAACCATCTGGTGGTATTGATTTCCTTAATTTTCCGTTATGTTTCACATAAATCAGCCATCCCATGATTCACTAGAATAAGCCGTTGGCTAAAATAATTAGTAACCTGGTAAATTACAGAGTCCAATCAATCATAGCTGGTTTTAATCCAATTAACATTGGGCAATTTTCAGTCCAATCAATATTTGGCTATTTTCAGTCCAATCAAGTATAGTTTCGATAGAATCGGTCATTTCATTCATTACCGATAAACCATCTCTGTGAAACAACCATCGTTTGTTATAGAGAGGACCCCTCTGCCTAATACGTGAGAATATCAATCTCCTTCACCTTATCAACAGCACTTGTTTCCTCCTCCATCCCCCCCTGCTTTCTATCATCCCTATCCCAGGTTTGACGGAGTTTTGCAAGAATAAACCCAGCAGAGCCGGCACCTAGCTCCGAAAGCAAGCGGAAGAACTTCTCCGCCCGTTTCCGGTCAGAGTCCTCCGCACAACATTGTCCCGTGAAGAACATCGACCACTGGACCATCATTGGGGCGTACGACTTTGTAGGAACCGGGTCGTCGAGGAACACCATGAGCGAGAGCACACGCTTCGCCAAGCCCTGCACCACCGGGTGCCGCTTTGGCATCCCGAGAAGCCGGTGGTAGACCGTGAGCAACGCCGTATTTACATACGCCTGTTGCGCAATGTCGAACCAGCTGTACGCCACAGGCTCGGAGAGTCTCGCCACACCCGTCGCTGCGGGCGAGAGCTGAATGTCTGGGAGTGTGGGAGGCAAAATAAGAGGGAGGCCGGCTAAAGAATTCGACCCCAGGTTGTTTCCCATTGGGGTTTGCGACAAAGAATCTCTAGTCGAGTTTTGCGGGAAGGTGCTTCGAGAAGCGGGTACCGGATCACTTGAGGGGCCATTAATTTCGTCGAGATGATCGCTCATTATTTTCCGGTACATTGGATGCGACTTTGGTACCACCCCGCTTTTGTGAATCACCAGAAACTCCAGCTGCCGGTGCAAGCCCGCGATGAGCCGTGTGATCTCAGAGTACATCTGTTCAGGCTCTTCTGAATTCGTTTCTGAGTCCACCTCTGGATTTGTCTCTGGCCTCTGCCCCGCCTTTAGCTGCGCCCCTGCCTCTGATTGCTCCTCTGACCTCAGCGGCCGGTGCATTATCTTGATCAAATCCCCTAACAATGCCGCCGTCTCGTTTGTACACCCAAATAACAAGTTGAACCCGTCCTTCCGCACCAACTGGAGCTTCTGCAACGCTGCCGTCTCGCGCTTGTCCATCGGCGACAACAAGCCAAACTCGTGTGCCAGTTTAAGGGTCCCTCCCCAAGGATTACTCAACCCCGCAAGGGTCTCCAACAGGGCAAACCACGCCTTACAGAAGATCAACACCACCGACGGCTTTGCCTTGAGTGTGAAATACTTCAACAACAAGTCCTTTGCCCCACGGAGATGCGTCCGCCAGGCCTGGCTCTTGCTCGCGGCATTCTCTGAAGTGAGCAACAAAATTGTGAGCAACATTGATTCGATGTTCTTGCCAATCTTTTTTTCTGCAAGAATCTTCGCGAGCGTCTCCAAACACATCGAGAGATATGAGCAGTACGCCTCGTTGTCCTCGTGGCGGGAGGTTCGGCGGTGAGACACGCGTGCGCCACAGGCGAGAATGGCCGAGAGCATATACTGCTCCTTGGCCGCGTAGGTGAGGAGAATGTCGCGAATGGGGTTGAGTTCACGGCTCTGGAAGGCGGGGAAGGGAAGCGCGACGGTGGCAAAGTCGTAGTAGAAGTGGTGGAAGAACGTCTGGTGGCGGCCCGTGAGGCTGAGGAAGGAGGGGGGGATGTTCTGGGCGAGACCCGGGCAGTACCATTGGAGAGTTTCTGGGGTTCCCAGGGAGGTCGTACCCAAAAGGTCACTGTTGGGTACTCCGGGAGGGGTACCCTCAAGCATACCCGGAGGGGTACCACCTAAAGGAGATTTGCCCATACCCGGGGTAGCCAGCGGGGCTCCCTGAGGAATACCCTCAGGGGCACCACGGGTGCTTTCTCCGTGGTCTCCTGCCACCACCGGCACTGTCCCTAGACTGGCCTCTGCCACAACCTTTCCGTCCTGGCCGCCCTGGACTTCATCGAGCCGCATCGTCACCAAGTCGTTCAAGTTGTGCGCTAGTAAGTTTGCGTTAAAAAGCATCTCCTCGTCGTTTGAAAAGAGCGATGACAACGCCCCGTCGTCGAGGCCAAAATCGAGGAACTCGCTGGCACTGGAGGCGGGCGAGGGCTGGGCAAACAGCCCGGGGCTCTGGAAGGTGAAGCGCGAGAAATTTGGGCGTGGAAGGCCGTCCGGACGGGGGTTTATCGATGGAAGGTAAATGGGAGGAGGGTACCCATTTGGAGGCCCGCTTGTATGCCCATTCGGGTAAATGCTCACGGCTTGGGTTCTGCCAAAATTTAGGATCTTGTCAAGCGTGGGAATGGAACCGGACAGTCCGGGGAGAGGCGAAATGGGTGTCTCTGAAGGAGTCTTGGCGGGATGATTCCGCGCGTAGTAGATGGGCTCTGCGGGAAAGGCGCCCATGCTAGGTGGGGCTACCGGTAGATATCCCTGGTTTATGTGGGTATGGCTATGATAATCCGGGTATGGCGGCTGGGAAGGATACGCCTGGGCATCTGCGTAGAGAGACTTCTCCGGGAGCTCGCCTGGATGCGACTCATATACGCACCTCTTACCCAAGCGGGAGCACTGCCAACACGAGGGTTTGGTTTCGTCGCACTAAACTGTTAGAGTTGGTCGTAGAGATTTAAACCTTACATACCTTCATTTTCCGCCGTTTGCACTCTTTGCATCCCCCGCGGCTATACTTGCGCTTTTTTGGCTTGGGAATGGGCGACGTCGGTGGGGTAGTATTGGTCATATGTGCTTTCTTTTTGATATGTTGGCAAAGAGGAACGCTAGCGATGGTTAAGCTCGCGGGTCAATTCACTGGTTACTCGCAGGTAAACAGGATCGGATCAAATTAGAGCTCAGTAGTATTCGCAGGAGCATGCGGGTTTTGCCAGGTAAGTGCAGCTATGTAAAGGGAGTCTGCTAGATGAGGAACCAGATGCCTTCAAGTTGAGTAGACTAGGTCAATTTTGCAAGATAGCGGCCTGCACGGAAGGCTTGATGCACCTGTAGGTTATCCGGGATTTAAAGGCTCGCAGGTCGGCGAGGTGCATAGTGCTTTTCGACCGGAAAGCGAATATATCTAATGTACTAGAGCATATGGCACGAGTCTAATTGACAGATGGTCCTCTGCCTTTACAACACCAGGGTTATGTTGGTTACAGATCGTGGAAGGTTTTATGAGCTGATGCAGCTTAGCAGTCCCGGGCCAGGCCGTAGTAGATGAGACTGCGCGGTGTATGTGATGTACGTCCTCGAGCCTAGGAAACAGGAGTGTAGTTTAAGTACGAGGTTTCAGCTCTTTCCCTACGGTTTTGGCGCTGGTCTGAGGTTTTTCTGGCCAAAAATCTATTTTAAGGATCTTGGGGAAGGGAATTAGGCACGACAAAGACAACGGCAGTACACGGCTACAGATACGGCACGAGACGAGATCCCGTTATGACAAGCCATTATGGATAACTACAGACTGGGAAGTTTCGATAGGAATTAGTATTCCCAAGCTTATTGCATAATGGGGTCTTTCACACGTTTTGTAGCATTGCGGTGAACGGTAAGCACCACTAGGGCAGACTTAGCTACGAGCATATGTGCTATCAGAGACGGCCGTCTGCAGCTAGCATGTTACAGGTAAGTAGACAGATTTAGATGTACAAATATACATTTAGTTAATCTCGTTAGGCAGGCACTCGAGGCCACAATCATTCTTTTCCTTGGAATAAAGCTTTGATCTGCCTTAGTTCGAGCTTCTCTATCTCTTATCAACGTTTCGAGTGCGATCGTCGCTTTGGGCGTGATCGTCATTCTGAAACTGGAGTCGGGCGTCTGTAGCAGCGGCGCCATATATCTCCGTATTTGGTACCTGGTTCACCGTGTTTGATTCGGAACTGGACCTTTTCCCGTAAACCTCCTCTGCAAAGTGGTTGCGACCAGAAGCTGAGTAGCCCATAGCGAGGAATTTCAGATTTTCCGGAACAACAAAGCCCTTGTCGTAGTTACAGATATCCTTGCTGCTCTTCTTATGGCCCGTAAGCTTTTCATGGATTTTATCTGTGATGTGGGTCATATTGGAGGTTATGGTAGTTTTCAGCTCACCAGCACATCGAAATAGCCTGTTACTGGAAATTGACGTATTTATGTATGCATGGAGCACAGCCTAAACTTCTGGCATTGCCTTGCATACCATATAAGAATTTTATAACTCCCCATGAATATCTAACTAAACACCCCTTGGACCTCGAATATAATAATAATAAAACCCCAACGCCGTGTTTTAAAATCGGTTATAAAGAATAATATTATTATAGCATTGCTTCTAAAAGCCAAAACTCTGTTTGTTCCCTGGGTAAGCCTTCGTACTGGGGTCAGGCTACAGTGACATACTGCGATCCAAGTATTTGGGCATTTGCCGTACATAAGCAGATTTACAGGATATTTCCACCAATAAGAACGGTGAGCTTTCTAGTTAACCAGTGAATTTCGCGAGAGGCGCAAGAAGCTAAAGCAAGCTAGGGTGGGAAAAGGCGACGACAGCTCAGCCCAATGCTTGCTGCCAGACTAAGTTCCGTGGCCAGCACAAGCGTCATGTTTACGCCACGCGGCTTTCCTATATTCTGTTTTATTTCTCGCATGTTTTCTTCGATGTCCAGGCTAATTGCCTTATCGTTACTCTTTGACCGATTCAGTTATTTTGCCATGCTTTTATTTTGACGGTAAATGCCGCTACACGCAGCGAGGAGTGACTAGTTTGGGGAATAGTACCGAGAGTTTTAGCGTGCATTGTCGTAAAAGCGACGCAACGTCAGTCGTAAAGTCGGTGCTAGCTTAGATGTCACCAGTGTAATATAACTCACAAGCGGTCCAGGAGCATAACAGGACTAAATATAGATCATAAAAAATAATGGTCCCTAGCAGGATCGAACTGCTGATCCCCGCGTTATTAGCACGATGCCTTAACCAACTGGGCCAAGGGACCACTCAATAAGATATAAAAATTACCTGGCATTCCTTGGATGCCTAGGTTTTTGTAAAAATCACGTACTGATCCCATTCTTAGATGTCAGATTTTGAGTGACGTGCTGTCAACCCAAAAAAAGAGAAAGGCTCAGCGAGTCCCTTTGCCCTAAACGATACTACGGCTGGATCACATCTAGGGCCAGCAGAATCATGCCTGCCGTATCTGGAATCAATCTGAGGTCTCCGGTAAATATACAACTTTTTAACTCCTGATACATAATCCCTGCAATCCTAAGGGTCTTGGTGAATCCCTGTTTATCAACTACGTATGTATCAACTATATAAAGAAGCTTGGTGCACATAAGATACAGAAATAGACCACTCGAGATGTATAGTGGAAAGTGCTGCAGTCGGTACGTGTCAACGTTGGTCACATATCGGGTACATCACCTAAATCTGGCGTTAAATAAATTTGCAATCTCCCGGACCAGTGATTTAGAATCCTTACAATATAGTTTTCATCCATGAAACCACTGTCGACAATACATGTCACATCGTCTCGCTTCAGTGTCGAGACGAATCATGCCTAGTGCTAATGAATAAACAAAGTCATACAGACAAAGTTGCTCTTGTGGAACCAGGGTCAAGGGTAAGAAAATGACAAACAAATGCTTTGCAATTACCAAGTTAATTGCCTTTGTCGTTTCGTCGGCCAGGAAAAACAGCCACGTTGAAAAGATTTCCCCACTTGAAATTCCCTTCCTAGTCTCTCCATATCCTCCTGTTACCCCCTTGCAGCATCCAGAGAGTTTCGACAGACATGGGGGGGCTATGCTAACGGCATGGGCTTCTTATGGCATACGCTTTGTATTTATTATGGCTTTACCGTACCAATGGTCATGTCCCCATTCTCCCAAAAGCTCGATCGATAGCACTGAAGGCATGCGATTCGGAGCTAGCCCGTATGCACGGTGGTATAGCAGGCTAGTGTCAGCTGTAGAGCCCAAAACTGGACTGACCTATTCGATATCTATATAGACTAAATAATAGCACCCACTTTAAGACACGCCTGAAATAGCGTTCAGATGCCTCGCATGCCACCTGCGGATATACTCCGAGTGCTGATGCGAACCAAGCCGCCGGCCAGGGACCCACCGTTTTCGCGCCTCCCCGATAACGTTCGAGGCATTGCTTATCGCACATTTACAGGTATTCGGCTTCACAATAACGCTGAACTGCCTCTATCCATTACCGTTGAACCACAATTAACATCTCGATTGCAATGTCCGAAACGTTCCAGACCAAAACCATCAAGTGGTCGACGCCACCGGTGTCACCGACGCACGCGCTGCAGCCACACATTTCGACAATTTTGATCCAGAACGCCAACGGTCCATGCGCGCTCCTCGCATTGGTGAACACGTTAGTGCTTTTGCACGACTCGTTGAGCAAAGCGGACGTGGGCGGTGAGTTCACGCCGGCCCGCGGGAGCAGCGAGGTCTACAGCGAGTCTCTTCGGGGCAGTGAGTCCTCCCGCAGCGGGTCACTCCGTAAGAGCGGCGCAACTCGCGACTATCTCTCCGAGCTACAAAAGCTTGTGCGGATTGTCAACCACCCTAATGGTTCGGTCCCCCTCACCCGCCTTGTGGATGTCTTGGGAGACCTCTTGCTAAGCGGCCTGATTGACTCTAGTGATGATATTTCCAAGACATTATCGCTTCTTCCATCCGTCCATACTGGCCTCAATATCAACCCCAGATTCGACGGAACTTTTGCAGAATCGGACGAGTTATTGTTGTTCCGGGCTTACGGCGTTCCCTTGGTCCACGGGTGGATGGTGGAACCGCTGAAAGCCGTCTCTTCGCTTCGGGAAAACGACCCCGCAGTAGATTTGTACGACGTTTTGCACGACAAGTCGTACGAGGAGGCACAGAACTTGTTGGCGGAGGCGCTGCACATCCAGCTGAGCTTGAACCCAAAGCAAACCGAGGGGCAGCAAAAGGTGATTCAGAACAGCGATTTAGTGGCTAAATGGTTGCGGACGACTCTGGCGCAATTGACAGAGTACGGCTTACATCATTTGACCTACGATGTGGCGTTTGATAATCCAACTGGCGAAGGCGACTTTGCGGTTTTGTTCCGCAACGATCATTTCGCGACGGTCTACAAGTACTATAATCCCATCACTGGGGTCTTGGAGCTCTACCACTTGATCACGGATGAGGGTTTTTTGCACAAGAAGGAGTACGTTTGGCAGAAGCTTGAGATCCAGGATGAGTGGTATTACGATGGAGACTTTAACGAGGTTTTCCCGGAGGAACACTCGGAGGTGACTCCAAAGGCGGACAGCGAAGACTACTTGCTTGCACGGGCGTTGCAGAAGGAAGAGGACGAGATAATTGCCAAGAGCATGCAGAAGAAGTATGAGAAATCTGCGGCAAGGGCTGCGCCTCCGAGTATCGGAGCTGTCGACCCAGTAGAAACCGCCGGCACCACTAACACCGCCGGGGGCTCCAAAAAGGACAAGACCAAGGACAAGACCAAGGACAAGACCAAGGACAAGACCAAGGACTGTGTGATTGTGTAGCCGAGTTACTGTTTTTAAAATTAATAAACGATGAAAAAAGTTTATGGATGTAGGAGAAGTCCCTCGACTTCCAACTACATTGGTGGAATACAGAGGTAGAGGGGTAGGAAAGTCTCCAATACTAAGAAAATTTTCCAATACTAAGAAAATTTTCCAAGACTGGGAAAATCTTCAATACTAGGAAAATCTTCAATACTAGGAAACCCCCCAATACTACTAGGAATAAGTCTAAGGAAAGATGGATAATGGGGCTAAAGCGATTGTTGTTGTTGTTTTTGGGAGGTACGGTATGAAACAATGTTTGCACTCACAAATATTGATTGCTTATAAGCTCTAACTATGCTTGTGTCAGAGGAGAACGCATACCAAACAGGGACATGCTCTCCTATCAAGATACCCTGGTAGAGAGTACTCCTTACCACTGGAACCTAGCTACAACCTATCGCTTCTCACATAACTGATCATCTAGAGAATGTCCGTACTGGTAATGGACGAGAGTTATAGAGCAAACCAGCAAAGACGCTTTCCACACATGATCCGGCAACTTTAGTCACCTAACTCCCTTAGACCCCTTCACACTCTATCCTTCCCGGACGCCTGACTCCATCAAACTCCATACTTTTCGGCATCCCACCTCCATCACTGGTCCTTTATTGCCCTCACACTCCATACCCCTGATCTTTCACCGCCCACAAAATACATTATTGCACCCAGAAACCATCTCTCAACCAAATGCGGCAATTTGCGCTTCCCAATGCAGCCTGGTGTGCGTGCGCGGAACATTCTAGCAAAAAAATCTCCCGCCGTAAAACGCACATCACCCTTTTGTAGGATAGGCACAATCAGGTGATCTCAGTACTTAACCGGGCCGGATATTCACCCCTTTCAGACAATACATATTCCAGCCACAACCAGCATGTCAGACTTGTACGCTGACAACATGGATCTTGCCCACGAGATCCAGCGGCTCCAGAACCAGCAATATCCCGCCAGCGAGTCTGCGTACCAATCGCCCGAAGTCATCTTGAACGAGACGCCTAGCAACATTCCAACGGGAAGAACAATGCCAGACGATGAGTCTATCGAGATGATTAACCGTGACTTTGACCACTCCGTAAACCCCAGAGATAATGCGTACAACTTTAACGACATGCCCACGCCCGCCATGTTTGACGACTTGGGCTATCAGAAAACGGAAGATTTTGGCGGTCTCGGCTTGACGCCGCTTCTCGGACACAGCACGCTCGCAAGCAGCTCGGGTAACGCGAATGGGCACGGACACCCTCAGGGTGTGAACAACCCCCCTGCAATTTCCACCGCCTTCCCTAACGGCCAGCTCATAAGCCCGTACTACAATCGTATGAACCCAGTGTACCAGCCGATGCCGCACCTCTCCGAGTCTGTGTTACCCCTGGGTATGCTCTTGACCAACGGCAATGACATCAAGTCCAAGGCCATTATCAGCAAGAAAAAGAAACCGCTCGCCAACAGAGCCAGCGCCGCGCCGCCGAGCCAGCCCAAGTCGCGGCCGGCGTTCGTGATGAAGCTCTGGAGCATGGTCAACGACGAGGCCAACCACAAGTATATTGACTGGTGCGACGGTGGAGAGTCGTTCAAGGTGTTCAACCGCGAGAGCTTCATGAAAAACGTGTTGCCCAAGTACTTCAAGCACAACAACTTTGCCAGCTTCGTCCGCCAGTTGAACATGTACGGCTGGCACAAGATGCAGGACATCACTAGCGGGTCGTTAAACAGCAGCATGAACCCAACCGCCACGCCGGAGAACCCCGCCGGCCTGTCGGAGACGTGGCAGTTTGAAAACCTCAACTTCAAGAAGGGCAAAGAAGAATTACTCGACAACATTGCGCGGAACAAATCAAGCACAAAGGACGACGAGGACGACGATGAGAGTATCGACTTCCACGTGGTGTTGAACGAGTTGCAGACCATGAAAAACTCTCAGATTGCCACTACTGAGGAGTTGAGACGCGTCCGAATGGACAACGAGTTGTTGTGGAAGGAGAACTACATGATGCGAGAGAGACACCGCCAGCAACAGGATGCGTTGGACAAAATTCTCTCGTTCTTGAAGAACGTCTTTGACAACAACTCCAACAAGGCAGTGATGCCGGGTATGGAGGACCTCATGAACGGGAACGTTTCCGATTCGGCAAGCATGCTCACCAAGTTGGGGCCCCAGGGGGACTTTAGCGGATCAGGACAGGCCTTGGCCGCCAATAAAAATACCCATAACCCCAATCATAATATCACTTCTGCCAACCAGGGCAGAAGAGCAAGGTTGATGTTGACGGATCAAGCGCATGGGATCACTCCGCCAGAAAGCACAACCAGACAGTCTGTGGATGACGGTCAGATCCAGGAGATCAAGCGTAATGACTCAGAAAACCAGTTTGACCCAATCTACAACCCCAACAACTTCTCCAACAACTTCCCCAATGACAACTTCCAGTACCCTCCGTACTCGAATGGTAGCGATTTGGCAAACTTTGATCCTAACAATCCCAACTACAATGTCGATTCGCCGCGTGCTTTGTTTGCAGAACTCGCCCAGGGTGGTCCCCCAAACATGCCCGCTGCCTCCTCCGTCAGACAAAACTCCGGACCACACCAGTACCCACAGCAGCAGCTCCAGCAGACCCGCCCGCTGCTTTCCCGAGTGCAGAGCATTAACAAGTCTATCGAGGAAAGGCAGGCGCACTTACAGCAAGTCTCCGACTGGATCAACAAGTCGATCTCGAGTGGGAACCTCAGCTCGCCTGTCGCGACTCCGGCGGGGCTCTTTGACATCCACGGTCAGCCAAGCTTTAATTTGGGCACCCCCGAGACCTTTGGAGGGAATCCCGTACAGACCCCTAACGACTTCAACGTGGACGAGTTTTTGAATCCTTCCACACCGCCGCCGATGGTTGTTAAGACGGATACCGAGGATGGGGTGCTTAATCCGTCATTTGACAACAAGAGAACGATCCACGACATTTCAGAGGATGGTCGTTCTCATAAGCGCTCTAAGCAGTGAGCTCCATGTTTCAATCATTTCTTCGTTTACTCTCTTTTGACTCGTTAATTGCATCTGGCTTCTTGGCCTCTCCTTATACAGATATGTTTTATTTAGCATTTCCTATGGTTCTTGGTTATACGGTTTATGGTTAAGATAAATTCCCAAGGACTTTTAATGTTACGGTTGTAGCCCCAATACGGCCGCGAAATAGGCAGCTTCGGCTGGCGCGGGATTTTGTAATATACCCCCGGACTGGCAGGAAATGTAGATGAGCGAACTGCCGTACCCCTCGAGGATAGCATAGGAGACTACTGCTCGTGATATCTGTTTAAATAGTAGCCCGGTTGTTTTCCCCCACAGAGGATGTGCGTACCAGTCCTATCTCAGCCTCTGCAGGGTCCTCGGCTTCCACACAGTGTAAATTTGTAATTTAGGCATAAAGGATGGCACTTCAGAAACACCTCCGATGCGAGAGAGATCAAATCTATTTGATCCCCATACGGTTATTTATAGAGGACAGTCTCGGTATATTAGACCCGATCGTTGGCTTCTTTCACCTAGCATCAACTACACTGGGCCACTCCAGTCGCTATGGACAGGGATCAAAACAATGCCAAATTATCCCCGGATACGATCATTTGTACATCCACCTTTTCCCTAATAGCTGTGCCCGATTCTTCACAGATGCTGCTTTTAGTATGTGACATACCCGCACCCTGCTCGGCCTAGTCCAACATTTCCACCCCGGCGTAAATCTCCTTTGCCTGTCTTGACTCCGGCCCAAACCTAAAGGGGGTATGCCATATATTGTTCCAATCACCTCATCTGCATATGCACGTGACACGCCGGGCACAGCAGTGGCTTTATGCATGGACGTTGAGCTGTAAAGCCTATTTAAATAGAGCCGGCCCACACACACAGGCATCCGCGCTTCACGCTTACTCCTTCCACTATTGAATCTCTTCAGTATACCGTTCATTATGGCCTTAAACATCAAATTGATCGCAATCATCGGGACAGGTCCCGCGGGAATTGCATCCCTCTATGAATTTCTTCACACCAACGCGGATGGTACCTCCACCGTGGGTGGTGCTAGATCGGCTGACCCCGCCTTCACCAAGGTTGTCGCCTTTGAGCAAAAAGACAAGGCTGGTGGGATCTGGGCCCCCTCCTTCGATGAAGCGGACTACCCTCTTCCACCCCAGGATTTGCTCGACACCAACCAGTACAACAATCCCGATGTGATCCATCCAGCAGAGCCTGTGCCTGAGAACTTGGAGAGAGCGACCGCTTCCCAGCCATTTGTGAAGCATGCCAGCGATGCCACCTCCAAGGAACTCCAGTGGAGCAGAAGTGGGGTCTATTCCGACTTGTTCACCAACATCCCGAACAGATTCACCCGCTTCTCGTACAACAAGTTGGACGAAAAGTTGTTGGACACCTCGCGCCTCATCTACCCGTTTATGACCAATACAGAATTGACCAACAGTATCAGACACATGATCGAGACGGAAAACTTGAACGAGCACATCAGAACGTCTACCAGGGTGGAGAACGTGCAGAAGAAGGGCGGAAAGTGGGAGATCACCGCCAGAAAGACCAGCAACGACGGCCTCACTGAGGAGTGGTACACCGAGGAATTCGACGCCGTGGTGGTCTCCAATGGTCATTACACCGTGCCTAGTATTCCGTGCTTTCCCGGCTTGGCCGAGTTCAATGCCCAACGTCCGGGCGTGTTGAGCCATAGCAAGTCCTTCCGGTCGGCGGAGGAGTACAGAGACAAGAAAATTCTCTTTGTGGGGGGTAGTATCAGTACCATTAACTTGGTACAGTACGCCTATCCACTCGCCAAAAGCGTGTATCTCTCCAGAAGAGGGAAACAGAGACTTTTCCCGTGGATCAACCGCGCTGCTGACTCGGAAGGGATTGTTTCCAAAACCACCATCGAGCGCTTTATACCGGAAACCAACGAAATTTTGTTCACCGACGGGACAAAGGAGTCCGGGTTTGACTTGGTGGTGTTTGCCACGGGCTATCACTTCCACTACCCGTTCTTGAAGGAGTACTTGAAGATCAATGACCCGTCTAATAGAAGCAGTGTCAGCGGTTTGTACTACAACACGTTTGCCATCGATGATCCTACGTTGGGTGCTGTGGGAGTGACCATCTCCACACTCAAATTCCACACCATCGAGACCAGTGCGGCGGCACTTGCTGGTGTCTGGTCGAACGCAAAGCAACTTCCAGCGCGCGAGGAGCAGGAAAAATGGGTCCAGGACCAGAAGGAAGCCAAGGGTGGCTCCATTGATTTCCACTACTACACCCACGAGCAGGTCAGAGCCGGATTTGTCGATCCGGTGCACAAGTTTGCGGCGGTAGGAAGAGCTAGTCCGCTTGAGGTGGACGGTGAACATCTCAATGATTTTGAAGTGGGCTTCAAGACGTTGGAGAGACTCTTCTACGGACTCAAAAACGGGGAGATCACTCCAAAGGATACATTGCTTCGGGCATAACGGTGAATGCCAATAGAGCATTTAACTGTACGCATAATGAGTATGAGCCTTCGAGATATATTAGACGGGTTTAATGGACCCTCTACGTAAAATAAAGCGATTTATCAAAAACCAATCTTGTGTCTATGACTTTGCCATTGACCATGACAATGGAAATCCCTGAAGAGCGCAACCAGGATAGGACTCCATTGTAGATCGAATAGAGGGAATAAGACCCTGGGAGTGATAAAACTGTGATACTAAGCATAATTAGAACTTAGTTCGAGATAAGACGCATATGCATGTATTGCATATGCGAAACGTAAAGTGTGGCGCCAGTTGTGCCGCCGATATCATCAGTATTTCTCGGAAAAACGGCTGGGACCCCCCCACAGATCCACAATTTTTAAACCTAAGAGTATAAGTAGAGAGCATTTCTGGATATATTTTTTGCCATTAACGAAAACTAACATAACTTCCATGACCTTTAACATTAAATCTATTGCCATTATTGGCGCAGGCCCGGCGGGTATTGCGTCCCTCTATGAGTTTCTCCATACCAATGCTGACGGTACCTCCACCGTGGGTGGTGCTAGATCGGCTGACCCCGCCTTCACCAAGGTTGTCGCCTTTGAGCAAAAAGACAAGGCTGGCGGGATCTGGGCTCCTTCCTTTGACGAAGCGGACTACCCGCTCCCACCTCAGAATCTCCTCAACACCCACCACTATAACGACCCTGACGTCATTCACCCGCCAGAACCATTGCCCCAGAATTTAGAGCTGGTAACCGTGGAAGCCCCATTGGTGAAGCCATCCACCTCCAAAGAGCTTCAGTGGAGCAGAAGCGGGGTGTACTCTGACTTGTTTACCAACGTCCCGAACCGTTTCACAAGGTTTTCCTACCTTAAACACAATGAATCCTTTTCCGATAAGACCCGTTTGATCTACCCGTTCTTGTCCGGCGCTGAGCTAACCAGTAGCATTGAACAGTTTGTCGAGACCGAGGGCTTGAACGAGTACATTAGAACCCATACCCGGGTGGAAAACATTCAGAGGAAAAACGGAAAGTGGAAGGTTACTGCCAGAAGAAGTGGTATCGAGTCTGAAGAATGGTACACCGAAGAGTTTGACGCCGTGGTGGTTTCAAACGGCCACTATACCGTTCCGAGCATTCCCTTCATCCCCGGATTAGCAGAATTTAACGATGCACACCCAGGTGTCTTGATCCACAGCAAGTCTTATAGATCTACTGCCTTGTTCAAGGACAAGAAAGTGTTGTTTGTTGGGGGCGGCATTAGCACCGTCAACTTGCTCCAATATGCCTATCCGGTGGCCAAGAGCGTTACCGTTTCCAAACGAGGGCCAACCCCGTTTTTCCCATGGATGAACCAGGCCGTAGAGTCGGAGGGTATAACTTCGAAGCCTACCATCGACAGGTTTTTGTCGGAAACAAACGAAGTGTTGTTTTCTGATGGAACGAAGGAGACAGGCTTTGACGTGGTTATTTTCACCACCGGTTACCACTACCACTACCCCTTCTTAGAGAAATACTTGACCGTCAACAACCCCTCCAGTCAAGGTAGGGTTAGTGGTTTGTTCCATGATACTTTTTCCATCGAAGAGCCTACGTTGGGGACGGTGGGAATTGCCATCTCTATTCTCAACTTCCATACCATCGAAGCAAGTGCCTCGGCCCTTGCGGGGGTGTGGTCCAATGCCAAAAAGCTTCCGTCCCAGGAGGAACAGGAACGGTGGGTTGAAGAACAAGTGGAAGTCAAGGGCTCTACATACCTTTTCCATTGCCATCACCACGATTCGGTAAAGGCGCAATTTGTGGACCCGCTCCACCAACTCGCCGCTGTGGGCAGATCCAATCCACTTGAAGTGGACGGTGCTCATCTCGGCGATATCGAGCAGAGTTTTGAAAGCATGGAGAGGCTTTTCTACAGGCTCAAGACCGGTGAAATCACTCCTAGCGATACTTTACTCCTGTCGCAAGTGCATTCCAAGTTCTAGTGGGCCTCTCTCGGTCTTTCCCTGTTCCGTTCTTTTTCGTTACCCCAACTCATTCGGATGGATTTCTATGGCTCTGTAAACTGGTAGTTCTCGAACGGGGCTAATTATACAAAACGCTTTAGTCACACGGGTACGTGCCTGATTCAAGTATAAACAGTTTCCTAGAAGCACTAATGACGAGACCGTAGCTCATAAGACAGCATCTATAAATTATATATTCTTGTTAAACCAAGCTGCGCGTTAAGCTTTCACCCACTTCTTGGCAAGGTCTGACGCGTATCCCATGTATCGCTACCAAGCTTCAGAACCATCGTATCAAAAGATACCTCCCTTCTCCGCTCAGATTGTCACTTAGACATAATCTAAAACTTGTTCGATACGTTCCCTGCAGGGTTGTAAACTATGAGTATATTAGCGTATTAACAGATATCATACAGGTCATGGGGGGGGGCAATCAACGCGGGTCATAAGAAGTAGCCGAAGCGGCTAAGTGGCCGTTGAAGTCAGATACAGCTCAAGCTTATTTCAGCAAGTCACCCTTGTTGACAACGAAGCCCTCGATAGCAGCCATGGCTGCGTACAATCTGTTCTCAGCCTCCGCAAAGACGATAGATCTGGATTCGTCGTAGAAGACGTTATCGTGAACCTCCTCCTGGTGCCTTGGGAGACAGTGCATGAACTTCCAGCCCGGGTTGGCACCGCCATCAGTGGCCATTTTCTGTGAGATCTGGAAGCCCGAAAACTGCTTCAACTTTTGTTTGGCCTCCTCTTCTTGGCCCATAGAAACCCAGGTGTCCGTGACCAAAATATCAGCGTTCTTGACGGCTTCTAATGGATCGTGATGCAAGGTCAAAACAGCACCGGTTTGCTTCGAAACCTCGGCAGCGCCGCTAACAATATGGGCGTCGAGCTTGATGCCCTTGGGGGTACACACTGCAACGTCGATACCGGATCTCAATCCGGCGATAGCGAGATCGTTGATGACGTTGTTAGCGTCGCCGATCCAGGCCACCTTCAAGCCCTGGGTCTTACCAAAAGCCTCCTTAATCGAAGCAATATCGGTGATTGCCTGCAACGGGTGGTAGGTGTCGCAGAGGGAGTTGATGATTGGAACAGAGGAATGCTGGCACAACTCCTGGATATCGGAATGAGGCCCCACACGGGCAAAGATGCACGAGGTCATGGAAGAGATGACCCTGGCGGTGTCGTACATCGACTCGTTAACCCCTAACTGGATGTCGTCCCTGCCCAAAAACATCGGGTGGCCACCAAAGTAAACGGCAGCACCTTCGGATGAGATTCTGGTGCGGGTTGATCTCTTGTTAAAGACGAGAGACACAGTCTGGCCAGCTAAAGCCTTGGAAACAGACTCTGGCGCCGGCTTGCCCGATTTAAATTGAGCCTTGAAGTGGAGGGTTCTGCTGACCAAGGAGTGCAACTCATCGTTGGACAACTCAAGCATGGAGATCAAATGGCGGGGCTTGGAGGGCATAGCGGAGGAGGAGAAGGATCTAAAGAGAGGAAGAGACTTTCTTGGAAATGACATAACGTTCGAGAGTAGAGAAAAGAAATAGCGGGTGGAGAGAAGCGGATATTTATAGTGGAGAGTGAGAAGCGGAAGTGAAAAATGGAGGGTGGTTAGTAAAGTAGGGGTGTCCCGATCTGGCAACTGACTCACCGCGCTTAATTTTTCCAGGTCAGCACCGCGCTTAGGGACTGCGAGCGGTGATTGGCCAGTTAACATACGTGCATAACACGCGCAGTCCTGTTAATAGAGTCCTACATAGGAGCTTTCGCTCTAGTCCGAAAGGATGCATCTGAGTTACATTGCCCATAATCTGAAGAAGAATATTACGACTGTCTTGATATTTTAGTAAGTGTTGATTAGTTTTGGTTGGGCATATCCAACCTTTGCTAGTACTGCTCCCTTCTGCTGGAGAATTGACGCAGTCCTGGTAGTAGAGCCCGGGGTTAGCTGGTCCACTCCAGTTATGGTTGTCTTCTGGCTTAGTGTCGTTCTTAGATGGTATTCGCCTTTCCCCTTCCGGAATTATTAGTTTTTATTTAGTACGCATACTTGTAGTATGGTCAATTTATCCTTCTGGCAAAAGTCGTTAGTGCGGTCCTATAAGCAAAACCCACCGCTCTCCACGCATAGTGCGAAATACAACAGATGGAACGCTACATTCCTTGTGTATCACTTTGGGATATACCAGTTTTTTCGTAGCATAGTATCAATTATTTCTACTTTACACCTCTTTTTCGCTCGAAATCTCACTTTTGGACTTCCCGCTAGCAAAGCCTTGCTGAAAGCGGTAATGGCACGGGACAGATGTGCCGACATGGCCTGTAAGACCATATGCACGTCGGCTAGAGAGAGCCCGAAGCCAACTGACTCACATGAGAAGCGGGATTTTTTTTTTGACTCTAAGCGGAGGTACCAGGAAATTATCAGGCTGACGAATCTGTGTTACTGATATCGCTTGCCGCTTTCATTGCGCCTATTCAAGCCATCCAAGGTGTGCCATTCCTCCAGCATATGCTCATGGAGTTTGCCAGATTTCCATTGCTACGGCATCAGATATCCACAAAAATATTTATATTCGTGGCTCTCTGCTACAGCTAGTGGGCTATTCTGGGGTTATATTCTCACGATGACTTTGACCTGAAGTCCCAGCTTAAAACCAGTGTTGAACTGAGCTAGTTTTATAACTCGCGAAAAACTTGCACCTCTTGTTTTCGCTAAACTGCCTTAGCTCGCTACCCACTCGCACTTTTCTGGTTCTCGCACTTACCCATCTCTGCCTCACCTTGAAGTGACACCAGTTGATAAATTTTTCGTTTCCCCCGAAACCACGTAACTCAAAACCCACAACCTGTCATTTAAGGAGCTCAACGATGGATAACATAATGATGCTGTCTATACCGGAGCCTCTGTCCAATTCTTCGGTTCCTCCAGTCTCCACAGAGACGGATCCATCCATTCCAGAGCCTTTAACTGGCAAAGAGACCGCCAGTCCATTCCTCGCAGAACCTTTAGACACAGTCCAAGTTGCTTCTGAACTCTCACCACCTCCCTCCAGCCTTATTGAAGCTCTAGAAGTTACGCCAAAGTCAGAAAGGTCGGCCGAAATGGCTGCTACTGAAATTTCAGTCGAGCCCTCTGGAATGTTAGTCGAACCCGTTGTGCTCAAGACAAACAAATTTCCTCAAGACAATACTCTCAATGAGATCCCCATCGTGCCTTCTGGCAAAGTACCTAATCTTTCAGGCGATCCCTCGCCCTCTGCTACCGCCACGCCGTACCCTATCACCTCGGCCGAAACCACTCCCTTTCCAACCCTTCCACTTCCGCCATTTGAGCCTCAGGGATCCCGAGGGATGGCATTTTCACCGCAAATACTGGTATCACCCCAACCCAACGGGATACCCTCAGGGATACCCTCAGGGATACCCTCTGAAGCATCCTCAGAGGAACCCTCTGTGGCATCTTCAGGGGCGCTCCTCCTGAAGGGTATGCCCCCCGGGGCACCCCACCTGTCTCTCTACAAGGGGCCGCCACGCTCCACCCGCTTCATTAAAACCCTCCAGAACGACTCGTCCAACAACCACCACTACAACCCGTATATCTACCCCCAGCACCGAAGCCGAGCTAACCCACCTTTGGAGATCAACGTGCATACGCGACCAGGTGAGGTGGGAGAGGTGCCCGAGATTCCAACGTTCCGCTTGACCCACAAACAGTTTGGCGACCCGATGGCATTTATCGAGTCGGTGCGGGAGATTGGCGAGCGGTTTGGGGCGGTAAAGATTATTCCGCCGAGCTGTCCAGTGAGCGTAAATTCAGTTCCCTCAGGCAACCTGATGAATCCGGGTGCCCCCAACTCAGCTCCGGCTAACCCCGATCTGAGTAACCCCTTGCCATGCAACTCTCTGGGTGGCTCTCAGACAAGCTCGCTTCCCCTATTCGGCGTTCACACTCCTCCTTCCACCTCCATCCTGGCCCCTTTCCCTTCAACCTTGTCCTCTCTGACTTCTAGCTGCGAGCCGCCAGAAACCGATGGTTTGAACGGCCTGACCGGCTTGAATTCCGTATTCAATCCTCGCTTCGCGATCAACACTGACCTCTTCTGGTTCCACTCGCGGCGCCAGCTCCTCAACCCCCGTCAGCCCGAGCTTCTCACACGCTTAGAATTCTACTCGGCCCTCAAAGCCTTCCACGCGCTGATTAACAACACCCCCGCGACATTTGGCTTGCTCAAATTGCCTCTTATCGACAAGCGGCCTGTGGATTTGTACCGCTTGCGGTCGTGTGTGTTGCTCCGTGGCGGGTTTGAGGTGGTGTGCGGGAGAAAGTTGTGGGCCCAGGTCGGCCGTGAGATGGGGTACAAAGGGCGGATTATGAGTTCGTTAAGTACGTCGTTGAAAAGTGTTTATAATAGATACTTAAAGGAGTATGATGAGCAGGTCGAGGTGAAGGTCAAAACTGAGGGAGCAAAGGCCGACGACCGAATTTTCTCGGAATCGATTCTGAAGAGCTCTGAAGGTGTCTTTACGGCGCCTCAAAGTGACTCTGCAGTCTCTGGAGGTGGTCTGGTCTCTGGTAGTTTAAAGACCGAAGCCGGTTTAAACGCCTCCCAAAATGGCTTAACCTGTGAAAGTGCATCGAACTCCCTCGAAACTGACACTGGCCCGACCCTTCCATCCAACACTGTGTCCAACACTGCTATAGAAAATGTTCCAACACCAACCAACTTCCTAGCGGAGACCCTCCCTGGCGTGAAGATGGAAGATCTGTCTGATGGAAACACGGAAGGGAAGGGCCAAAAGAGATCATTTAGCGACCCAGGTCATGGGGAAAAATCCGAGAATGGCTCGAATGCGAATCATGATTTGAGTACCGTGGCTCGCGACTCGCACAAAAGACCCAAGCTCGGAAATCTGGCGGCTTCCTTGGACTTTGACCTCTTTCGTTCCCCCGTGGTGGTTGGCTCCACCGTCGAGATCCACCGCCCGAAACAGCTCCTCGAGCTGAAAGGCATCCGGACCAACTTTGCGTCCATCACTGACGACCGTCCGGGGATCACCGACGGTGGTACTAAGGTTCTCCCAGGGTTTGACTTTGCGCGCTGGTGCGGCGATCTTGAGGTGGTTGACAGCTCTTCGTTTGACAACAAACTTACGCCGTTGTACAACTTACGCCAGTTCTACGAAAAGAACCTCAAGTTCCACGCGTTTGTGAAGGAGAGGTATAGCGTGGCGGCCGCGCCGAGCGTGGGCGAATTAGAGAATTTATTCTGGAAGATTCTCCAAGGAGGCGATAGTGAGGAAGGCGAAGCAGCCCCTGTTGAAAAGGCCCTGAAGGATGAAGACACAAGTTTGGCTCGCGATATAACTCTCTCGGCAGCTGACGGACTTCCTGAACCCTCCGACCAGGTGGCCGCTGCGTTTTCGTATGCTACCACGTTTCCCCCCGAACCAATCATCTCTGCCCCCCACCTCGTTCACTCCGTCGAATGCGCCATCAAAATCCCGACTCTGGTTCACGAATCAGCCTTCCCCATCGTTGACCGTGCAGACACCAACACGCAATTCTCGTCGCTCCACCCCTGGAACATCAATAATCTTCCGTTGCACCGCCGCGGGTTGCTCCGCCACTGCGCAGGCGACCTCGCAACCGTCAGCCGCAGCAATATCAGCGTGGGCATGATGTTCTCCAGCGAATGCTGGAGCTGCGAGGACCATTTCCTCCCTAGTATCGATTATTCACACTTGGGTGATGTACGTGTGTGGTACTGCGTCGCACCGGAGGACCGGGAGAAGTACGAGGCACTTCTTGAGAGGGTCGCAGACTGGCGCGAAGCGCGCCGTGAACACGACGCGGCGGCCGTCGCGGCACAGCTTGCACGCTTGGGCGCACCGCTCGCGCCGATCGACAAAGAGTTTATCGCGACCTGCAAAGAAAACGCGGTGCCCGCGTATACCCGCCACGCGCGCACACACGACACGGACGATGTTTTTGCACGCATCCAGGCACCGCACATGTGCGCGCGGCAGCTCAACGCGGACGTGTTCATTCCGCCAGCCGTGTTGCAGCAGCACGGCATCCGTGTCTACTCCACGCGCCAGGAGGCAGGCCAGTTTGTGGTTACGTTTCCGCAGAGCTACCACGCAACGGTGAACCTCGGGTTTACCGTGTCAGAGGCTGCCAACTTTGTGCCGCCGTCGTGGTTGGCGCATGCCTTAGACGGCGAGAAGTGGCTCCGGCACCAGGGTATTGTACCAATTGTGAACACGGTACAGGTGCTTGTGAGCATCAGTGAGTCGCGCGATGCGGAACTCTGTGCGCATGCGGAGCCAGTGTTCCGCGAGATCTGCGCGACCGAACTCGCGTTGCGCGCACGCTTCCGCGCGTACCTTCCCGCCGCGAAAGAAGTGTTGGTGAAGGACGTGTGGGAGTACGTGAGCGATTCCGACTTGGGGAATCTGTACCCAAGCAAGGTGGTGTTGAAAAGGAAGGGGAGAGGGTTTAACATGGGAGTGGGGGAGTTTATGAAGAGGATTCGGTCGGGCGAAAATCCAGGTGACATCCCGGACAAATCCTCAGAGTTGTTGGATCTCCCTTCCGATGTTTTGGTGGAGCTTCATATAGCGTTCAGCGACGACAAGTTGCGGCGAATCCACGCGCGGCTCGCGCAGCGTGACGAGGGCGCACGCGGTTGTGGCGACTGGCGGGAGCATCACTCTGCACTCTTTGACCTGGACGAGATCCCCCTCTTGAAGAACGTGCGCACACTCCTCAGCGATGGCGAGCGCCTCGTGGACGACGACGACGCGGAAAACAGCGAGCTCGTACGCACGCTCCGGGTGTTTGTGGAGCGCGCCTCCGCGTGGGTCGAGGACGTCAAGAAGGTGTTAGCGTGCAAACACCAGAGTCGGATCCGTCAGAACGCGTCACCTGAGCTCGTAGACATGAACCACGTGTTGCGCTTGGCGGACGAGATTGCAGGTCTCTCATTCCTGTGCCCGGAGGTGGACCAGTTGCTTGAGTTTGTCCAGGAGATTGAGAGCTATGAGGAGAGTGTGAGGGTCTTCTTGGCCGGAAGCGGCCATTCTCACGAGGAGTTTGCGGACATGGTTTCGTTGGGGCGGTCGTTTGGGGTGGAGAACTTGGTGAGCGTGGCGTTTTTGGAGCGGATTGGGCGGCGGATAAAGTGGGTGGCGGAGATGGCGGGGCTAGGTGAGAGCCCGGCTCCAGGCGAGACCCCGAGCGACGTTCCACAGTCTGACGAAATCCGTCCGGAGACCACCTCCGCCTCTAACACGTCGCGTGTGACATATGACTTGGAGGACATCCTGTCGCTCCTCGCGGAAGGCCGCGAGGTGTGTGGTGCGGCGGATCTCCCGGCTCTCCTCCATCTCAAGGCGCAGTTCGAGCACGGGAGCCGGCTTGACGCGGAGGTACGCCACATGCTTGCAGGCAAAACAAACCTTCGAAGCATCGGCACGCTTTTGGACCAGAACCATAGCATTCCTGTGGGCCGCGACACGCGCGAAGTGTACCAGAGCACGCGGAAGCACTTGGAGGCGGTGGAGGACAAGGCGGACAAGATGCGCGCGCGCATCGACACCGCGGCGCAGGTGTTTGCGCGCACACGTGTGCTTCTGGACCTGGCCGTGGATCGGGTGTGGCTGGCGGAAAACCCGTGTGTGGTGGACGGGGGGCCCGACGACATTCGTCCGGGTTACGCGGCGGTGAAGCACGTGGTGGAGGAGGCACACAAGTGCAAGGCACGGCCTGACATCCACCGGTTGGATGTGTTTGTGCGGCAGGCGGACGAATGGGTGAAGCGGTTAAAGAAGGTGATTGGCAAGCCAAACGCGACCGCGGGGGTGGTGACACAGTTTCTCGACGCGGTCGTAGATACAGACGCGAGTGCACTTGACGCGCACGACGCGTTCGCGCACGAAGGCGACGAGTGCGCCCCTAAGTACTGCTTCTGCCGCAAGATCGAGAGTGGCATCATGTATGGCTGCGAGAGCTGTTCCGAGTGGTACCATTTCAAATGCCTCAAGCTTACCAAGAAACTCCGCGATGATGAGAGCTACTTTTGTCCGCTCTGCCCCACGGGCATGCCCATCAAGCAGGACCTGGTGAAGCCAGAATTCCGCGAGTTGGAGTCTGTCACTGCCGAAGGACAGTTCTTGGCGGTGACCGTTCCCGAATTGTTTGTGTTGAATCGCATCGTCGCACAGGCACGCACATTCTTGGCTTTTTTTCAGAACCAGCACGTGCGTAATATCGACGAGGCCCGCTTTTACTTGCGCAAGTTTGAGGGCTCCATGTTGGCGTTCACACCGGAAACAGAACAGCTCCGGGCTGTGTTGCGGGAGTTCGAAGGAGCCATTCAAGTGAATGGCAATGAAGACGGTGCTGAGAATGGAGATGCCACTGGAACGGTCCTTGATGAGCAGGCTCCGGGTGCTGGGCTGTCTCTGGAGGTCCAGAATGTGACTGATACTTTTCAGGCTAATACTATTCTGACTGGTACCTCTGTTTTGGCTGTGGGCGGAAATGAAGTCGATCCTTTAAGCTCCAACCCAGAAGTCGTGGAGGTTGTTGAAATGAGTGCAAACGGCACCAGCACCAACGATGAAGCCCCTGTGTGAATTTCATATATTAATAACAATAAATATGCGTAAAGGGGCTCAAAGTCTTCTGTTGCTGGGATTTAATGGATAGTAGACGATATTTCTACGATCAGTATAAATTAAGAGCTTATTTCTGGTATTAGCAATCTAACTATTCTACACCCATTGAATAGGTGTATATTTTACTTACATCGAATTGATAAATATTTTATACACATTTGGTTAATATATATTTCATTTGCATTTGATTGATATATATTTACATTTGGTTAATACATATTTTATATAAGAAATCTAAATTATTGTAAGACAGTATAGATATATACATACAGATGACTATAAACCATAACTATCTCTGATGTATATCTAGATATTTCACTATTTGTAGTTATGGATGGCAGCTCCCATTTCCGCTTTTAACCCCTTCAAACCAAGCCTATATTTTTCTCGTTTACATCGTTGTTTCGCGTAAAATATGGTGCGATTGTCGCGAAAAACTCGCACGAGCTCGGCGCCGCATGGTATCAAGCATAAATTCTTATTCAGCACCCTCGGATAACTATCCAATTTCTCCCCAATTTCTTAATGTCTCGTGGTACCAGTATTTTATCCCGTGTGTCGTTAGGCCTAATTTCGCCGAGGTACTCCGCCTTGGGCCCGCGCGGCTTGAGGCCACTCCATGTCTCCACCCAGTGCTGGAACAAGCCAAAGAACGAAAACTCCCACTCCCACTCCCAGGTTGAACACAGCCACCTGGACGACCACTCGGACACCCATATTGGCCACTCGCACTCACATGGCCCCAACGAGCTTCTCACAAACAGCAGTCGGGCGGAAATCTGGACCAACCCCGCGGTACGGATTACCTGGATCGGCCTCGCAACCAACGTGACGATGGCTGCGGCCAAGTTTGCCGGCGGAATTGCGTTCCATTCACAGGCATTGATTGCGGACGGAATCCATGCGCTTTCGGACTTGGTGTCCGACGTGTTAACCCTAGCAACGGTCACGTTCGCCAAAAGACCGCTGAACACGCGGTTCCCCGACGGGCTAGGGAAGGTGGAGGTTCTTGGCTCGTTAGGGGTTTCTTTGTTGTTGCTTTTTGCCGGGCTTTCCATTGGCTGGTCGTCCTTAGTGGGACTTGTAGAGCCTCTCTTACCCCACTACTGGGTCGAATGGGTACAGTCTGTGAATTTTGGCCACTCGCACGGCCATGTGGAGACGGTCACCGAAGACGTGGACATCAACGCCGCATGGATTGCCCTAGCCTTCATTGGAGTCAAGGAGTGGTTGTTCCGCAGGACGTTGAAGATTGGCCAGGAGATGAACTCGAAGGTGTTGGTCGCTAACGCCTGGCACCACCGGGTGGATTCCCTCACGTCGGTGGTGGCGTTTGTGACCATCTCTGGGGCTTACTTTTTCCATCTAGGCTCGCTCGATCTTGTCGGTGGACTTATTGTGTCTGCGTTAGTTGTGAAAGCCGGAACTGCTTCCTTACGGACGTCTTTGAGTGAATTGGTCGGTGAAGCTCTTGCGGAGAGCGATCAAAGATACATCCAAATGCGGACTCTGGTGGAGACCGAACTCGGAAAGAGCGACTTTGCGAGCCTCGGAAACTTGGTGCTCATGCCCTCGGGTGCCAACTTGTCCGCCAGGGTATCTTTGCGGATGCAGACACCGACGGACAATCGTTTGGTTTCGGCAGAAGACTTGATTAGGGTGAGCGAAGGCGTCAAGAGGATTGTCGAGCAACAGGAGAAGGGGAAGGTGAAGACTGTGAGTGTTGATTTTTCCAAGTAGATGATAATTGTTAGGTGAATAATAGAGCGTCTGTGATAGATTAGACAATGGATGGAATGATATGACGAATTAGCTAACGATTACCGACTGATGGCTAATCTAAATTAAGAGTACCTAGAGCTTTCCCGTTAGAGTGCACCAAACTGTCAAACATCTGGAGCAAGTATACTTCCTCGTACATGGGAGGAGCTGGTACAGACCATCGCACCTGTTTTGTTGGTGCTATTCAGCCAAGTCTCAGGAGTCGTGTCATACAAGACACTCCTTTTAACGCCGCCAAGATATAATGTTTTATTACTTCACATCACAAATTTTACTCTCCAAGGCTCCATCATTATCACGATGCAAGAAACGAAACGGATTAATAAATATTCAAGGTTTAAGTGTCGGGGCTCTGGGCTTAGGATACCCTCACCTAGCAGTCACCTGATTATCGGTAATTACACTCTATAAGGATGCACCTCTACAAGTTTATGCATAAAGGTTCTAGATGCAACATTATGTCTCATCTATAAGCACCATCCACGCTATGCTAGAGACATGTTAAAACCCCACAGACTGACACCTTTTATAACCCACACAAGATTAACCTCAGTCAAACCGGCTTTTTATGGCGCTCGATACGCTTCTACAGTGGAGCGTTTGCGGACTCAAAGACAGACATTGTTCCTCCATGGGGTGGAAGCGGGGCTTCGTGCCGCAGAACAGACAATGTTGTCTATCCCAAGAGTAACAGACGAGGAGCTTTTGCTCGATGCGTTTCGCCATTCCAAACGGTATGCCTTTCTAGGGGATGCCATTCTAGAGTGCACCACCCTTTCTTTGCTATCTCGAGGTTCTTCCCAGCTGCACCGAAAAGCTATGAAAGCGATGGTTACCAATGCCAATCTAACCAAAGTCGGGACACAGCTAGGGTTCTGCAATCTTAAGCTACATGAAACATTTCCGTCAAGCGAACCTGGAAGCATCTTCCACCCCAAAAGAATCCCCGATTTGGTAGAGGCCTACGCTTGTGCCTTGTTTCTAGATGGAGGCTCTTCCAGTGTCCAGGTTATCTATCCTTTTCTAACGGCCGCTTTTCCGGAATTGAGACCCTCAATTTTCGATAAAACTGTCCTGGAGCCAGGTAGCACGATCCATAGGAGCTCAGCTGACCAAAGAAGCTTGAACAAAACACTTCCCAGTTCTCTTGGCCCCTTTGGGGCCTCCCTCATAAAGCTATGTGTTTCGCTCCAGTTATTTCAGAATTTTCCGCACTTTGGACAGAGGGAATACTCCGCTATACGTGCCCAACTCATGAGTGCACAAAAGATGTCACAGATTAGCAAGCAGGCGGGCTGCAAAGACACCCACGCCCTTAAGTCGTACGTTGCCCTCACCTGGGACAGAGGCGGAAATATAGACGAAATCCGAGCTTTAACTACGAACTGGTTTGAGAAGGACTTATTCCCGTTTTACAAGCGGCACGATATTATGGCCGGTCTAGTTAAATGCTAGAAACGTAATGTACGCATACTTTGAGGACCCAGGACCTTGAGCTCACTCTAACAAACATCCCCGGGATCTCTCTTCAATGCTACAAAGTCGGGGTCTTAGATCCCATTAGTCCGTTCCGATGACCTAATAAATTACACTTTAGTTATATCCATACCCGCTACTCAGGGCTGTTGAAGGACGGCTGGATCTTGAAACAGATATCCTCGTAGGCATCCAAATGGTCCATTTCCCTGGTTCTGGAGCCGACCCAGAAAATCTTCCAGTGCAGGTCGATCGCCTCGTTGGAGAAGGTCCCGCAGCTTCTTTCAAAATACCACTTGTTAACCGGGTTGGAGGATCGGGAGCGCCAGATCAACTCTTCAGGAAAGAGGCGGGCCATGGCCTTGAAAATGACGTCTGCCACACCGGTGCTGCCCTGCGAGGATGACGAGACGGCAAACTTATCCAAATAAGCCACCTTTTGGGGCTCCCCGTGCCTATCAAGCAATTTTGAGGACGTTTCGTAGGTGATGATCGCGGCGCCTTCGTAGTCCCCAGCGATGATGAGGGCAGCAACGTTTTTGTTGGTTCTTTTAAGGTAGTGGTCCATATCGAGCTCCCTCTGGAACGAATCGTCGATGAGAACCTTTAGCTTCTTCAAGGAAATAGCACCCAGCTTGTCGAGCTTCACAAGATCCAAGCCCTTTACCAGCTCCGGCGCTTCGTTCTGATAGAAACTATGGAGAAAGTCGGGGGCCTCGGAACAGTCGTCCGCCTCGAAGATGGCGAGCGGAATGCCTCTGCGGAGCACGGATGTCTTCAACTTCGGAACTTTGCCGTTGATAGGCAAGGATGGCGAGATGATAGGACGCTCGGTGAGAATGTTGTAGATGACGGGGTTGACCCTTTCGGCAATTTTTCCCGCATTAAATACATCCGGCGCGGTGATTATCCCGGCAACCTTCGACCCAGGAAAGCCATGCAACACGGCCGCCATGGTCTTCAAGTTGGCCAAGTGGTGGTCTCTGACCTGCGGGGGTATAAACCCGATGTGCAACTCCGACATGATCTCGTCCAACTCCTGGGCCAAATTGATATAGACGTGCGAGGAGTTGGACCTCTCGACGGACGGAATGCCGCCTAGCGGATCAATCATGATAATTTTCTCGACCGTCAACACATCCCGGTTGTTTTTGTCCGTGCCAGAAATCTGGACAGACTTCAAGTCCTCGTTTAAGGCGTAGAGCGATGATGCCAAGCTCTGGAGAATCTCGTCTGGTGACGCAATGGTGTCGGTGTTGGACGCCTCGTCGTACACAATCGGTAAAACAACGGGAATGGCACCCTGGACGAGCGGATTCAAGATCAACTCGGGGAAGGTGAGCTCGAGGGCCGTGCCTCTCCTCTCAAACAAACTGCGGAGGATCATCACGTTCATCTCCGGGTCGTTCTTCTCAATGGAGTTTGACAACCGGTTAGACTTCTCAAACACCGCCCGTTCGATGTTGCCAAAGGTGTGACTCTTTTTCACGTGATTGGCAGAGTCGATAATCAACACCGGCGAAATACCAAGTCGCACCATCCTCGCCACCGTCTGTGACACTGCGTTCAAGTCAGCCGTCGGGATCTTTGTCAAATCGCGGATTTTGATGATCACTACGCGTAACGGCTGGACGTTGTCCGTGTTTTTGACATACAAGCTGCTTGTTCCACGCTCCACCAACGAATCCACCTTTATCGCTTTCTCAGCCACGAGCTGCTTGTAGGTCAGAAGCAACAGCTCCACAAAGCGCTCGCGCGCTCCGTTCTCCGTGTGCTCGTTGCGAAACGAGTACTTGTTCAAGTAGTTGCGTGCTTCACGCTTCGTCGCCGTCGACTTCAAGATGCTGCGGATGAGGTTCCGTTTCTCATTAGTGCGATTTTCGTGCTTCGCAAGGTTCGATGTGAACTGCTTGGCAATCTGACGCAACTGGTGGGACATTGGGGTGGTGGACACTTGCCGGACGTGACGCTATGACGGCGGGCAAATATCAATGGCCGGGGTAAATTGTGAGGTCGTGCCATTACCGCAGAACGTTAGACCATCTTTTAGAGGCCTACGGGACAATTTCGCAATTAGAACCGATAATCCCTTAGGTAAAAAAAAAAAGGATGGACTCTGTAGAGGGAAATTAAGCCCTGACCTCTCGGAATGGGTTATATGGACCGACAATACAAAAACTAGAGTCTTTGGTCTTTTGCGTACCTATAAGTGGCAGAAGATAGCATTAACTTTGAGGGAGTAACGTGAGACTTTGTACATGCAAGATATAGGCCGTAAAAGAAGAGATATACGGGGAAAAGCTGGCCGCAAATCGACCTCTAAAAAATAGGATAGCGTCTTTATAAAGGAAATTCCATCTGGTTCTAGGTCTGGAGCAATCGCAAACCTACGTGCAATGTCTCTCGCTTTTCCATATAATGCCTCTTGCCTTTTCAAGCAATGTGGTCGATTTAAATCATATTTTTTTTATAGTTTAGCGCGCAACTAAGTGAACCTGCCATTTGTTAACCTTTGTCACGTGATAGTTGTGTTTAGGTCTCTCGGTTAGCGACTTTTGAGGTCATCGTAACCCACATTGCCCTAAATTTCAATCTACTTCTATCGCTTAGTATCTTGAGATGTTCATCCTTCTCCTCTTTAATCTTAACTTTACGCATTTGTTGGATTTCTCCAACATTCCCTCATTGACACATGATATTGGTGAAGCCCCCCCGCTATGCGTCCAATGACGACATCCATTTCTTTTGTCTTATTTGCAGGACCAATGGCAGCACCAGTCCTGGAGCTTAGATCCAGCATACAAAAGGCTGGCAACCTAGTTCAGCTCTCTAGCGCTGGGTTACGCAATTTAGTTGTGCCTCCGCTATACAAGATTTTTGTTTTGTAAATATCCCCACCATAGTGGAGCCTGGTAACGGTGTCTTGTTGAAGCAGAAGACATCAACGCCGACCATGCAGCTTTTAGAAGGGGCTAAGTCTATTGTTATTAATTGTTTGAGTGAACAACCCAGAGCCTCCGCTTCGCACAAAAAGAAATTAAACAGAGATCTTAGAATCCCGAGATGTTCTCCGGCCACATCTGTCTAGGTCGCTATGGGTAATACATAATACCGCGGTCCGGGTTCTAAAAAAGTTGCGAAAACAACTGCAGTACTCCCAAAGAGAAAGGTGGCGGGATTATTGGATATTCTGACGGTCCAACAGTTTTATCAACCAGTTGTTTCAAGATCTTTGTTCTATTGCTGACCACCGTAGACGTAGATGTATCTAGCTAGCCAGACCCACTCACCTTTCACGCTTGCTTCAAAAAATTACGTATCTCCTCAGCTTTGCCTTTTAGTTACTATCCGACATTTTCCCTCCACAGATTTAAGCTTATTTTATTTGTGCATGCCTGGGCAGTTTCGCGTAAAAAGCAGCTGCATGTGACAGTATGCCTAGAAAATTCTAGGTCTCGGTCACGCAGTGCGCAGTATATGACGTAAGCAACACATGCACACCTCCGGGGCAACGCACCTCGTATTAGCCGTGTCAAAACCGAAGATCCCATGTAGTCAGCCTGATGCGCGAACATGACAGGGAAATAGTCATCAGTCATCTTGCAGCGGTATAACGCTCCGTAGATCATCTGCGAGGCTCAACAAAGTTCCACCACATGTCAGTGAACCGCTTTTTCACATGTAAACCAACAAAACAGAAGCAGGCCTCAAAGGCAGGCCCCGGACCCTGGTAGAGCAGAAATTCCGCGTTGGGGTCCTCTAGCCCATTCCCTTCTAGGGGTTGCGCTCCTTAGTCAGGCTTGAACAAGATGGTCTATAGGCTGTGATAGCCGTAGAAGTGACAAAGCCAAAGTAATTGTCGATCGCCCTCGTATGGACACCTTTTTTAAAAGCTCAGGGATCATTCACGTACGCTCGTGTAGTTTACTCGATATCAGGTTGGCTCCTTGTTTCAGTGCCGACGGCGCTATAAGACGCACCCCTCCGCGGAAATGCTTAGACTACACCATAGCTCTTAATAACGCACATATTGTTGGTAATTCGTGGAACCCGTGCAGCCGTAGAGGCACACCCCTTTCGTATTCTTTTCTTTTTGTAGGGTATGCTTTAGACTGTTGGGCCGTCTGGGATTATCCACTGCCTTCGCTGGAGTTCCATGCTTATGCATTGAATCACATGCATGGATGCTCGGTGCTTCTAAAGCAGAGAAATACGTGTGGAAGCCAGAAAAAGGGCGCGCACGTCTACAGTTCGATTGACGCCGAACAATTCCGCTGCACCAGGGGCTGCAAGCCGGCCACTGTGTAATAAGGCGAGATCCGGTACATAATGGGCACAGCCTTCCAATGGTTTTGCCGTCGCCCGCGTTTACCGTTTCTTTTTCCTATAGCAATAGCCTCCGGAACAATCTATACGGGAGCCATTTAGCTAGATTATAGACCAAAACAGAGCCACTGGCACTACCCTGTAGTTGCCTGACATATGCACTCTCTTGCTTGGAAAAAGAAACGGTCCGATTCGCGCGGCATTGTTTTTTGCTTCTGATACTTACGGGTCATCTAAACCCTTTTATATAGCACTATATATAAAAGACAACCCCTCCTCCTCTTTCGTCTAATATTTTCCGGAGTTCCCACGGTCTTCTTGCGTTCTATCCACTATAGTCTGTTAGGATGACAGACAACAAGCTTACACTACCCTCTATCAACTTCATCATTCCCCTGCTCCAGAGCGAGGATGGCTCCAACGGCTCCCGAACCTACGAAGAACCTAGCCGCGAAATCTCGCCCCCTACCTTGCCTTCACTAAAGGATTCTGTCTTAGCCAAGTCCCCCAACGGTCTCCCCCCCCACCAATTGCAACATCCCACTAGCTTCTATCCCCAGTCCACACCCAGTGTTCCCTATGGCCTCCCCCCTATGCGCCAGGTCCACTCCGGAACCCCGTCCGCCGATCAGGTCTTTCACCACCAGCATCTAACTGGTGAACCTTACCGCTCTGTGACCCCGAGCTTGCAGCCGCTTCCGGCTCCCCAGTCGCCCCACGCCGCCTCGTACTCGTCTCATTCCTCCCCCTCCAATAACCTCGCACCACTTGCATCCATCTCCCTCACCCAGCACCACTACCACCCCAGCCTTATGTCTCCTAAGAACACGGTGAACGCAGAGGCTCCAGTGATCCATCTCAACGAGCAGGACTTTGCGCATCCGTTGAGGTTTCTTGAGTCGCTCAAACAGATGGCTCAGGGATACGGTATGGTAAAGGTCGTTCCCGGCTGGTTCCGAGGCCCTGCCGAACCGCTCCAGGGCAGCCATCAGCTCACTTCCCAGCGCACATACCCACTGGGTCCGCCAGAAAGCATGAGCTCCACGTCGGAAGAAGAAAGTGACTACGGCCGTGTGGTGTTGGGAATGACGCCAGTGGACATGTCGGATTCGGAAAAATTGCCCCTGGCCCACAGAGACGAGTCATTGATCCACCCGATTATCCCTGAAAAGATGTTCAGTAAAAGAAAGCGGCGCAAGAAGCACGAGGTAACCAACAGAATCTACCAGTGCAACTACAAAGATTGCTCCAAGAGCTACTCCTGCTTGAGCCATTTGAACACCCACATTGCACAGCTTAGACATGGCAAGCGCCGATCCGGAGATGAGTTCAAGCAGAAGCTACTTGAGCATGACCGTATCGTGCAAGGCCGTCACCCCATTGATGATACCGCGAAACCTATGAAAAATCCTCAGCTTCTAGACCCACGCCCCCAACAAAGCGATGATGAAGATTAGTCTGGTCTTTGCTTTTTTTTTCTTCTATTTATTTATTTCTACTGTTGTAACTACCACTCCCATTTACGATCACTCTCCATCCTACTGCACCTTTTTACACTGCATTTTACGATTTTTACGCCTTCTGGGTATTCGGTACCCATATCCCACCTTCCTTCATTGTACACCAAGGATTACCGAAGCCATATATGTATTTTTTTCAGTCTCGATGGTTTCTAACGAAACCCACCGCCCCTCTTGCCTTTTTGTATTCCATAGTACCAGCACTGTATTTTATCTGCAACCGTTTTAAAAACTCTATTATGTCGCTCCCTCTTCTTTTACTTGCTATATATATTTGTATACGAATAATTTAATAACTAAATATGACATACTGGTACGAGAGATGCAGGCTCCGCCGGATCGTGTATGCATTACGTAATCACTTCTTGCATGGAAGCATCTGGAAAAGCAGGAGACAAATTTTTTAACATATATGCATCGACTTCGGTGTGAGCACACGCTGTCTCTACTCCAACCAACTCTATACATGCAACATGGCTTCTTTCGACGCTGAAACCGCTGATAACTTGGAAGATATTGAAAGACAGTTTGCTGTCAAGGCCGTTCAACATGTGGAAGCCTACTGGAACTTGCTTTCCGCCATCCCAGGCTCCAAATTGAAGTTGACCCCTCACGACAACGAAATCTTCGAAACCTTGCTCCAGGACTTTCCAGAATTCTTAAACCCGGAGTACGTTAAGAATGTCAACGAAGCTGAGATGAAGGGCGCTCTCGGTAAGGAGAGATGGAGAAAGTTCATGGCCAAGTTCGAAGGCAAGGTGGAGGACTACAACTTTGGTACCATCATGAGAACCAAGAGTGACGAAGAATACACTCAGGATGGTACTATCTTTGTCTTGAGATTGCAGTTCTACGCTGTTGAAATCTGCAGAAACAGATACGGTTTAAACGAGTGGGAGTGTGCTAAAAAATAAACCTCCCGGCCCTTGTATTTTATCCCAGCCGTTCCCGCATTTGTCAAACTCTTTTTTTTTTTTATTTCTCATACCGTTATATGTTTGTTTATCTAATTGAAAAGTTTTGTCCAAAACGACATCTACCCTGTAGAAGATTTAACATTATCTTTGAAATATTTATATACAGACTTCCGAATTAATACCAGCTATATCCTTTATAAAGTATACGTAATAAGGAATATACATATTTATGTCTATATCCGAGTTATCTAAACGTATCACATTCGAATGTTTACCAAATATCACTTACATAAACGGTTTAACTAAACGCCAATGGAAAGAGACCTACCAAAAGATCATTACTCTCCACACTTGTATAGTACGTAAAGATACGACTTGTATCGTATCACGGTAACTGGCACCAATCTCTTCCTTTACCAACCTGATATCCGCATAAACTCGGTTCTAGCCACATGCTAAAACATGCAGCTAGGACAATCCCTGCAGAGTCACTGACACCAACAGTCCCCATTGCGAACTCTCGATCTTCCAATGAGACTGTTTCGCTCACTAACTTAAAAGTATTGACATACGCAGCTCCACCGAGCAAACCCTCGTAGAACATTAGCACCATCAAGATATACACATTCGGGATGAACATGAAGAGGGACTGGAAAAGGCAGATGACCAAATTTAAAAATTGCAACAAGGATGGGATATATAGCCTTCTTATCCGCACGAAGGAGGAGGAGGAGCGAGAAATAAAAACCCCGAGTTGGTACAAGGTCCCATAGGTGACATATGCATCCCTGTACTTGGTAAACATGGGCATCTCAGCGATGGGAAAGAGAAGCGTGGGAGTTACCCCTTGGTTGATAATATACTCCGAGATGTACACTGTGAATAAAGGAGCCATAAACGGAACGATCAATGGCTTTGCCCTGATAAGGGTGGACTGTGAGTGGCTCAATATAAGGCCAAAAGCCTCTTGGACTTTGTTAGCCAGAAGCTGAGGTGCGCGGTATCCAAAGTCAGTCCCTAGGATGCCAGAATCATGGTATCCCGAAACAACATTGGAATCCTCGCCAGGGAGTTCACTCTGATCAATTGGATGGAACCCCTGTTCCATGTGCGGTAACAACCAGAAGTAGGAAGCCAAAAAGCTGAAGGGAGCAAGGCTGAAAAGAAGTAAGCTTGTCCTCACGCTGAGGGTTAGCCATGTTGTGAGCAACAAGTAGAGGAAGCTGCCAGCAAGCCCGGCACCACCAGTACCAGAACTGAAGCCTTCAAGAGACATTTCGCTATAGTAATGGGTCAATTGTAAAAACGTCAACTCCCCGACTCCCGACGAAATGGAGGCCAACACTATCCCAAAGAGCTTCCAGGAGGTGGAGGCGGAAAAACTGATAGTAAGCATACCGGTGAAGCTCAATCCAATCAACATAAAAATTCGATAGTTATACGGCACGAGGTGGATAACGAACGGAGCGAGGCACTTCACGATGAAGGACGGTAGCACATCGGCAAGAAGCACCGTCGCCTTGGGAACAAAAACCCCTACCAAGTCAATTGCCGCAGACAAGATAACCACATATAGCACGTTATTCACGAGTCCAAATAGCCAGAAGGCGCCAAAGACTCGCTTGTCAGTCGTTGTGAGCACCATAGGGGTGCGTAGCTGGTCACTGTTGGTGTCTTGGAATGAGAGTTCAGCTTTGGTTCTGGTATGAATAAGGACTATGGGCGTTGTTTTTTTTGTTTTGGTATGTGAGTATCAACGTTTGACCGTAGGATTGCACCGTGCGTGGCCAGCTTATCTCCCCGAAGTATACAAAGGCTACATAAGCCTCGTCCCACGTGACGCGTGCCCCGCGAAAACGCGTAGTATTTATCTGGCACGTTATGCATGAGACCGGCACAGCTGCGAGATTTCCGAGACGCGAAGGCAAAATTACACTTATCAACTCATATTTTAATTTTTTTGATGAAAAAGACACAAGGTACAGACTATAGAGTATTCTCAGCTCCCTGAGACTTTCAACAGCTAACGGCCTCATACCAACTAGTGCTCATGGTCTTCGGGGTCAATCTTGAAAATCTTGTCGGGATTCATGATTCTCAAAGGATCCAAGCTCAATTTCAACCTTCTCATAACGCTAATAACTTCTTCTCCCAATTCTTGGATCAAATAGTTTCTCTTACCCATACCAATACCGTGCTCCCCTGTGCATGTGCCTTGGAGCCTCAAGGCTTTTTCCACCATTCTACCAACCACCTGGGCACACTTTTCTCTCTCGCCAGCCCTGTAGATAATACAGAAGTGTAAGTTACCGTCACCAATATGCCCCATCAATGACGCTTCGAAGTTGTTAGCCACCAAATCTTCCTTGATCTCTCTGACCGCCTGGGGCAAGTTTGAGATCGGCACCACAATGTCAGTGGTCCAGACCTCAGTATCCTTGCCAAACTTAGCCCGTCCGTAGTCATAGGTGGACCAGAACGCTACCTTGCGCCCGTGCCATAATTCAGCCTTGGTGGATTCGTCAAAGGAAAAAGCGGACGAGGTTTTGTGGTTTTTACCGGCAATGGCGGTGACCTGCTTGATCGTTTCACCCACAATCGTTTCACTAGACCCCCCCACCTTTAAGAACAAGGTTGGCATCTCCTCGCACTTCTGGCTCAGAGTAGCATTGATAAATCTCATCGTTGTTTCGTCCAAAATTTCAATAGCATTCATTGGTAAGCCTAGCCTGATATATTCGTGAGCCGCCGATGCAGCATCCTCCAAGGTCGGGAAGCTGACAATACCCACGGCTTCCACCGTTGGTTTCATGTAAAGCTTTAATGTGGCTTGAGTAACCACGCCCAAAGTACCCTCGCTTCCAATGAATAAACCGTTCAAGTTGTAGCCGGCTGCCGTTTTACGAGGGCGTTTCCGTGTTTTGATAACAGTACCGTCCGCCAAAACCACGGTCAACGACAAAACGTTTTCCTTCATGGTCCCGTAGCGATAAGCATTGGTTCCTGAACACGAGGTGGCGCACATCCCACCAATCTGGGCACCTGGACCAGGATCGGGCCCGAAAAACAAATTATACTCTTCCAAGTATTCGTTCAAGCCTTGCCAGTCAACTCCGGCCTCGACCGTGATGTCAAGGTCCAGTTCGTTTAATTCTAAGATTTTGTTCATTCCGGATAAGTCCAACGATAAACCCAGGCGGCTATGGATGTAATGCCCTTCCAACGATGTCAATCCCGAATTAGGAACTACAGGCACCCGCAAACGGTGACAGATTTTCAAAATCGCAGAAACCTCCTCTGTGGTGGCAGGAAAAACAACTAATTGCGGCTTCTGGCCTTCGAGGGGTTTGTGGGTGGTGTAATAGGAGTCCGCGTGGTGGTCAATTTCAGCGTCGGATCTAGAGACCCTCTCCGACCCGACAAGAGCCTCGATCTCCCTGAAAGCCTTCTTGAAATCTTCAGCCGTACCATATTCTGGAGAGGACACGCTGGATAATGGTGTGATTGACAGCAACTCTGAGGCGTCGTCCTTTGGCGATGCAATGAAGTTGCTTCCGATGAAGATACCCCCACCAAGTAAAGACACACCGATCAACACAGTGGCAACAGCAGAGCTAGATTGATTCAGGGTGTAGTGTTCCGATGGAGCAACCTGCTTTGGGACCGGAGTTGGTTTCTTTGCGCTGCCCAAGGAGGACTGGAGCCTCTTGGACAACATGGCCCTAGCACAAGGGACGTGCCCCACAAAAGAGCGTAACATTTTGAATCTCGGGGTATGGATAGTAGCTAGTGCTGCTTAAAACAATAAGGAGTAACGGGTGCTATATATACTTTTCAATCGGTCTGGCCAACTCGGGAAGATATTTCCCGGGCCACATGAACGTGAAGAGGCCTTGCAAGGAAACTGTGGGGCCGTGCTTAGTCAACTTCGGATGCTGCTTCACCCGATAGGCCAAGACTGCACATAAGCGATCCGCACTGGATCGCCACGTATAGGGGACGACCGGCAGTTATGATTGGATCTTCTAGGTGGCTCGTTCCGCCTATTGGTGATTGAAGCCACAGCTGATGGAACTATTGCATAATCAGCTTCAGGCACAGACGAAGCATTTGCGATAGCTACTAAGCCGCACAGAATGATGCATCTTGGTTCTAAGCGCTCATGGGTAGCTAGGATATTTTCCAGGGATGGCCTATTCTTCCGGATCATACAAAATGCGATGGACAAATGTCTTTTAAGACAAGGTGGATATCCGGTGATTTCAGCACAACCTTTTGGCCATGGCTTTTGGATATATCTAATCATCTAGCACACAAGTAAATGCTAAAAAATGCAAGCATGGTTATACTGTACCGTCTTACCAGAGACTTAATAAGGGATACTCAATCAGGATTGCCTGAAGAATATATCAGCAGTGGCATCGCCTTCAAATAAACTGCCCCTAATAGAGCAGTGATTAGAATATTCTTGCTCAGCAGTCATAGGGGTACCTAAAGTCGCTACACATAGACCGAGAAAAATGTATCTATTTATTGTCATCCCGACTGTGCTTCAGGAAGGAACGCTGCCCAATTTCACCTCTTAAGCCTATGGAAACTCTTTCCCCGAATGAACACCGAGACTTCGAGAAGCTAAGTAACGGCTGGCCACCTTACAAGCTGGAATAGCAGGAAAAAAAAAGCCTTAGCGCATTCAGTGGATCAAGGCTATAGGGCTTGAAAATTTCCACTGGGGTATTCCGAAACAAGCCAGAATTCGGAGGCCGGTGTGGGGTACAGGTATACAAAAGATTGCCAATCACAAGATCAGTGTAAACGTAGGGCTTAGACTAGAGTGGTTCTTCGTTTTGAGGGTGATTGCAGCGTAATCCTGAATCTAAATCACACAGTTGGGCCCATAAAAACCAGTAGAGGGACCGAGATAGAAAGTTATAGAGTAGAAAGTCACAACAGTAGATTAATTATTCAGCGTTCCATAGTGACACACTAAACCTAAGTAACGAAAAAAAAGTAGAGAAAGGAGAAAGAAACAGAAGGGAGGTTGGAGCAAAGATTCGTTCAAAACGAAGTTTCACTGAGGCAGGCAACTTGGTTACAAAATATGAGAATGCCTTTTTAACCTCTCAGTTGGGTGTTTCTCGGTCTGAAAAACTCCCACAGAATGGATAATAGAAGTTTTGAAGCCAAGGGTTAGTTGAAGTACAGTCTATTCGCTTCAGAAAAAAAAGCGCCCCACAGGAACGAATCGATGGAAATAAATTAGTATAACGAACGAACTAATACGATGATAGCTGAAGAAGCATGTAGGAGACATGGATAGAAACTCCAACCAAAAAAGGTTGTCCTTCAAACAGCAGGGTGAAAGGGTTCGGAATGCCAGCTCCAGTATCTCTTTTCACACAAGAGAGGCTATTTGGGAGAGCTAGCAATATTCAATATTTACCACGGAAGTAGAGTCAAGCATAATTTTACTATCTAACAGCAGGTCAAACAGTATAATATAGCTATTTCTAATTCTAAAGCCAAGGAAGCAAGGAGTAAAATACAAAGGCTGAAGCACGGACGGAACAATTGCCGTAGTTTTTGTCAACAGGCTAAGTAATAGAAGGAAACGATAAAACTCAATCAGAACAGCTGCCTCAGTGATATCTACCAATAGACTAAGTGATAGAAGGAGATGGGAGAGATCAACCAGATCTTAGCCACCCAGGCAGCAACAAACCTTTCATCTAATCACATTCACAAATTTTAAATTGACTTGACTTCCAACCGTAAACGTCATATAGATACGAATTATGGTACAAATATTCGAAGTTACCCTCATCAATATAGCCTCTGCGACGGGCACTAGTCAAATATAGAACCATTTATACTGCCTCCCGCACACAAATGGCATTATATATAAGCAAACAGTACCATCCCTTTTCTCAGACGAACCTGACGCAACTTCTCGAGGGATACTTCCAAAGAATAGCTTTAGCAGTTCATATTGAATCCAGCAAAATTCATTATTTAACGACTCTTGATCAGATAGAAGCCATATTTTTATCTCAAGGCAAAGTTGGTTCTATTATCTCGCTGAACGGAGCACAATAAATAATGTATCTAATGAGTACTTCGTCTCGAGCTCAACGTGAAATCTTATTAATAACTATTAGCATATTACTGAGCTCCTATATAACCCAGAAGAGAACTCTTTGTATTGATAAAGGTATATTTCCTAGAGCCCATCTGATAGTTCTCAATGAGATATAAAAGTGGTACTTAAACAATACTGAACAGTTTCAACAAAAGGCTAAGGCAAAAGTGTTTTGTATAAGCAACACTGGTGTATCGTTAAAGAAAAGTGGTATCGCTACAGACTGGCAGCTAAAGCTGATGTTTGACGAATTTTATACTTTTAGCATATCTATCCTATTCATACCCTACAACAATTTCAGACCAACAAACTGACAGTCCATATGCAGAGTATTTTTCATTTCAGAAAGACATTGTAGGAACTATACATCCCTCCAGTCTCTCACCTTGTACTTCTTTTCATTGCCTCAATCCTCTATACAATACCAGTGCAGAATGTTTTTCCTCAGCTAACTTCAATGCAGTGATCTCGTCACTTCCAATTGCCATCAATTAACTGTTGAGAAACAGTCATGGTACACCAATAGATCTCGAAATTGTCACCGGAACCTTCAGATACGCTTTAACACTGATATTTAGTGGTATTGATATCTCTGTACAGCATTTGCAACAAGGATTGAGTTTTTAATATACAGAGTAGGTGCTTAGCAATAGATACTTATAACGTTTACTGTTCATGTAGCTGATTATAATAGGGCAAATGTTATAAAATAGCGACAAACGCCAGATATTGTGTGCCCAAAACGTGCCAATAAAAATAAGTATAAAAAGAGAGGTGAGAGAATGAGCAACTATTGGTCCATATGGAATTAAGCCTCTCAACTGCGACCAATATCGTACACTAATGCAGTTCCACCACGAATTTAGAAGCATATGTATTGTAAAATGCCTCACTCCAACGACTTCAGTTCTCTAAATTTTGGAAGTTATTCATACCAATGTTGAGCTTGACAGTCCTTCCTTCCATGAGACAAAATACGATAAATACTATTGAAACAACAATATGTCCGCTACCAAAGGCCTAAGAAGTGTAAAAATTACCCATGCACTCTTTTATTACCGACTATATTTGCAGCTGCAATACATATGCTCGAAAAAACAATCATTTAGCTTCTACGACTATAAGGTTTATCGAATGGTGACACCTGGAGCTTTGCTCAGATTGTAAACTTACGTAGTGATTGGAGCAAAAATGGTACACTGGATTAATATAGTATTTGATGTCCATTTACCTAATTGTAATTGGGGATGCGGTATCTCTCCTGCGACACTACTCTATAGGATGGAATAATCCTTGAGCAGATTTGGCTAAGCTGTAGTTCACATGAGCCTATGGCACAAAACATAACAATCCTCACTAAAATCAATAAGTATCGCTCTAAAACCTCATGATATAGTTGGTTCATACCTACAGCCATCTAGTCCTTGGATAGATGGTGCCAAAGTCACAGGCAATAATTCCTTACTTTAAACATCACAACTTGGTTTATGAGGATGATTGTAAGTACGACTTCTTTGACAAATATATAACAATCATTAGTGCTTTTACAATCTACAATGGAAAGGCTCAGTAAATTCAGCTATAAAGATTGCATCACTTCTAGACTACCTACGTAGCTTATAATCAATCGGCAAAAATTATGTTTACTATCTCTACCATATGACACCATAAATACGCCTAACCAATTTTCTACGAGTAGATAATTTTAATATAAAATCATATGCCATAGCCATTCTCTTGATCTCGGTAGCGGTATTGGTCTAAAAAGCTACCAAAAGGTATTATTTCACTCGACAAGATGAGGTATATCGATGAGATGTAGTCGAAACGGTGTTGCTATAAGGTAATATTGCTCATATCAAGCGTTGTGTGCCGATCTATGGTAGCTATAATCCTTGTCCCAGAAGTCCGAGTATGGCATCTGTCTATAAACGATGTTTCAGCAATTACTCCAACTCATGGTTGCAAAATAAATTTAGCTTAATAATTTTCTAATGTTATCTAATGCATTTCTTATGTTATCAGGATTCATCAACGGACAAAGAAATGAAACAGATAAGTGACGTTCAATACCGACTTGTGTCTCAGGATAGCTTCCGGTCCTACAAATTCGACCATGCCGCTTTGAGTGCCATACCATGACTCATCTTTTGTGTGATGTGTTGGAGATAAAGCTTGAGATCACAACTAGACGGGACAAAGATGAATCTTACCCATTTAGCTTCAAAGTAGCTCCAGATACCCGTTAATCAATCATACTTCACTACTTGTAGTTATCTAAATTGCAATATATAAAGAATAATATCGAGAGTTTGATCTAAATCGATCGTCGATCCATGGAATATTCATTGAGAGCAGCTTAGTCAAGAAATGCTAGTCGAATTGTTTGTATGAGGTTAGTACAATCATCTCATATAAAAGAAATTACAATTACTCACATATAGGGTATGTTACAACATATGTACATAGCTGGGGCTGGTAAGCAAACATACTTTCCTCAGTGATATATGGTTGATGTAGCAGGGTGTATTGTGTGGGTGTATGAGATAGATATGGCGGTCAATCAAATATATATCAAGTTGTAGTATGTCAATCAGGATATTGTATTGCATCAGGTATCCTATTAGTTTGAAGAGTATCCGTTAATAAAGCAATCTAAACTCTTGTTTCAACAAATATTATTGTCATAGATAGCACTGAAATGAATATAATTCAATAATTGCTTTTTCTGTAACTATATACTATAAGTTTTTGGATGATGCGATTTTTGACTCCCGGGATATATGTAAAATAGTTTTTTCTATGTGTTAGAAACATAGCCAACAATTACGAATAATTTTAGAGGTACCAGGGCGGACAAAACATCTCAGTAGGTCTGTCTAACAGTAAAGAATCACCATAGGTAATCTAGTTATAGGACGTATTCATTACTGTCGATACTCCAGTGAATACTTTGACTCTTAATGCTCTAGGTTTCGACTTCACTGCTTATAGTCTGCAATTTCTGTAGCGGTATTCCTATAGGTTCTCTACCAAGATACACCATTTGCAACAAACTCTTCCTGCTTCATACAAGGTCTTAAATATCGTATATGTCTTAAAACTACATGAAGGTTGAATATGAATTGAAAGTTCTGTGAGAATATTACAAATTCCTGTCAGAGTCAACGGGCGACTAAGTAGGTAACATTTGCAGCTTCCATAGACATTAGTACCAATGCCTATGAATGTCTTGCTAGGCCACCTTTAGATTGATATCCTTCCTTTGATACATGACTCTAAAGTTTTTGATACCGCTGAGTGGAAATTAATGAAGTATATGCTGGATCATCTTATCTTCTTTACTGCAAAATCTCTGTCTTGTACGCCCCAATCGAACAGATTGAGTTTCTTCAACCATTGGTTTGTGTCGTCGTTAAATATCTGTAGTTTCCTAATACAATGATAGACAATTATGGTGTTTAGTAGGTGGGTGAAACTTGTCGTAGCCATAACGCTTTTACATATTCTCATGATTTATTACTCAATACCACTGAATTCCAAGTTTGGGAGCTTTTAATAGAAATGACTCTCTATTGAACTGTTCATTCTTTTTTCAGGTTGGGATGCTATTTGTTCTACAGCCCTATTTCAAATTGTAGGAATGAACTATAATTAACGCCTGTATTTAGTTTTGTGTAATTGATTGTTCGTTATATGAATGAGTAGACTGAGTACAAGTATAATAAGACGCCTACCGAAATCTATGGAAACATGTTACGAGTAAGTTGGAGAAGTGATACTATATATAATTCTAGGTTTTGTTTGTATCATTGAATAGAATTGTACTCGTTATTTCTGATGATTTTTATAGATGGATAGGAGGGTTCGATGTCTCTTCCGGAACACTTATTTTGAAGCAGCCGAGGAGAGGAGAAATAAAATATACATTTCCTGGGTTAATTACGTTCATTTTATTGTGGGATCGTCTCTGGTTAGTGTATCAGCTCCATGAACTCTTGAGTTACCCACTAAGATACTTTATTCCGGCAACAGGTACAACCTTGGGATATTTCTTAATTATCTCGTTAGTATACGCATGCTGCCGGAAATGTATAAGCCTTCAGAGTACTCGAGGTGTATCCTTGGAGTATGAAGTTAGACTTCCTTTTTTTCTTTTTATGTTCTTACGGCTTATCTATCCATATTTTCAGCTGATACGGTCTGTAAAAATCATAGGGTAGGTTCTTACACACAGCATTTTCCGATTGTATTTCAGACCTCGTTACTAAATTGTTTTATTCACGGCAGATCACGAAAGACGCTAATTACCCTCACTCACATTTAGTATAGTGTCCTCTGGATTATCCAATGTGCTCTGTGGTCATTATTTGTCACTGTTGATTGTGCTGCGTTGGTCAGAAGTCAGTAGATGGCATCTAAGCATAGAATCGCACATTCCTGACAGAGAGAGCTCTTCATATATCTTTTAATGATGTATTTTTCACGTACATTAAGTTGCACCTCGAGCTATAATAACCAGAAGCTACTAGCTTTACTTGCCTCTCTGTATTTTGCTTATTTGGACTTTTGTCGTTGTATGTAGTAGTTTCTTTACTCATTTCTGAAATTGAAATTTATCAGGAAGTTTCCACTCATCAATTCGTCAGAAAAAGTATAGTATTCCCTTGATATCCTTCTTTGTTGGTGCGGAACTAATTTTTCTTGAAAGTGGCAACAAATACATTTATGTGAAGTGGATAAGGTATGTTATAGTCAATTATCCCCTTTTTATGCCAATTTTCCTAAATTAGATTTTTGTTACGTTAGATGCTCAGAACTAGAAAGCTCCTTGAATTTATAAGCATTAACTCGTTAGATACACCTGGGGGCGAGCGTAGATTGTTTCCTACTCAGTGAACCTATTATGAATCATATTCTCTAACATCCAATTGTTTTATTTTTGATAGTCTTTTTATATCAGTTGAAATACCTACTGCTCCAGCCTATGTGGTCTCTAGGGCTTTAGAATTTCCAGTCGCTTATATTATGGCTATGCCATGTTTGCGCCCAGTTGATATCTTGTGGTGCCCATTGTATATTATTTCTATATGTCGCATGGCAAAAATATTCCTTACAGAGGGTAAGCAGGATAAATTTTGGATCAGCTTTTCGCTGGATAGCAGACTCTTACGATCAGTCGCTCTTTCTCAGTCAAGTTTTATTGAAAGTTCCTTCTGTATCATATGCTACACTTCACTATACTGGGGGCTACTCTTTTTTTTCTCTTTTATGTCGAACCCTTAATTAAGCTTGAATAAACGTTGAGGTGTATTTTGGGTTTACCCTACTGGGGATATAAGCCTTTTAATTGATCCTTGGCTTCCACTAAGATTTGGAGTTTGTCAGATTTGACGGGACTATCGATGCTTCATACATGAATCTATAATGAAAAATGAGACGATAGTATTAACGGTGTGTTTTTCTACATTTTTACCCCTCGGTTGGGAATATTCTTGACAACCTTTACATTCTATCTTTCCTTAGTACTTTTTTTGCTCCTCAGTGAATATTCACACGTACCTGGGTACCACCTCATCGACTTTATTTTGCACCTTTTTTTTAATTTCTTCCCCTCAACTAGTACAGTACCGTAACTTTAGATCAGTAACCTTTCTTCTGATATAGTCTATTCAACATGGGCACAGTATTGATACATTTTTATGAACCTGCAATAAGCGTGGACAACTTGTCAAACGTTTACAATCCTCCATAAATCGGCAAAATGATATGCGTCAAAGTAGGGTAGTCGTGTCGCTTGAGCATGTATGCCTCCATCTTGGTAGAAATTGACCTTGGTGACCTTGTATTGCTCGATATTCATCAGTCCTTGACTGAGAACCAACTCCTCGTCGATGTTTTGGTTGGCAATGCCATGTTTACCTTTTAATAATCCTGTTGTCAAGTCCTTGACAAGAGATCAGAATTTTACGCTAAGATCTACCTATTTTCAGCTAGGAACCAGACTTTACTTGTAGCTGGGTCTAACCTCTAACACAATGATTCGAAGGTTTCATTTTCGGAGAACCCGAGTGTGAATACCTCGTATAACTCCGACCAGCTCGTTATTGGCTACTTCTATTAGACGCTACTATTAGGAACGATGTTGATAAACTGCCCTCTACCAAGTATAATTTACCTGTAACGCCTATTAATGCGGACCAGAGGATTCAGTAAGGTTCATGTTCTCTGATTTTTATGACCCTTTGTCTCTGAACTTCTACGGTCCACGCTCCCAAGATAGAGATTATCATTTACTCGCCGAATGAGAAGGGAAGTGGTAAGTTTGAGGGTCACAGTGCTGGGAAAACAGTACATATGTGTCTCTACGAATGCCTGCCGTTCGTTACTTTCAGAAAACGTCTACAGAGGCCAGACCTATAGCGCCTTTCTTCTCGGGTGTCACTGTGTGCTTCCGCCAGGTACAGTCTTCTTAGGATCCTAAGGTACAGCGGCTCGGTGCGGTAAATAGAAGAGCCTATGAAACGTATATCTCTCTCTGGCTGTACTGGCTCTGAGTTTTAATCAACTCCCCTAGACGGAGTTCTCTCAACTTTCCTGTTGAGTAAGCCCAAATATAGGTTGTGAGTAATATTGACGCAAACCATTTTGAGCCTAGAAGATTCCGTTTCCGGTATGCTAACGGTTGTAGCGCTTCTATGGACGGTGGAAGAGATTTTGACTCCACAAATGATTCCCTCTTCATGCAGATACCAGGCAAGTGTATTTCACAGTGTGGGTGAAGGACTTGAACTTTTAAGGTTACTAACCCACTTCACCTGCGTGACTGGCCCATAGTACAAGGAGGAACGGTGGCCGAACTTGACATATCTTTACTAGGGGTAAAAGTAACACTATAGAGTGTGGGGGACACTCCGGTATATACTAAGGTGAATATTTTAGGGCGGATGCTACTATCATGGACATAGAGGGTTCCAGATGTAACTATAATGATCAATGTACGTGGATAGACGGAAATGAAACGTAGTAGATGCCTGAAGTCATACGCCGTATACTAGAAAATTCTGTGTTGTATAAAATTCTTGAGATGTTATTGTAGACATTATAAAGCAACGCTGAAATCTTTATCCTGATATTCATCTAATGCGCAAAACCTATCATTCAGAATGATGATGCGTAAAATTCCTGCTTTACTAAGGTATACCCATTCAGTAGCTCAATATTGGTTTAAAAATCAATTAAGGATACCCGCTTGAGCCTTCATTCTTGCATTTTTACGCCTGGGATTAAGGTGTTTACACTATCCTTTTTAGTGGTGTTTGAAAGCTCACCCGCTGCGATTCTTATACAAGCTGCCCTGAATTCAACGGAATGTAAAATTCACCCTTTACTAATATTGGTATGGAGTACATCTTGGTAGAAATTATTTAGACTTGTGGTGCAGAGGCATCCGAGACGGCCCACACCGACGAGGTTTTCCCGCGTTTTGGCTCCCAAGTAAAGATCTTCAATCCTTAGCCATTTCGCGAAACATGGGACAGAAATTAGTCCTGTTACACAAGCCATGAATAAAACCGTGGATAAAACCGCTTCTAGGGGCCCAAAAATATATAAGTGATCTTAGGACTAGGACGTTTGAACGATATGGCATCGTTTCCGTGCACCTCAAGTATAGTTTCAGGACTTGGTGGTTGCATACGAAGTCGTGTAGACACCATGAGTGGGTTACCCGCATGAAATGTTTCATTTTTCAGTTGATGCACGTAGTAATGAAATGACAAAAGTTTCGAGGCCCTTATAGCGACAACAGACACTAACATATACCCATCCCAGTCACTATGAGCTTTACCCTGCGCAGTATCAGAGCCGTCAAAGCTGTCAGATCCCTCTCCACCTCCGTCGCGTCTAGAAACGGTGCCGTCGCCCGCGAAGTCAAAGTCGTTTCATCCTGTCCAGCCGGCACTCCATTGAACCTCAAGTTCAAGAAGTCCGGTGCCGAGCCGGCTGCATTGGAAGACGCTGAGTACCCAGAATGGTTGTGGACCCTCTTGGACAAGGACGCTCAGAGAGCTGCCTTATCCGCCTCCGACCCGATCAAGCAGTACAGAAAGGACCAAAGAGCCAGAAACATCAAGAAGATCAAGGAGCAAAACTTTGCGGCTGAAATGAAGTAGGTTTCGTAACATGCATTATAGTGGAATTTCCATCCGCCCTCTTACCACCCACCTCCTCCCCAACGCTCTGTTGGCCTGTATATATATTGCACCTATGCTCAAAGAATGAGCCTACCTGCTACCAGTAGGGATTTACAGTATAACGAAATGAATCCGAAACATGTTTACCGCTGAGCCCCGTCCTCTTGTAGATTAAAGTGAGCGTGCTCCCCGCTAATAACATAGCGATGTGTGATACATGTGGTACTTAAGGTTGCCTCAAAAGAAGAGCCCAAACCGTGATACTGGTATGGCTTTACTTAATAAAGACAGCAAAATATTGAGGTATGCATTGAAAGTATGGCCTAGACACAACCAGTGTAAAGAGGTGTTACTAGGCTTGATGCAATAAGTGATGTGGTGTATCCAAAGGTGAAAGGGCATAGGTACCAACATCCGCTGCTACAACACACCCAATTTGGCTAGGAAATCTGGGCAGTAAGCCAGATCCCCCATGCTGAGGGTAGAGCTATAAGCTTAAGTATTTGGTTTTACGCGTGTCTATATGAACTCCAGGTCCTCGCTATGCTTCGGAGTGAGATCATAGCCCATAGACATATTTGAAATGACTATGGATTTCCTCAATCCCACTTCTGCATTCGAGTTAGCCCAAACCCGAGTAAGTGAGAATGGGATGGTCAGGGAAAGCACGAAGTCTGGAACTCTCTGCCCTTTCTAAGCGCTATCACCTTAGTGACCTACACAACTAAGCATTAAATTTCCTCGATGCCTCAAGTCTTAACACGAAACATCAAAATGGACATATGCCTTTCCTTTTATTGACCATATCTGCATGAAGTCATCGAGTAATGTAAGTGGTTGCATTGACGCATCCATATTAGGAAATTTTCTATGGCCTCCAACTTATACTCCACACACGTAGATAAGGGCCACTATATAAATCGGTAAAACCATATTTGAGGCTCAATTGGATTGTTTGACCTCAAAAAAATGCACTTTTTTCCGGGGTCGGTGAGAGGGTATAAATAGACCTGTATCCCAAGGCTTATGAGTTGGATATTTAACGATTCATTACACTAACAAATATCAACAATGCAACAACCTTTCATCCCAACCACTACCACCTCTGCCTCTCCTTCTGACAATGAAGACAACAAGGATAATAGAGATATTTTCCAATATCTCTCTCCACCGGTGTGTACCATTGCTTAAATGGGAGGTATTCCGAGAGATGTTGTTTTCTACGAGATGGTATTACTGTTATGATTTGCTCTATTCTTGGTAACAGCTCGCTTTTTTGTTAATGATGCTTAGACCAGGTATTTCATCTCTATATACCTTTTTCTGTGATCTTTCTCTCTTTTTTTTTTTTTTTTTTTTTTTTTTTTTTTTTAATATAAATTATCCATAATCAAGTAACTGACCCAATGCATGTATATGTCTCCCCTTGGGATTACCCATGATATACCATTTTCTTTTAAAACGTTTCAAGATTACTATAAACTTCCGAAAACATACCGATTATCTAAATTAATTCAAATTTTAAATTTTGAGTTGCATATTTCTCTTCGGAGAAACAGTTTTCTAGTTTTAATATATACATAACATGAGCAAACATACGGTTTCCATGACCCCGTAAATAAGCACATTCCAGCTGACAAAGTAGAGGAGCTTAGGGCTGAAGACCGACCAGATAAAGAGGTGGAACCGTAAGTTGATACAGGCGCCCACGAGCCCTACCGCTGCAACGGAATAGAACACAATGTAGATCAAGTTCCTGACCCAGAACTTGGCCCATTTCTGCGATGTTTGCTGGTGAGTGGTGGCGCTCTTTTCGAGCATCACATCCAACGAAGCAATTGCCCAGTAGACGGGACCGGCAAAATTCGAGAGAAACGTCAACACACCTACCAACGTCATGTTATAACTTTCCACCCCGTTGTACGCGTTCGAGAGGTCCACGGTGGCCAAGGAGTTGGTATTGCCCAACGAGAAGAAACTCAAGTATTGCATAATAAGTGTGAAAACGCTCACAAAGGCGGTACTGTGGAGCTGGTTCGAGCCATAAGCCGTATAGTAGCTGCTCAAGTCTGTGAACAAGTACTTGATCCCCATAAACACAAGGAACACTGGGATATTCTTGGTGGAAGTCTGGTTGATCAACACAATCGATACAATATTTGTGACATCACTCATAAACAACGCGTTGTCGGCGTTTGGCTGGGAGGCAAACACGACTCTGGTGAGTAAAGCCACAAACCCCATCTGAAATACGAGCTTGGCCAAGGGCACTAGCGAATCCACGGCATTCTCCATCCCCATCGAGTCCAAGATCCAGTTGACCAACGGCAGTAACTCTTTTGGGTAGGACTCGCCGTTCGCCACCACCTGGCACGCCTTGAACGTGAAGCCAAGGGAGCAGAGCATGAAAGGGAGCATGAACGCGATGACCGGATTGAGGATTCGTAAGGCACCCGTCCAGATGCGGAGCCCATACACCGTGTATGTCACGAGGATCAAGAACCACAAAAGGCTGGGGTTATTCGACAAGTACTCCCCAAGGGTGGAGGTGATGTATTTCTGGCCAGAATTATTCCACGACCTGAGAACTCGCACCGAGAGCAAGAGCAAGGTAAACCTGAACTTTTTGCGACGAATAAAGCCGGGACAGCTGTAGAAATACACAAAAAAGAAGAAGGTCGCGAACCACCACCAGAGCTGGTACTCTTCCTCGACCAAACTGCTACCGAATGATGACACGGCAAACACAAACGAGCCCCCAAGAATGCCAGCGCCAAAAAGCTTGGACTGCCAAAACTCGACCGCCAACAAGGCCACCGCAAGCACGGCAGAGAGCACAAGCAAACCAAACCCTCTATATATGTCAACATAGTTGTAGTTCGTGGCGGAAGAAGCCAAATGCGACTGCGACTTTTCTAAGAAAGCGTAGCAGCCATCTCTGCTACCCTCGGAGCACAGGAAGTACAACTGCTGGAAAGCTTCAACCTCCTCGTCCAGGCTGTCCAAAAGGCTTTCAACGCCAAACGAAGCCTCCACGAGCAACTTAATCTGCTCACAATTTTCAACGAGAACATCCTTCGCGTACTTTGGTGCCCATAAAGGCAAGAAGTCGGGGATAAACACCCCCAAGTTGTTCTTAGGAATCGGCACCTGCAAGAGCATTGAGAGTGTCGGCACCAAATCAATCTGCTGGACGCGCTTGTAGAACTCAAATCCGGGATTCTCAGCCACCGGAGCGATCTTAGATTTCTGCGAGCTAATCGGCTCGAGCTTTGGCGAGATAAATACCAACCCCGCAGAGGTCTCGCCGATGGAGGCCCCTCCGTGATTGCCGATTTCGTTCATGCCATGGTCGCCCGCCACCACCAACAAAGTCTCTGGGTGCTCTTCCACGTACCTGTAGAGCTGTTCAATCACCTGGTCCATTTCCTGCTGTTTTGGCTTCATAAACACCGACTTGGGGCCACCCTTGTGCCCAATATGGTCGAGCCCAAGGTAGTGCAAGATCATCGCGTCCCACTCGCCGCTGTTCACTGTGAGCTCATCGTTGAGGTGCCTCGTCACGTTGATGTCCACTTCGGTGAAGTCAGACACAAAAAAGCTGTTGGTGCCGTCCGTGCGGTGGAAGAACCTCGGAAAGAGCTTTAACCACGTGTCGTCGCCAAACATCTGGATGCGGAAACCGTTGTTGAAAAGCTGCTTGACCCAGCTATCCTGCTCTCCCAAGCTGGAGGACGTATCGTCTTCAGCCACATTAAGGATGGCGTCGAGGAAGTTGGGCGTGGATCCGGTAGTGAGCCCCTTCAAGCGTGGTAGCGTGACGGTAGGCGGAGTGGAGTGCGCGGTGAAGCCCAACGCATGGCCGGAATTGAGGAGCTGGTGCACAAACGACATGGACGAATCTTCCGAGAAGATAAAATCGCTGCGCATGGCATCCACCACCATGAAGATGAGCTTGGAGAACTGCGCGGGCGCGGCTGGGAGGTCTGTGTGGAAGAGCCCATCACCGGAGATTACCACTTTGCTGGGGAAGAATCCCTTGGCAAACAAAAGGAGACCCAGAAGCTGGAGCGCAAAGAGAATGGAGGCAGCCACCCATCGAGCTTTGACCATTACGTATTTTGTGGTTTAAGGATGAACAGGGTTGGAGAGAAAGGGAACTATAACACGTTTTAAAGATAGGGTGCAGGGTAACGCGTTAGTGGTTCCCACACGACAGTACAGACCTGAACTCCACGAGGGAGAGCCGTAGCTGTGGGGGGACATTTCCGACCAGAGGTACGGGCCATCTTTAACCGTGGTCCGGTAAGATGGTTGGTTTACGGGAAATACTGTACCTCCATAGATAGCCTAGGGGTCCTAAATTTTAGCCGACAAAATGCCTCGGCCTAACAGCTTCCGCTTAATCATACAGAGGGGGGTTTATAAATATCAGATATTCATTAGTGTATATAGATATGGACTCACCAAGGAGTCAAGAATTAAATCAGATAGTAAAGGAAATAAATTTCAATCAACTAGGGCTAATTTACTTCTTGGCACCAGCCTTGACAGCAGCCTTGGTAACCTTACC